TTAATGGAAAAAAATCAACAATGCTCAAATGGCACAAGATTTTGAAGAAGTAGAATCTTTTTCCAAAACAGAATTTAGTGTCATATCTCAATATAAATAGGTGCACAGGTTTCTTCACGGTCAGTCTCAGAATAAAGACAGAATTGTCCTATATTGTATTGAGAGAACAAATGTATAAATGTAAAGAAAATTAAGTAAGTAAATTTGCCAGTCAGGTTATGTTTAAAACAACACCATCTACTACCATCCTTACCCCTCAAACAAATTATTGATTAAAAAACAACCTAAGGTCTAGCCAGCATGGTTCAGTGATTGAGCATCAACCTATAAACCAAAAGATCATGGCTCAATCCCCAGTAGGGGGCATGCAGGAAGCAGTTGATCAATGATTCTCATCATTGATGTTTCTATCTCTTTCCCTCTCACTTCCTCTCTGAAACCAATAAAAATATATTAAAAAAAAAAAAAAAAAAAGACCTAAGCCCTGGACAGTGTTCTGTGTTCTCAGTGGTTAGAGCATTGGCCCATATACCAAGGGGTCGCAGGTTTATTCCTGATCAACTTACCTGGGTTGCAGGTTCAACCCTTGGCCCCGGTTGGAGCATATACAGGAGGCAGCCAACTTATGTGTCTCTCTCACTTTGATATCTCTCTCTTTCTCTCTCTCTCTCTCTCTCTATCTATCTATCTTTCTCTCTCTCTCTCTCTCTCTCTCTCTCTCTCTCTCCCCCCCCCCAAAAAAAAAAACCAATGGAGGATTAAAGGGGGGAGGGAGGGACCCTAAAAATTGATACTTAAAAGTCATTTAAAAAATTTTTTAACAATGCCTAACATAGTCCACTAAATATTTTATTAGCATGGTTAATTTTAGGTAAATTTAGATTAAATACCTTTAATAAAACTTAAACAGCATCCTTAACTAGATATCTAGTACTACTAAATATAGTCTGTTAATTACAAAATAAAAAGATATTGGAATCTCTTTTAAGATGAGATTTCTTGCATAATATTTGGGTCTATGAAGTGAGAGAAATATATCATGTTAGAGATGGAAGGAATCATAGGTCATCACATTGTTAAGGGATGGTTCTTCATGCTTCCAAGACCTTGGATACTTCCAAGTGTTTCTTGCAATGATGAGAGTGGGGAAAAGAGTTTAGACTTAACAGACCTGGAACAATATATGTGAATTACATAGTAGGAATTCAATAAATAGTAGCTAACACTTCCCTGCATTGCTTTTTTGTCAGGCTCAGTATATCTCCAATAAGTTTATGACTGTGATTTCTGTTGGTTTCCTGGAATCCCTTTAAGCTTCTAGGATCACTAGTTGCCTGATCAGTAGTTACCTTTATAAATAAATATTTCTCATGGGGTCAAGTAAGAATGGGTGTGTAGGGCAATAAGTAACACTGCAACTTATTCAACAAACATTTGTTAAACACTTTCTATGTGTTCATCAGTTTCTGTGCTAGATTTGTCTTGGGAAGATGGCCAATACTGATATCTAAATTTTTTCTACATGAGTACTTTTTTAGCTATGAGCCTTTAGGTCTTAAAAAGACCTTGAATTTGTAATATATTACTTTTCATAGGAGTTTACCAACTTTATCATTAACAACATCTTTTGTGGGGAAAATTACTGGGTAAAAGTTTCATAAAAGTTAAGTTTTTATAGGGTCTATTCTGAGCTACACTGACCTAAGCAAGATAAATAATAAACAGTCCCTCCTACATTAGGTTAACAGGGAAAAGGTTAACCTAATGTAGGAGATATATCACAATATAGCCCACTATATGATTTCCCATTTCATTTGAGTCTCTCAGCAACCTCTGATTTAGATTAGTATAGCAGATACTATCTTGGTTTGCCAGTTAATTATTAAAGCTCAGAGAGTTTAAGCAGCTTGTCTAAGGTTACTCAGTAAGTAGGTGGTAGAGTGGGCATTAAAAACAAGGCCCATTCATCATTGGCCTTGTTTCCAAAGAAGCCTTACAAGATAGAACGTCAGCCTTAAAATCTATGAAGAGGGGATTTAGTCCTTGTTTATTCAACAGGGAAGATTCACAAAGCCCGCACCATGAAAAAAAAAATTGAGTTTTCTTTATACTTTTCTATTTCCAAATTCATTGCTCTTCCCAGTATAGGAATTTGCTAAAGATCATAATCAACATTCACATCTAAAATAAAGAAGCCTGAGAGAAAAGCTCATGTAATCCCACTCCTTAAATATCACTAAGACATCTGAGATATTGTTTAGATTGTGGACTCTTACTTTGACATGCCAGCATAGGTAGATGGACAGACAAGCACATCAGATGTCACTGTTTGGCAGCTGATAAAAGTCAGTGGTGCTATAATACTAAGCACACAGCCACTAGATTAGTCTGTGAGGGAAGGGGATGCCTCTTCCTTCCCTGCAATAGGGGGTTAAACCCAGCTGGCAACCTCCAGAATTACGGGTAAGTCCCTTCTTTATTCCTGCTGCCGTTTTGGGTTTTGTTTTTGTTTTTTGTCCAAATCAGAGGAGCATGTACAGAAGTGATCTTCAGATAAAAGTTTGAAAGCCACAATGGTATTACAAAGATTTGAAGAGAAAGTGCTCTATTCATTCCACTGAAACTGACAGAGATTAGAGAAAGGGTAGAAGAAAAAGTAGTTATGTGTTATTATTTTTAAGACATGATTTTTCCTTGAAAGGAGACACTTGAACTGACTAACTGTGGTTCCTCAATCAGTTTTTTCTGCAAGTTTGTGCTGTACTAGAGATAAGGGAAAATGTTAAGATTTTTTAAAATAGGAGACTGACTAATATTTTATTTATGAAATATTTTATATTTATTTAACATAATTTAGAATAAAATGATAACTTTCATGTAATAGGATAAATTCTAGAATTGAATTGTTGAACAGTAACTACAAAATGAAGAAAAACCTTTTAGAATTACCTGTGGAAACATCTGTATAAAATGTAGTGAGATATAAACAAAATAAAACTTTTGAAAGGAAAAAATTGAGCTTAAAAAAAATAAGTAATTTTTAACTGTATAGACTGATACAAAAATGAACAAGATAGTTGACATTAAGAAATATATATGAAGAAAAATAGGGGACTTTTTAGAAAAAACCTGCTGGCTATTAAACAGTTTATTCTTTGCTATTTGAAATGAATCTGAATCACATGCCTGCCCAAAAAAGAGTTTAGAAATCAAACTGGATTCAGTTCTGCAATGTAATAAACCGATAACTATAAAACTACTTACCTTGAAATAGCCTCTTATTTTCTTTTTTAGAAAATCTAATTAAAGCCTCCTTTGGGTGTTTTTCTTCAACAATTTAAAGGCCTAATATAGTTAATTACTAAAATGGAATCTAGTTTAATATACTTGTGTTCAGAAACTTGAAGTTAAGGAATATATGAAATTTTAAGTCTTTTCAATAGGATCTTTCTCTTAGCTATGTAGTTGCATTTTTGTTCTTTCCCAAAACTGCTAGTTTTAATTTAAACTATATACACAATTAGGATGAAGTTGTCTGGAATTTTTTCATTAAAAATACTTTGTTCAAGATAGGAAATTAAATAAGATTTTGTTTCAATAATGACAATTTGGCTAATTTTTAATCAGCTAAAGTTTGATTTAGCATTATCTCATATTGGTTTAAACTATGTGAAACAAACTAAATGTGTTTTAAACTAAATTACCTGATATTTTTAGTGAAAACAGAATTAATGCTACAATTTACAGGACTAGTCTTTGTAATGTCTATATATAGTCTTGCTTAGATATACCATACTAATGGAAGAAATCAGAGGCAAATATAATTTCTTAAGGTGATTTTAGTGACAAATAATTCCTCTAAGGAAAAATGGGGATCTACTATAGAAAGTCGGGTGAACCATAGTAGAGCTAAGTAAGAGAAATAGCACCTATCTTTTTTTGATAAGTAGAGGCTAGCTTCACAGTTGTCTTACTTCTTTCTGTACATCCTGTTTATCATTTCTAAAAAAATAAAAGGAGCTAAAATAATGTTTAAATTAATCTAAAATACATATTAAACAGGTAAAAAAAAAAGTAAAAATAAATAATTAAAAGAACATCAAGATCAATAACTAGATAGTATAATCTGAAAATAACAGAAAAAAATCACAAATGGCTTTGGAATGCAGTTAGTGACATACATTATATACATACAAAGAGACACAAACATGTAGTAACTCCTTAATTATTGTCTACTTTGTACAATGGTCAATTTGAAATCAAGGGAAGAAAAAGAGGCAGTGAATTGTAAGGTTAAAAAAATCCACTCAAAGTTGTTAATAGTGAATTATAGATGTTCACTCTACATTGTGAAATTGTGAAAGGGGAAAGGAATAAATATGGACATTAGACTAACATTCTTACAAAATAAGCATACAGTTCCCTTTGATTTACCAAGATATCGTTCATCCCAGATCACCAGGATATGAATTAACTGGTGTATCATTGGTTTTGATGAGCAATGGGAAGGATTCAAACTGAATGAAAGCTGACATGCTATATATTTAACTGCTAATAATTTTTAAATAATTAATTTCTGTGGTTAATGAAACAGTAACCTCTGGACAATAAATAATCATGAGACATGGGAAAAGTCATTTGTGCAATGACAGAAAAAAGGGAAGTGTAGAAACCAGGAAAGTTCTACTCAGAGATAACCTTGAAAAGCACATAAGCTTCTAAAGATGTTAAATAAACAGTACTGTTCTTTATGCAAATATTGTAACTGAATTATTTTCTCCTTTTGAAGGAAAGACATTCTTCAAGAGAAGGCCCCTCCATCAAAGCCAGGAACACAATATTCCCAGGATCTCAACAAGAAGGTGCAGACCAAGGTTGCTTCTGATTCCTTGCAACCTTCTATAATTCCAGGCTTACAGTCCCAAATTCAGGACCCCAACTCTTCAGGAGCAAATCATTATAGTAATAGGTTGCCTTCGTCTCCTGTAAACCAACTAAGCATGTTTAACTACGAACGGCCAAAACACTTCATCCAATCCCAAAATCCATGTGGCTCCAGACTGCAGCCTCCTGGACCGGAAACCTCCAGCTACTCTAGCCAGACCAAACAGTCTTCCCTTATCATCCAGCCCCGCCAGTGCACAGAGCAAAGATTTTCTGCTTCATCAACAGTGAGCTCTCACATCACCATGTCCTCTGCTTTTCCTGCTTCTCCCCAGCAGCCTGCTGGCTTCAACCCGGGCCAAAGGGTTACAGCCACATATAACCAGTCCCCTGCCAGCTTCCTCAGCTCCATATTACCATCACAGCCTGATTACAGTAGCAGTAAAATCCCTTCCACTGTGGACTCCAAGTAAGTGAGTTTTTTAAATATATGCATATGGATATATATTGCATATACAGTGCCCAAAGATGGTGGGGGCAGAGGGAAGTAATGTAGTCACTCTTCATTATCTAAAAAGGCAATGTGACCTCAATGTCTCATCCCCAAATTCTCCTAGAACACCTTGAACCAGGGTACTGGCAATAAGAGGTCACCTGACCCATTATGCAGTATCCAGGCTGAGCTGAATCAAATCATCTATGAACCCATACAATTACCCATTATTTTCCACCTTCAAAAAATATTTCTAATATATCAAGCACAGTGACTATTGCCTCAGTCCTAAGCTAAGTTCCTTAATTGCTCTGGTTCTGGGCTCAGCTGAGATGAACACCTGCCTGCTCATCTTCAGATAGGATTTCCTCTCATATAAGCAAAGGCTATTAAATTTCTTCTCAGTCTCTATCTTTCTTCCTATCCATTTCCCCCTCTGTTGAATATTCAATAGGCTAAAAAGAAAATCTGGGATTCAGATACTAAAGTGTATGATTTTTCCTTATTATGATCAGAAAAAAAGGCTTGAATACATACAAGTTTACAACCTTAAGGTTTCCTTAGATGATTAAAACCACACTTTGTTCAAATTGGTTAGGCTGATCTAAACACAGGGAAGAATACCTGCAGCCTTATGCAAGCATGTACTATTTTCACAGTCCTAAAACTGTAGTAGAACCTGATACGAAGGACATAGTGGTTGTGCTTTTTTTAAAACAAGAACTGAATACTTTGTGCTTATGTAAAGTTAGGGCTATCAGTTTTCCTATTCCTTGGCTGGCTAGAACATTAGAGAATTAAATCAGAGGCATCTGAAAAAATTGTCTGATGGAATGTATTTGTTGCAGGCTTACTGGCAAATTTGCAGACATTCTTGCTAATTTCTCTCAGTAGAGGCTAATTTTTTTCCTAGATATTCCTATTGTTGATGACTATTCTGGAAACCTAGTTGAACTGACTGTAGCATTCAACACGCAAATAAAACTTTTTAATATTTTAAGAATAAAAACCAAAAATATTTGTTAAAATCCTGTCTACTAGGCTGAACTATTTGAAATGGCTAATAGTCTATTTTAACCTACAAAAATGGTGTGTCATATGTTTGATCTAATATATTTATTTATTTTAGTTGGGGGGGGGGGAGAAATATCAATTTATTGTTCCACTCATGTATGCATTCATTGGTTGCTTCCTGTATGTGCCCTAACTGGGAATTGAACCTGCAAATTGGTGTTATTGGGATGATGCTCTAACCAACTGATAATCTATCCAGCCAGGGCTCAACCTAATAATTTTAAAAGGTGTATTCAAGAATTAAAAGCCCTCTCTTTCTTATCCCTATCAAATTTCCAATATGTCAATTATAACATATGGTAGATTTTCCTTGGTAATATTTTATCCAGATTATCTTTTTCCATCTAACTTTCAGTGATTTCCACATTTCTTATATGAGCATTTTAAAATCTAAAATAACCTTTTCTGACTATATTTTTCTTAATAAAGTCCTATTCCAAATTCCTGCCCAGAAAAGAAAGCCATCAAATAAATATTACTGAGCCTCAACCATGTGTTCAAAACAAGAGACAAAGAAAGGCAAAAATGGAGAGGATAAGAAATAAAACAGAGGAGGTCCCCAAACCAGAGATCAAAGATCCAGCTTTAGCTGTTCCATTTTCAGCAACCACAGATAACCCTTTTAATCTGCCCACAGCCACTTGATACTCATTCTATGCCCAGCTGCACGGGGTGGAAAGCTCTGGGCCTTTGAACATTTGTGCGCAACTCCCTCATTGTTATGCTGTGCTTAAGTTTGCCATATCTTCTAAAATAATCTCTTGGATTCTGACCTAGAGAAGTTTGAAAGTTTTACTTAGCTTTTCATCAGTAGGAAACCCTTAAGTTGATCAAACCACCATCTGAAACTGAGAGGATTATTCCTTCCAAAAACTATGCTGTGTGATATTCAGCAACTTTACCTTACCCACTCAGTGATTCAATTTTGATTCATAACAAAATTAAGGATTTGGGTGATAACAAAAAAGACCTATACAGCAGTGTGCAAGTATAAATTTATAAATATGAGTAAATATAAAGTCCTAACACTTAAGCCATCTGAACTGGTAATAATGGATGTATTCAGTGAATAAAGTGACTGATTCTCGGGCTTGGTTTTGATAATCCCTCAAGATTTCTCAGAGATATTATATGATGAGAGTCTAAAAAAAGAATTATTTAATATTAATTCACTCTAACAAATGCGTGACTTGTATAAAAATGATAGGTTAGCATTTTAAAAAAATAGGCTATTTATACATTGGAGGAACAGATCTATAAAACCAAAGGAATTTTACTACTGCAACCTGAGAATTCAATCACAAAACAAACAAATGAACAAAGAACAAAAACAAAAACACTATTTATTTAAACACTTGGTTTGGCTATTTACTTTACTTTAATTAAGGATTAATATAGACAACCTTAAAGATCTGAAATGTAAGAAGGGGAAATATGTACCACCAACTTTCATTAGAGCATCTTAAATACAATGAAAAACATTCATTCAACTGATAATATTACCTACCATATACCCAAGCTCTGTTAGTGGATATAAATTATATGATAATGAGCAATAAGACTTTTTTTTCAGTTATGTTTACAATACAGAGATTACTAACCAATTTCCCAAAGTCTACAAAAATTAAAATTATGGCTCCATTCAGAGAAGATACATTTCCACTTAGCTTACAAATTCTTTGTTTTTCTTTTTGTTAATCCTCCGACTAGGATATTTTTTCCATTGCTTTTCAGAGAGAGTTAAAAGGGAAGATGGAAGGGGAGAGAGAGAATGAGAGAAACATCAATGTGAGAAAGATACATCGACTGGTTGCCTCCTGAAGGGACCCTTACCAGGGGTGGGGAGTGAACAAGCAACCCTTCTATGTGCCCTTGACCAGGAATCCAACTGGCCACCCTTCAGTGTAAGGGCTAATACTCCAACCACTGAACTATACCCGGCCAGGGCACAAATTCTTTTAATGATCATTGAGAATATTTGAATAAGAATATGCCACAAAATAGAGCAAGTTTGCCTCATCTGGGTACTTGGAGAATGTTTATTATACTAATGGTAAACATTCATTGAAGGCCGTTTTTCCCACATTAAATAGATATAAGATGGCCCTAAGTGAATAAACTATGTGAAATATGAACAAAGCACTGTGAAAACTGTACCTAACAGATCTAATAATATAGAAGTCTCTAAATACTACCTCTGCTCTCCATCAGAATCAACAAGGGAACTCTCGGAGAAGCAAGAACATCTTAGAAGGAAATTTAGGATCAGAACTTAAAATAAGAATTTAAACCAAACTCTTCAACTGCTATTCAAATTTGCTTGCTTCCTTTTTCTCCAAATCTCCCCCTTTTTTAATCTTACATTCCTTTCTCCTTCCTCCCCTAGTCATTCCTTTCTTTCTCCAAATATCATTTCAGCAACATTAAAGAAACTGTCATTACTGTAGAAGCTATTTGTTATATAGTGCCATATTTGCATTTTCTAGAATAAGAAATTAACAGGAGTCCTGGCCAGTGTGGATTAGTTGTTTGGGCATCATCCCATGCATTGAAAGGTCACCGGTTCAATTCAAGGTCAGGGCACATACATGCCTGGGTTGCTGGTTTGATTCCCAATAGAGAGCATGCAAGAGGCAACCTATCGAAGTTGCATTCTCACATGGATGTTTCTTCCTCTCTCTTCCTCTCTAAAAATAGATTTTTAAAAATCTTTTTAAAAAGAAAAAAATAGAAAGTGGAAATTAATAGGAAATAGGAAATCCAATGGCTATGTAAACTGTACCCTCCATTTAGCAACAGAATAGTCACTAAGTATCAGTGGTTATACTGGTAAATGTGTAACAATGAGCTGGAAGAAAGAGTCACCAATTTCCCTGGTGTAGATATTCCCACAACAACTAATTCAACCACATCATGAGATCACAGGGAGCTGGGAAGAGATGCTAAAGATTAGCCCTCTTGAGCCCATATGAGTCAAGCACATCAATGCTTAATATCCACCTATAAATCAAACTTAGGAAATTCAGTTTTAAGATTAGAAGTACTCTCAAGTTACAAGTAACTACTTACTCTCACTTCTTAGGGAAGATCTTCAAGGAAGGACATGCTCCTTGCATCTAATCTAAATTATCCTTTCTGCTACTTAATTTTCTTGCCAAAACTTAAAGAAACAAAAAAGCTGCTAACAACTCTTATAAAATCCTTCTTGTTACTCGGGAAATTGGTGTTTGTATTAACACTAGTAGTACTAAGTGGTAGATTCAATGTATTTAAAGGTAACTGACAAAATAAGGCCAAGTCTCTTTTAGATACACCTCTTTCCCCCCCATCTCTCTCTCTCTCTCTCTCTCTCTCTCTCTCTCTCTCTCTCTCTCTCTCTCTCTCTCAGTAATGTATTTTAAAGGGAGTAAACAAAAACAAAAACAAACCGCATAGACAACAGTACGGCCATTACCAGAGGGAAATGGGGTGGTGGGAAGCAGGAGAGAGTGAAGGAGGAATAAATGGTGATGGAAAGAGACATGAATTGGGGTAGTACAATATACAGATGATGTATTATAGAATTATAAACCTTAAACCTATATAGTTTTATTAACCAATGTAATCCAAATAATTCAATTTTAAAAATACACATCTTAAATATTTTCTTTTTTTTAATATTTTTTTACTTTTAAAGCTATCAACAACCCTCAGTTGGCCAATCTGTGAATGCTAAGCCATACCAAAGTACAAATTCTAAGCCCACACCAAGGACTCCTGACCATGAAATACAAGGATCAAAAGAAGCTCTGATTCAAGATTTGGAAAGAAAGCTAAAATGCAAGGACAGCCTTCTTCATAATGGAAATCAAGTGAGCAAGAAGTCTATTTTATACAAAAAGCCATTTAAACTTAAAAAATCTAATCTCAATAAGAAAGGCTTGTCTCACATATCTATGATTGTATAAGCAACAAGAAATAGGATAATCTTTTTTTAAGGAATATTTGGGTCCTATTTAATATTTCTGTGCATGAAATCACCTCTTTGGTGTGGAGTAGTAAAAAATGAAGCAAATGAAAAATCAATCTGAATGATTTAATAAGTATTTTCTGTTTTAAGCATTACCTCTCATAAAATGTCTAATGACCAAAAAGGAAATACTGTCAACCTGACTTATTCATATATTTAGTATATATTATTGATGGACAAATAGGTATAATTTTTTATTACATAACTCTTACTGTGTACATTGTATTTAGTTGCCTATCTTTGAAACAGTACTATATGCCTTTAACACAAACACATTTAACATACCAGTTGCACTGTTTTCAGCCAGAAGTTAGTAAGTCAAATATTCAGTGTTCACTTAATACAAGTTCTTTCTGAAAGTGAGGACATGCAGTACTATATTCAAAGACAGAGATGATTGGAACATACACAAGAAGGAAGGGAAAGAATTTCCCTTGGCTTGGGAGAGCCATATTCAAGGGTGATTATGCCTGCTGTTCCAAGGAGCAAAAAGAAAAGCGAATATCACAGATAAGAGAAGTGGCACTAGAGTAGAAGGAAAGGCTTTGAATGAAAGAAAATACTTTTTAAAACATAGCATCTACTTATAATTCTAAACCCAGAACTACATTTTTTTGGTAAAATTAGTAGTGGATTTAAATTAAACAAACAACTTATATTAAATCTCATTACCATTCTCCTTAATGACATTTCTTTAAAGAGGCTAACATATGAGGAGAAGATGGCTCGCAGATTGCTAGGACCACAGAATGCAGCTGCTGTGTTTCAAGCTCAAAATGACAGTGAGGCACAAGATTCACCACAGGTAAATTAAAATAATCTTTATTAACTGGAGTCCTTTTTGTTTGTATGACTTTTCAATATCTGCTTTCTAAATGTTTATAAATAGCATTCAAAGTAAAAATGGGAGAGGCCGTGATAGGCTAAAATATATGTATCAAGTTTTAATTTTCCCCATTTTCTGGTGATTCTAATATCTCCACAAGAAATGTCACATGCCCAGCCAGGCATGGCTCAGTGATTGAGTGTCGACCTGTGAACCGGGAGGTCACGGTTCAATTCCCATTCAGAGCACATGCCTAGGTTGTGGGCTCAATCCCCATTAGGAGGAGTACAGGAGACAGCTGACTAATGATTCCTTCTCATCATGGCTATTTCTCTCTCTCCCTCTCCCTTCCTCTCTCTGAAATCAATAAAAATATATTTGTTTTAAAAACACTTTAAAATGAAGGTGGTGGTACCAAGAAAAGAGACAGCAGCAAAATATATCATTATGAAATCAGAAAATATAAACCCTACATTTTTGTACACTTCAAACAAAATATCATCAAACTATGTATAATTGAAGTATAGCATCTACAAATACAAATATATACATATTCAAACCATCTTAAAAGGGTAAAGTAAAAAACTTACTAAAATGTTTTCAGCTTAAAAATGTAATACTTAGCCGAAGCCGGTTTGGCTCAGTGGTAGAGCGTCGGTCTGCGGACTGAAAGGTCCCAGGTTCGATTCCGGTCAAGGGTATGTACATTGGTTGTGGGCACATCCCTGGTAGGGGGTGTGCAAGAGGCAGCTGGTCAATGTTTCTCTCTCATCGATGTTTCTAGCTCTTATCTCTCTCCCTTCCTCTCTGTTAAAAATCAATAAAATATATTTTTTTAAAATGTAATACTTATAAATCCCTCAAGCTCCCACATACCTTTAAAAAAAAAAAACCAATGTGAATATTCTAATGTCAGAGATGATGACCCAAATTTTTGGAAATTTTGAGTTTAACTAAATTATTTTTTTAATTTTTACCAAAAAAAATATTGATTTGCTTGATCACTGAATTGTTTTGACATTTTGTTTAGAAAATCTTACACCCAGCCAAAAATTATGAGTTTTAAGAATTTTGTTTTTAAATGACAAAATACATTAAACATATTCATCCAAAAATAAATTATTTGTAATGATCTGCTGTGTTGCTGTACAGATGTTTTCGTATTTTTGAGTAGGAACTATATTTTTCACTTCTTTGTATCTCCCACTATGAACAGTGAAATATACAAATAGGCATGAAATATTTAATCAATTTATTAATTCTATTATAATTTCCAACAATTCCTGACTTTACTTTCAAATAGAAATAATCTTCTGGTGCTCAGACAATAAATTCTAAAAGATGTTTGTTAAATATATCTTTATTAAGCAGGAAGGGAAGTAACTAATATTGTTTTTCAAAGACTTTTCATAGCTCTACACATGTCTTCCATGATGTCCATCAGGATTTTGTGTCATGAGCTAAAAAAAGAAGTATTTTCCAGTCTAATATGTGTTTACTGCTGTTGGTGCCACTTTCGAGCAGCAGGTATAATACCCTGCATCCACTGCCAACAAAACTGACTTCATGTCTATTCTTGTTTTACTAAAGGACAATCTGTACTATGTGCTCCCATTTCAAATATACCAGAGGGACACATCATCCTTTGTCAAAAAATAGTCATCTAGCCTAGCTGGCATGGCTCAGTGGTTGAGTGTCGACCTATGAACCAGGAGGTAACAGATCAATTCCTGACCAGGGCATTGCCTGGGTTGCAGGCTCAATCCCCAGGCAGCCAATCAATGAGTCTCTCCCATCCTCGGTGTTTTTCTCTCTCTCTCCCTTCCTCTTTGAAATCCATAAAAAATATTTTTTTAAATAGTCTTCTAAAAAATGAACCACTATCAACTCAGTCTCATAAATCATGCCTGTGGAACAGTCTTATTAATTCTTGGGATTTCTTGCTAGAATATTATAAGGTTAGTGCAGTATGTTTTAAACGTTTAAAAGCTAAATATATAGAACTGGCCATAACTGTAAAAATACAGCCAACAGAGAAATGTTCCTCTCAACTACAACTACTTAGTTATGCTTCATTTCAAGCTAGCAATTGTATGTTAACATTATCACTCTTTTAATTTCAAGCAGCACAATTCAGAACATGCACGGTTGCAAGTTCCTACATCACATGTAAGGTAAAAAATAATTTAATTTTAAATATATTATTTGCTATCGAAAATTTTTTAGCTTAAAAATGTAATACTTGCCGAATCGGGTTTGGCTCAGTGGATAGAGCATCAGCCTTTGGGCTGAAGGGTCCTGGGTTCGATTCCAATCAAGGGTATGTACATTGGTTGTGGGCACATCCCCAGTAAGGGGCGTGCAGGAGGCAGCTGATTGATGACTTGCTCTCATCAATGTTTCTAGCTCTCTATTCCTCTCCCTTCCTCTCTGTGAAGAATCAATAAAATATATTTTTTAAAAATGTAATACTTATCAAGTTCTCAAGCTTCTCACTTATCTTTTATAAAAACAATATGAATTTTCTAATGTCAGAGATGGTGACCAAAATTTTATCTGGTCTTGGCCGATGTGCTCAATGATTAGAGCATCAGTCCATACACCAAATGGTCATGGGCTCAATTCTCAGTCAAGGGCATAATCCTGGGTTGCAGGTTCGATCCCCAGCACCCATTGGGGTTCATGAGGGAGGCAATCAATGGACATGTCTCTCTCACATCAATGTCCCCCCCCTCTATCTCCCTCTTTCATTCTTTCTCCCTCTCTCTCCCTTTCCTTTCTTCCACTCTCTAAAAACCAATGAAAAAATATCCTTGGGTGAGGATTAACAACAACAACAACAACATTTTTTTATCTGTTAAGGCCCTGGCTGGGTAGCTTAGGCAGCCATCGCCAACCGGTGCTCCGCAGACCACTGGTGGTCCATTAGATCCCAAAGGTTGTGACCGCTGGTTTAGAGCATCATCCTGATATGCCAAGTTTGCAGGTTCCATCACCATTCAGGGTACTACTAATTAGAACTATCTTAGAGGACGCTTTAAAATGTTTTCGTCAAATAAGCCATGACCATGTTTCCATGTTAAACAACCTTTTCATGATAATGGAAACCCAATTCTAACAATCTTTGCATGTGATAAGAATTATCCATGGGGTACTCTGTTTTTTAGTAAATCAGTTTCTTCACCAATTCATGCCACTATAAAAAAAGAAAGAGTGCAATTTGTACCCAATGTTTCTAAACTGCTACTATTTCTAACAGTTATCAAATATTCCACAGCTAAATACAGCCCTAAGGCCTTTCTCCATTGTTATTATACTATCAAACAGTATAGACTCTGGGGTTTCAAATTTGATGGCTAAACTATGTTTGTGTGAAAGTAAGAACAATGACAACTTCTTACATAGTAGTTATTAAAATACTTTTGTAGAAGTAGATCATCTTCAAGGGGAGGCGTGAATGATGAGGATGCAATCCAGGAGAAATTTTACCCGCCTCGTTTCATTCAAGTGCCAGAGAATATGTCAATTGAAGAAGGAAGATTCTGCAGAATGGACTTCAAAGTAAGTTTCAAACTATTGGAAGAAAATTAACAATGGGATACTAAGTTTTTAAAAATGTTCTCTTCCTCTTCATAGCTTGCTACACAACTTGAGAAGTAGTATGTATAATGGATAAGAACACAAGTGCTGGAGCCAAGCCTACCTGGGTTTGAATCCTGGCTCTGCCACTTTTCAGCTATGTAACCTTAGACAAGTCATTTAACTTCTCTGTGCTTTTGCCTCATCTGTAAAATGAGAATAACAAATGTACCTACTTCATAAAGTTGTTTGAGGATTAACTAAGTAACCAGGTATAAGGTATTCACAATAGTGCCAACCACCTAATGAATACTCTAAATGAAGCTATAATAATAGGATTTCAAAAGTAGAGTGCCTCTTTAGTTCTCCATTAAGAAATTCTAGCAACCCTGCTTTCTCTCTGCCAAGAAGAGTTCTTCAAGCTAGACCAGCTTTTCCTACATTTTCATTATCCTCATTTGGAGAATTTTTTTCTTATGTTTTTCTGGATTGAAAAACATTTTATATGAATGAAAGTCAGCTGAAACCGGTTTGGCTCAGTGGATAGAGCATCGGCCTGTGGACTGAAGAGTCCCGGGTTCGATTCCGGTCAAGGGCATGTACCTTGGTTGTGGGCACACCCCCAGTAGCAGGTGTGCAAGAAGCAACTGATTGATGATTCTGTCTCGTGGATGTTTCTAATTCTCTATCCCTCTCTCTTCCTCTCTGTAAAAAATCAATAAAATATATTTTAAAAAAAATGAAAGTCAGTGTGTAGACTTAATTGTTAAGGCTTATATAAGAACACTTAACAAACTGCCACTCATATACCAGTACTACAGCTCGAGAACACTGTTTTGGAAAGGTTATTCATTAGATCAGCAAGCTTCACATATATGTGCTTCTGGGACTGCTTTTGCAGTCACTATTAGCCAGAAAAGACATATGACTTCCATATTCTTTAATTAAAAGATCTTAAAAAGCCTGAGGTTGCACATGAAAGAGCTAGATGTGGTTTAAGATATTCATAAAATATTATATTAATTTGAAGAGTTTTCATTTATACTGTTCTATTAAAAATATTGAAAGTAAATACCTTTTTAAGCTCTTGTTTAGCATTTTCAATCATAAACCCACTTGGGTTAAAATTCATAGACAAATGGGTTCCAATGATGCTATCATTTAAAATTGTTGTCTCCCTTACATTTTCATTTCTAGGTGAGCGGACTGCCAGCTCCTGATGTATCATGGTATCTAAATGGAAGGCCAGTTCAATCAGATGAATTTCATAAAATGATAGTGTCTGAGAAGGGTTTTCATTCACTCATCTTTGAAGTAGTCAGAGTTTCAGATGCAGGGGCTTATGTGTGTGTGGCTAAGAACAGAGCAGGAGAAGCCACCTTTACTGTGCAGCTGGATGTCCTAGGTAAGCCCTCTGAGAGATCACAAAGTGTCTTTAAACCTACAGTATTAAAAAAGAAAGTATTAAAAAGAAAATCCTAGAGGACTTCATAGTTAAGGTTAATGTCCACACTATACAATCCAGTAGAACCCCAGTTTTTTACCCAAAAGCCACGAATGAGGTGGAAGTATGAGGGGGGGATAATATTCTTGAGGAAAACTCAGTGAAATTAGAATAATAGATCTACCACCAGAGCTTTTCTGGAAAAGAAATAAAGAAGTGGTATAATTTCAGACAGACCAAATAAGATAGTAGAAGCATTTCTATAGATGTAACTAACAGGTTTTAAAGTGAAAAATGTTAGTCTAATCATTTGTCTGGTCTACAATCTAAAATAATCAATCTGACACATTTTCACAGAATTGTCATAATCATGCATAGCTTAAAACTGAAGAGTAAATATCAACTTTTACCTTAGACAGTGTTCCTTTTATTAGGACACTCAATTTGTAATTATGATAACAAAAACATGCCTACCAGCTTTAGAAAACATATATGGCAAAACTCCTATCTTAAATGTTCTTTGTAAGGCTGTTCTCATAAAGTTGATGTTCTATTTTAAATTATTATAATTTAAGTGCTTTAAATATATCACATTTGTAATGGTTTAAGCCATGGCTTATCACTTAGAAGAATTTGCTATTACTGATTTTTTGTTATATAAAAGCTTGACAACTTGAAATTTTTTTTTCAGTTTGTATTCTACCCAGATCAATGAAAACTCTATAAAATTATTCTATGATATAATAAGGGACCTCAGTCTAAGAGATAAAAATGGGTGATCTTGAAATCAAAAAGCAAAAAGTCAGGTGATTAAGTTTTGGGCAAATCTTCCTTATGCTAATAGTTCCAGAAATACCATAATGTTAGAGCTGAAAGAGACCTTGGCAGGCATCTGTCCAATCTCCTCATTTCTCCTTCAGAAAAATTAGGGTTGTGGTATTATAGTATCATTTCCTCTTAACCCTCAGGTATTTGAAGAAAAGACTTATTAATTATTGACATTTGTATATTATTTTATTGTTTACAAAGTGCTTCTTCACTCATTATCTTAATTGATCCTCACAATAATTTTGTATGGTAACACAGCAGTCACTATTACTTGGGTATTGTATTATCTTACAATAGATAACACTGAGCCTCAGAGAAACTAAACAAAATTTTTCAGAAGTTGGCATGGCTAGTGGAGCAAATAGAGAATTTGAACCCAAGTTGATGGTACTCTTTTGTACCACTCATGCTGCTTCTCTATAGGTGGCATGATAAAAAACAATAAGAGTTAAATTCTTTGAATGAAACATGATTATAAATTCAATGCATCATTACCTTACTGTTTTAGAACTCTGAATTGTATAATACAATGGTATTGTATATTATTTTAGCTAAAGCTAAAACATGAAGCTTCCAATCCTTTCTACTTTTACAAACTTTTTATCAACATACAAGTTTCATAATACTTTGGTTTGACTTAATATCTTTTTTATAATATTTCAAATATTTGGGTTTTTTTATTAATATTTAGCAAAAGAACATAGAAGAGCACCAATGTTTATCTATAAACCACAGAGCAAAAAAGTTTTTGAGGGAGACTCAGTGAAGCTAGAATGCCAAATCTCAGCTGTACCTCCACCAAAACTTTTCTGGAAAAGAAATAATGAAATGGTACAATTCAACACTGATCGAATAAGGTAGGATAAGTATTTCAAGATTTAACTGTAATTTACTTTGGTCAATCCAGTTATACTTTGAAAAGCATTATAAATGGCATGAATGTGATCTCAATTTGTCTCGTTTTTTAAAACATCTATAGAAATATAAACTTCATTAAGCCATAATTCACTAATCAGAAATTTAAAGCATAAAGTAAGCTAGTATTTACCTTGTTACTCACAATAAACAAAGATGGGTCAAAGAAATAGATGATATAAACAAGATTTGCTGTGGGGATATTTAATTCAAGAAAACTAATAGCTATATGGCAATGACTAAATATAGCCTCAGAATTCCCAAAAGCTTCTTTTTCTTATTAGTCTGACTCTATAGATCATGAACATCATAAATAAAACATTCACAGGAAAACTAACTCCTATATTTCCACTCTGTTTCTTTTCAGCTTATATCATGATAACTCTGGAAGAATTACTTTACTGATAAAAGATGTAAACAAGAAAGATGCTGGATGGTATACTGTGTCTGCAGTTAATGAAGCCGGAGTGATCACATGTAACACAAGATTAGATGTTACAGGTATGTCACACTGATATAAAGCATTAAATCAAGTGTTATAAATGACTTTACCCGGAAGTCACAAATCCCAGCACAGCTCAAAATCTGAGGGATTTTTCCTATAAGTAATCAGTTTTGGTTTCTTTTTCTTTTCCTAGTCTGATGTGAATGTCTGGTGCAACCCATTTGTTTAGATTTTCTAAATTAATTTTTATTTGCTCTATTTTAGCCCGTCCAAACCAAACTCTTCCAGCTCCTAAACAGTTACGTGTTCGACCAACTTTCAGCAAGTATTTAGCACTTAATGGAAAAGGTTTGGATGTGAAACAAGCTTTTAACCCTGAAGGAGAGTTTCAGCGTCTGGCAGCTCAATCTGGACTCTATGAAAGTGAAGAACTTTAGTAACTTCACCAACATTGGAAAGCACAGCTACACTATTAGTAATATATTCAATTAAAGTTCTGAAATAAATCCATAGCTGTATTAACAGATTATGGCTTTCATTAGGTAATAAAACTAATATATATTTATAATATTATTTATCCTTTGACTCTTGCACATTCTATCTACTTCTCTGGCTTGAAGCCAACAGAAAATCCGGGTACATGGTTTATAATTGTAGAAGACTATCTTAAAATGTGGGATTTTAAACATCTGAGTCATACATTTAACAATTATAGGTTATGAGTTAATATCAACTTTTTAGACACAACTATTGCTAATAATAAGATTTACTGGTATTTCTTTCTAAATACTGTTTTACCCATTTTCTCTTCTATGAATACTAACATGGTATTAGATTATCTGAGTGTTCCAAAGTTTTATGTCAAAAAGAATAAAATTATAATTACTTAAAACGGTCTGTTTTCTCTTCACAAAAAGTCTAGAACTTTAACATAAAACTTCTGGTTTTTTATTTATCAAACAATTAGCAAACCTTAAGAATAACAAGTTCCAAAAGAACATTATATTCCAGAACAGTGTGTCTTCTCGGTAAAAACTCACGGCTCAATTTCTCCTGAAATGGGGCTAGATTTTCCAAGGCTTTGCACTTCAAAAGCATGAGGAAAGCTCTCCTGAAATTCTGTTTTAACCAAATAAGTAGCTAACTCTTCAAGACCTTTGAGACTACTGAACTCAATAGAATAAGAACAGTTTGTAGTCAGCTGCTTAATTCTTATATTTAATGTAAATCTGTATAGCTGTATTTTGGGTGTTTTTTTTTTTTCCTCTTACATTTCAAGTTCAGATAACCTGTTACATTAAAAAGCATACTTTTGTTAAGCATCTGAGTTTAGTCTAAGCACAGGAAAGGGCAAATCCTTTCATTAAACTATACCTAAGCTAGGACAGCAGCCTTTTCTTTCTCAGGCCCCTGTCCATGGCTGTCAGGCCTCCCCTGTTCCTTTTATCATCTGTAGCCTCTGACCCTCCCCGCTGTGTGGCCTAGTTTTGCTTTTTATCTGCACATAAAACAGCATTTATCACCATCAGACTACGTCTCTTTCAGGAAAATAACCAACAAAAATGGCTTTATTTCTTTACTTTCCAAAAAGCTAGATGGTTTTCTTTGCTGGCTGCCCTGGGGCCCTTCAACTGACTTCCGTCGTGTTTTCCTTTTACCCACGTGAGAGTCCTGTCCCTTCGGTCTCACAGCCCGACTGGCTTTGGACGCTTTAATTTACAGCCACATCTGTTTGGCCTTTTCTACAGCTGGTTTTCAAAGCGTCCACATCTTTGCAAAGCTTCAGGGACAGGTGTGAGTCTGGGCTCCCAAGGAGTACTGTTTTCTGGCCTTCTACATGATCACTGCAAAGCTGGGTTATTATTGTTTATTTATTTTAACGTTCCCTTTAGCCATGCCGAGAGGGAAAGGAGGGTGGAAGCTATTTCTGGCAACATCTCTCAGCTAATTCTTTCCAAACATTGGGACTTTTTAAAAATGCCAGGACGCGAGACAAATTTTTAAAAATCGGGACTGTCCCGCCAAAATCGGGACGCCTGGTCACCTTAGCTAAGAAATACCCAGTTTCTTTCTTTCTTTCTTTTTTTTTTTTTTTTTTTTTTAATATATTTTATTGATTTTATACAGAGAGGAAGGGAGAAAGATAGAGAGTTAGAAACATCGATGAGAGAGAGTCATCGACCAGCTGCCTCTTGCACACCCCGTACTGGAGATATGCCCACAACCAAGGTACATGCCCTTGACCGGAATCGAACCCGGGACCCTTCAGTCCCCAAGCCGACGCTCTATCCATTGAGCCAAACCGGTCCCGGCGAAATACCCAGTTTCTAACGGGAGCAGCGGCAGCAGGGGGTCGTGGTTCTGCGTGCGGCCCAGGCGTGGGGACCTGGCCCTGCCTGCACTTTGGGGAACTGGCCTCTCGGCACCCTCGGTTTCCTCAGACCTAAAACGAGGACGGAACACCTACCTTTCAAGAAGGGGTGTGTGAAGGCCAAACGAGCCAATAAACACTAAAAAGTATTCAACAAGGAGTAGCCCGTTACAATTAGTTACTTCTACTTTTAGGACTAGCCGCGGGAGCCAGGTTGGCCCTGGGAGCCGCCCTCCCGCTGGAGGCGAACGGCGCGGCCTCCGACCCCCGCCTCGGCCGAAGCCCTTCTAGAAGGTCCTCGGCGCGCACGCGCGCTGACCACCTGGAGCGCGGCCGGCGCCCCTCGCGGAGCTGGCGGCTCGCGCAGGCGCAGGAGCGGGGCGGCTCGCGCAGGCGCGGCGGGCCGGGGAGGTTGGGCCGGCGCCTCTCCCGGGTCCGCCATGCCTGTGGCATCTCGTTGGCACCGAGGCGGTGAGGGATGCTTCTGCGGGGGGAGTTCTGTAACCCCGTGTCTGTTCCTGTGAGAGAGGTGACCTCCAGGACGTTTAGCGCTTAAGCGGATGGGGACGGAGGTCCCATTTTACAGGCTGGGAAACGGAAACGCTGCAGGGACCGGGCGCTCGCCCCTTGCGGGGTCCTGGCGCCGGACTCCGGCGTTTGCTGTACCAGGACCGTCGCCACAACAGCTGGGAGTGGTGATCTTGGCTGAATCCCAGGCCGAGTCCTCTTCCCTCCCAGGCTTCCCCAGAAACTGGTGGAGGAAACAATTAAGGACAGATATGGGGGTTTTATTTTCTATTTTGCTTTTTTTTTTTTTTTTTTTCATTTTACAACAGGACTGGTCTTTTCCTGTACATCCGTTTTATGTTATAAAATTCATGAGTATAGAGTCACAAAATGACTGCCCACTTTACCCCCAAGGGAAAATGTTAGAAATGATTCCTCCCTTATAAAAAGTGGGAAGAAACATATAATCAGAAGCCACAGACCCTGTCCTTCACACAGCATAGAATTAAAAGTGGCTGGTTTTATATCCTTGTTGTTTATACACATTAGGAAGTACATAATAATGTAAGGAAATTTTTGTTTTGTATTTCACAGGGACTCCAAAACATAACCTGCATATCAGAAATGAAATACAACGAAGTAGAAGCATACTTCTGGAGTTATTACTCTACCTTATTTTTTTAATAATCTTATGTATATGTAAGTACACAGATGTATAGATAAAATGCTACTTGAACTAAAGTTATGTGGAGATGAGAAATAAAACGTGGACTTCATAAGCCAGAGGCTTTCAGAATACTAAAACACACTAGTGACACGTTTCAGACTTTATCTCAAATTTATTTACATTGGCACTATTTCCAATTCTTAAGGGACAAAACTTTAGATCACAGAAGTAAAGCTTTCATAGTCAGCATTGACTGAATTAGTTATTCCTTTCAGTTGGCATTTCTATCTTGAATGTAAATTGAGTTGGCAATCCTAACTTCATTTCTTTTAGAGCCATGTAGATATACTAGAAGCCTGGTGATTGAAAATCGTGTCCTGGAAGGTGACGGGGAGGGTCCCCTCAGCCTGGCCTGTGCCCTCTTGCAGTCCAGGAGCCCTTAGGGGATGTCCAGCTGACAGCTTAGGCCTGCTTTGAGTTGGCCTAAGCTGGCAATCGGACAGCCTTAGCGCTGCCAGAGGCAGAGAGTTTCCTGCCACTGCACTTGCCAGCCATGAGCCAGGCTTCTGCTGAGCAGTGCTCCCAAGGGGAGCCCACTGACCACCAGGGAGCAGCTCCTGTATTGAATGTCTGCCCCCTGGTGGTCAGTGCACATCATCATAGTGACTGGTGGTTCTGTCATTAAATCAATTTGCATGTTAGCCTTTTATTATATATTATAAGTCAAACTGCAAATGAGGCCAAAGGAGTTAATTTTAGTCTCTGCTTTGTTCTTTTCCCTGTTCTGTTGCACAATTAATAGTAAAAAATGCTTGTGCTGAGTCACAAAACTTGGATCAATACAGATCTGTTAAGGACTGGGAAAACTTCTCAACCTACATTCCTCCTATGTAGGTCAATGTCATTGATTTCAGTTATAAAGAACATTTTTTTAAATTTATTTATGTATTTGTTTGTTTATTTATTTATTTGAGAGAAGGGAGAAACTTCTAATCTGCTGCCTCCTTCATTACCCCCATAACCCAGATGTGTACTGACTGGGAATTGAACCAGTGACCTCTTGGTTCATGGGCTGACACTCAACCACTGAGCCACACCACACCAGCATTTTGTCTTTAAGGTACCTCACATAAAGTAGATGTAATCTTATCGGCCTGACTGACTTCATTTTGGTATGGACTAACACTGGTAATCATATATCAATTAATTAATAGATTTGTAGGTGTGAACTTGACTTGGATCTTGATTTAAAAGGCAACTTCAGCCAACCTTATAAATTAAGATGTCTTAGGCTTTTTTTTTTTTTTAAACTACCACATTTAGAGAACAGAAAAATATAAAAATATAATTCCATTATTCAGGGATCAAAAACCTTTATATAATTAGAATTGAAAACAATTTAAGTCTCCATCAATGGAAGATTTATTTAACATTACAGTGAAATAATGCAACATTAAAGAAAGGCATAGGCTTATGTGTGCTATGGAATGATGTTGAAGATACATGATCTGTAAAAACTAAAGGGCTTATAGCAAAAAAAAAATTATTCCGCACTCCACTCTAAAACGCACCCACCCACCCCTAGAAAGAAAAAAATTTCTAGTTAATACTTGTTAAAATTCTTACAAAGTGCCATAACATAGTTTTAAATGTTCCACGTGCATTTTCTCACTTCTTATAACAAAACTATGAGGTAAGAAATACTATTTCTATGATAGGACTCAAACCATTTGTAGTCAAAGCCTATAGTCTTTTTTTTTTAATAGTTTTTTTTATTGATTTTAGAGAGGAAGGGAGAGAGAAACATCAATGAGAAAGAATCATTAATTGGCCAGCTCCTGCACACCCCTCCACAGCCCGAGCATGTGTCCTCGACTGACATAAAACCCAGGACCCTTCAGCCCACAGGCCAACACTATCCACTGAGCCAAACCAGCCAGGGCAAAGTTCATGTCTTAACTACTCACCATAATATACTGCCTTCTGTCAATATACATAGAAAGCCAAGACCAGTTTGGCTCAATGGATAGAGCGTCGGCTTGGGGACTGAAGGGTCCCAGGTTTGATTCCGGTCAAGGGCATGTACCTTAGCTGCGGGCATATCCCCAGTACAGGGTATGCAAGAGGCAGCTGATCGATGACTCTCATCGATGTTTCTAGCTCTCTATCTCTCTCCCTTCCTCTCTGTACAAAATCAATAAAATATATTTTTTTAAAATAAAGTTACAAATTATAATAAAAATTGTGATTTAAAAAAAATATATATATATGTGTGTAGAAAAAAAGCCAAATTGCAGAATAGTATGTATAATAGGATCTCATTTTTATAAAAATAATTTTCTTTATAAATGTGTGTGTATAGAAAAATCTGGAGCGTATATGCCGAATCTAACTCTAGCAGTGGGAGTACAGGAATCTTCTTCCTTTTTATGTTTTTATTTTAGCTTTATTATTATTATTACTTTTATAATTAGACAAAAATTAAAATTGAATTTCAAAACAAAATTGGGGACAAATTATAAATGCATATTTAATCCAGATAAACTCAGTTTTTAAAAATAAGTTTTAAAACAAAAAATTTCTTCTTCTTAGTGACTTTTGGGACGGTAAACCCACATATGTATTACTTAAACAAACTTATGTCATCTGTATTTTTGGACACTTCTGTGCCTGGTGATGAAAGGACCAACTTTAAGTCTATTTGCAGCATCCCTGATTTTTGGAAGGTAAGGTAGCATGTGACTGTGGATAAAGTAGCGTTAGGTAATGCATAAACCTTTGGCACATGTAGTAGGCACTTGATACAGTGCATATTTGGTGAAGGAATGAGTAAAAGTTAATGTAATTTCTTCATATTACAGTCAACCAATCAGTGATTGTTTATTGAGGAGTTATATTCCCAGTGTAAGTGCTTATAATTAAAAAAAAAAAAAAAAGAAGTACTGTCTTAGCCAGTTTGGCTTAGTGGATAGAGTGTCAATCCCCAGACTGAAGGGTCCTGGGTTCAATTCCCAGTAAAGGGCACGTACTTGAATTGCAAACTTGATCTCCGGCCCTGGTGGGGGCACCTGTAGGAGGCAACCAATCAATGTATCTCTCTCACACCAATGTTTCTCTCTGTGTCTCTCCCTCTCCCGTCCACTCTCTCTAAAAATCAATGGAAAAATATCCTCAAATGAGGATTTTAAAAAAAATTTTAATGTCTTGTTTATTGCATTTAGAAAATAAAAAACTTGCTTCTTATGTGGTAGGATCCAAAGTCAGTCTCTAATTGTGTATAGTGAAAATTACTCTTTTTAAAAATCCTTAAATTGCCTATAAAATGAAACATATGCCATGTGGGTATACTATACAACCCTATACTGTGTGAGAGTTACAATAGCATACAATATATAATAAAGAGTATATATAGCCAAGACCGGTTTGGCTCAGTGGATAGAGTGTCGGTCTGCGGACTGAAGGATCCCAGGTTCGATTCTAGTCAAGGGCATGTACATTGGTTGCAGGCACAAACTCAGTGGAGGGTGTGCAGGAAGCAGCTGGTCGATGTTTCTCTCATCGACGTTTCTAACTCTCTATCCCTCTCCTTTCCTCTATGTGAAAAATCAATAAAATATATTACAAAAAAAGCATATATATATATATATATATACACACAAAATATAATTTTATAGTTTTTTAATTGCATAAGGGAATCAGTGCTTCAACTTTTTTCTTTTTTCTTTTTATTTATTTCTAAATAAATCTTTATTGCTCAGATTATTACAATTGTTTCTCCTTTTTCCCCTCATAGCTCCCTTCCACCCGGTTCCAGCCCCCCCGTCTGCCTTTACCTCCCCTTCTCCTCCCCCCACCCCCCACCATTGTCCTCATCCATAGGTGTACGATTTTAATCCAGTCTCTTTCTGCACCCCCCACACCCCTAGATTTGTTTTGTTGGGTTTTTTTTTTCATTACACTTAGCAAAATGCTTACATTGTGAGGAAAGAACAACTAAGAAAACAGTAGTTTCAGGTTCCCATGTCATAACCATTGGAGCATGCTGGAAGAGGTAGGAAAGGTTTTCAAGAGGTGATGACTATTCATTTGAGCTTTAAAGGATTAGTAACGCAAGGGCATTCTAGACAGAATAAGCAATATGTTTTATGAAAATTCTACATATGGGGCTATATTTGACATTATAGGCAAACTAGAGGCCCAGTGCACAAAACTCGTGTACTTGGGGAAGCCCCTCAGAACGGCCTGTGCTCTGTCCCAGTCCGGGAGCCCTTGAGAGATATCTGACTGCTGGCTCACCAGCCATGAGTCCAGCTTCTGACTGAGCAGCGCTCCCCTTAGGGGAGCACATTAACCACCAGAGGCAGCTCCTATGATGAGCATCTGCCCCTGGTGGTCAGTGCACATCATAACAATTGATCATTTGGCTATTTGTTCTATTTGCATATTAGCCTTTTATTTTATAGAAGATGAGGTAGAAAAGGCCAAACTATGAATTAGGTCAAATCACGAAAGCCATGCTAGGAATTTAGATCTTATCAAAGAGACAAGGTCATCATTATCATTAATATTAATGTTGGCTTAGTCAACAATTTTCATCCTCATCCTCAAAATCACTGGTTTTTATATTCTGATGGGTAACATTATGAATGTAGAGTCTGTTATACAGTTGACATGAAAATACTTTTCCCATAACATTTGTTTTTCCATGTGAAGTTTATGGAAGGACCCCTTTTGGAAGGTCTATACTGGGACTCATGGTACAATAATAGCCAGTTGTATAATTCAAAGAACAGCAGCCGCATCTACTCTGAGAACATACTCTTAGGAGTCCCCAGAGTCCGTCAACTAAAAGTCCGAAACAACACATGCAAGGTCTATTCATCCCTTCAGTTTGTGATGAGGGAATGTTATGCCAAATACACTTCTAAAAATGAAGACATGTCTGATTTTGGGCTTCAAGTTGAGACTGAGTAAGTAGTATAAAATTACACGTAACATTTTCTAGCAGTTAACCATTATATCTTTAAACAGTTGTGAAAATATGTGTATTTTCCAAATAATACCAACAGGGGCCTTGTTCCAATAATAGTATCAAAGGACAACTCAGCGTTGCAGTGTATAAAAAAAGAAAGAGCTGAACCTGTTATTTGTTTTGTCTGCCAAATGGCATATGAAGTATTAACTCATTGGACACAAGGGAAAGTGTCCATTTTTGCTCTTACAAGACTCAATGAGCTCTTCTGGCAATGGCCAGACTCACTTCAAACACATCCCAAATGCTTCTTGGGATCCTACAGAGTATCCTACGTGTCCTGGGCAACCTTCCTTCTTTCTCACTGCAGCTTACTTCAGTGATGTCTCTATTGTTGCTAACATAAAAAAGGGACAGTTATGCTCTGCGGGCACTGCATATGCTGATGCCTGCCAAAGATGTTATGACCACTGATCTTTAAAACGGCTGAGGCTACTGCTGGTGTAGACTCCTGTCTATATATAAAACATGTGTGCCCTAGCTGGTTTTGCTCAGTGAACACAGAGCGTTGGTCTTTGGACCAAAAGGTCCCGGGTTCAACTCCAGTCAAGGGCACACACCTTGGTTGCAGGCTCCTCCCCCCGCCCAGGCCCTGTTTTCTCTGTCCCTCTCTTCCACTCTCTCTAAAAATCAATGGACAAATATGCTCAGGAGAGGATTTAAAAAAAAAAAAAAAACACACACAATCCAAACCCAGTGATACTACCTCCCTTTAACACAAAAGCTGCTGGCATCATTGCTTTTAGGGTCCTATGAAAATGTTAGGGGGCAGATAATCTTTTCTGTGGAATTTTCATTAAATATGAGTATTCTTTTTTCTTAGTGGTGTCATTTTTTTATCCCCCTATAAACAAACACAGTATCATAAATAGAAATACAATTTAAGTGGTACAATTTTGGATAATAATCGTTTCAATCTATTTTGGGTAGATAGAATGACTGAAATAAGGAATCAAGACTTTATTATTATTTTTTTTTTAATATTTTACAATTAAGTTAAAAGAAAAAATGGAAACAAAATTTAGTTACACACATTTTACTTTGATATATGTAATTTCATTAAAATAACATACCTATATAACAATATTTACATTATAACGAAGTCCTCTGTACTGGGTATTTTATAAATGGCGTATGACGTTTAGAAGACACACCATGAAGCACCTTTTTTCCCATGCTGAGACAGATATTTCTGAATCAAAACCTTTGGTATTCTTGTTCTAGTCAAAGGCTTAAGAGCTAATACAACAGAGACAATATGTTAAAGAATAAAGTCAGTCATTATTTTCCAGTGTTTAAGCTCCTTGAGGCAAAAATAGATTTAAAAATATTTCATGGTAGTCCAGTGTCTTGTCCACAATAAGCATTAAAAAATGAAAACATATTTAATATTAATTCTTTTAACTTCATCCTCAACTCATTGTTCTGCTTCAAAATTACTATAATACTTATGAACTTAGTATTATTCTTTTAACAACTACTTTTGAACCAAAGTTTAGCCGAAATTCTTAGAATGCTTCCAATTCAGGTCCTTCTCATCTCTCCACTATTCTTTTTATCTCTAACAGATGGAAGTATTCTACTCCTACCATCAGTGCCCCTTGGCACTGGGGATTTGTTGGTGTTTACAGAAATGGGGGATATATTTTCACTTTATCAAAATCAAAATCTGAAACCAAAGACAAGTTCATTAACCTTCAAAAGAATGACTGGATCACTAGAGGGACTCGAGTTGTTTTTATTGACTTTACGTTATACAATGCTAACGTAAACCTGTTTTGCATCATCAGGTGAGTGATTCAAAACCTGTTAAGAAATTTAAAAAAGCATCCAGAGCCCTGGCCAGGTGGCTCAGTTGTTTGGAGCATGGTCCCATGTACAAAAGATTGCAGGTTTGATTCCCAGTTGGCATGTACAGGAGACAATCAATCAATGTTTTTCTCTAAAAAAATAAACGAAAAACATTCAGAACTCTTATTAGGGTTTCCAGTTTTGGCATGCCTGTACTGAGATTAAAATTATAAGCTTAAAAATATAACGTTATTTTGCTAATAATGAAAAAGAAGATTAAGCAACATCCTATTTCATTATTTGAGAATATATTCAAGAACTTGGAGAATTATATACAATATGTTGGTTTTATATTACTAAAGGATATATAATTTTATTGTCACCCTGCAAGTGCAGAGGTCTAACTAACATTTAGTCTTGACGATTTCTTCTTCTATTCCAGTCATTCAAATAGTTACAGTGAAATACATTCATGGCCTTTAAAATTTGTAAAAATGAATAAAGCAAGTGAATTACCTTAAGCAGCCAATGAATAGTATACCTATTATTTTACAGTTCTTCTCTTTAAGGAATCAGAGGTGTTGGGTTTTTTGTTTTGTTTTTTTATTATGTGTATGTGTTGTTGTTTTTTAGAGAGTGGGGGAGGAAAAGAAAGCGAGGAGAAATAAAAACATCATTGAGAGAGTAACATCAATAGGCTGCCTCCAGCAGGACCACTGCTGGGCATCGAGCAGACAACCTGGGCATGTGCCCCGACCAGGAATATAACCAGATGACAATCAACCAAGCCACACGAGCTGATCAAGGAACCAAGAGCTTTTTTTTATCAACATTGTTCACCTTTCCCTACTAGTCCTTATCAGAATAAAGTGAAGAATACAAATCACTTCTATGTCCTAAACAAGAGTAGAAACATTGGAGTAATTGCCTTAAAGGCATATGAAGAACTCTGTAATACTAGATTAAATCCAGATTTCCTTTCTCTAGGTTTAATGCTTATTCCTTGTTATCTTTTAAAATGTTATTTTTTTTAAAAAAACCAGCAAATTTTGAAACCTTTATCTGGTAGTATATCTAATCAGTAGTTGTGAGTAAGTATGTTATTTTCACCAAGACCTCACCTACTTGTTTTCCTTTTTGTACACTGTGTCTGGAAAAGTAAATGCAGTCCTTTTTTCTCTCTTTTTGCTTCTCTGTTTACACTTCAGATCAAAATACTGAGTTTCTTTCACTGATTCACTTATCCAACACTGCACACCTATTATATGCAAAGTGGAACCAATAGTTCTCCTTTCCACTTGTTAACTGGCTATTTTGTTTTTGTTCTTGTTTTGGCAGCATCTTATTCCAGTACCAATAAGACATGCTAATATCTTTAGGTAGAAATAATGACTTTGTGACATGGTGATAGAGATGCTTGTTCCTTAAAGTACTGCCAATTCTTAATTATCTGAAGTAGTGACGAACATTAGAAGTACCGTGAACAACCTCAAAATCATATTATATTTAGTGATGGAATTCATTTTAATACTTATATTTACATAATAGATCTTCATATCCAACATCAGTGCCGAAAGTAAACATACACTTGCTTTAGTAGAATATGTGATCTTGACATTTAGAAACAAGAACTACCTCTGATAAGGTAAAGAAAGAGAGTGTATTTCCCTTCTCTGAAGTATTCAAGAATTACGTATTTTGGGGTGAGTCCTGACTAATAATAGTACGTAACTAACAGTATAGTATTTTCTTGAACATCATCTCATTCTCCGGTGGAGATAAATTAGTATTCCCAGTTGTGAACAAACAATCTAAACGTAGCATAAAATGAATGTCTGGCTAAAATCACATCTCATTTTCTTGTTTATCTTGGTCTTTGACTATTGGAAATATGCAAAGTACATAAAGAGTACAGTCATTTAAAAAATAAGTAAATCCACTAGAAATTTTTCAAATTGAATCCATGACCTCAAGAAAACATATTTTGTATAAAATAATTGGTTATCAATAAATTACACATCAGCACCAATCAGAAATTTCACATTAAATTACGTACTGAAATATAAATGCCTGAAATGCACAAATCTAATTTTACAGGTTGGTGGCAGAATTCCCTGCAACTGGAGGAATACTTACTTCATGGCAGATTTACTCAGTGAAATTCCTCAGATATGTTAGCAACTATGATTATTTTATTGCTGCCTGTGAAATCGCATTTTTAATTTTTTTTATTATCTTCATAATACAAGAAGGCATAAAAATGGTAAAATTTAAGTTTGCCTATTTCAAAAGTATTGGGAACTGGCTAGAATTACTACTTTTGGTGGTAAGTATATATTCAAATGTATTGTTGAAGGAACTCACATATGAATCAATCAATAAGAGGTGCAAAAGCAGAAATTTTTATTCATTGGGACTTATTTTAAAAACTTAAAATATCAAATCATAAAATGAACAGTTACAGTACATTCTAATGGTGTGCTTCCAAAAGGGAATAGTCTTTTTTTTTTTTTTCCTTGTTTGATTCTTGGACCAGAGTAAACCTAGAGGAATAGTAATTCCATAGGTATTATGATTTAATATGCACAATAGGTCTCACCTACCCCCACTCAAAAATCTTTTTTACAATCATGTTGAAAATCATGGATCTTTTCTCTGTTGCCTAAATCTGCTTTCCTCCTCGCATTGAATTTTGAAAGAATAGCATTGTATATATTTGTGTTTTAGGACTCAAAGAAACAAGCAGGCAGATAGATTAGGATGGTCAGGTTGATATTTTTTTAAATATATTTTATTGATTTTTTTTACAGAGAGGAAAGGCGAGAGACAGAGAGCTAGAAACATCGATGAGAGAGAATCATCGATCAGCTGCCTTCTGCACACCTCCCACCAAGGATGCGCCCGCAACCCAAGTACATGCCCCCAATCGGAATCCAACCCGGACCCTTCAGTCCACAGGCTGACGCTCTATCCTCTGAGCCAAACCGGTTTTGGCAATATTTTTCTACATTATGATTAAACATCTATAAATTGAGGCTTACTTCCACTTACTGAAACCCTATGTTTTATCTCTCCCTCCCTTTTGTTGAACTTTTGATTAACTTTTCCATGTGCTTCTTTGTAGAGTGCAGGAGATTTAGAGGTAGAAATAGCCTCTAATCTAACTCTTCTTTTTTCCCCCTTATAGTTGTATTTCTTTACAATTTTCTTCAACTTATACAGTAAAATGCAAATTTCCCTCATACTTGACCAGCTGTTAAAACGTACTGAACAATATTCAGACTTCTATTTGCTCACATATTGGCTCATTTTTTACAACAATATACTTGCTATTACCGTCTTTTTTGCATGGATAAAGGTATTTATATTTTATTATATTAGATATAACAGAATAGATATATTTTTATATTAGATATCAAAATGGGAACTTAAACTACAAAGCATGAAAAAATAAAAAGATATTCTTAACTATAAAATAATTTTAAACATAGTTTGGCCATGTAATGATTGCTGACACATCCTTAAATATCCCTATCATTAAACATCTCTTTGAAATTAAATCAGATTTCTTCTGAAGTTATTTTAAGTAATTATAATCTTTAATATTCTATTTCAATTAATTTTGTTCTTTTTCAGATACTCAAATTCATAAGCTTTAATAACACAATGTCTCAGCTGTCATCAACCTTATCCTGCTGTATCAAAGACATAGTAGGATTTACCATCATGTTTTTTATAATACTCCTTGCTTATGCAAACTTAGGATTTCTTCTTTTTGGATCACAGGTTGACGACTTCTCTACTTTACAAAATTCCATGTAAGCTCTTAGTATAAATGTAATTATATTTCCAGTTTATAACAAAAAAAATCACAAAAAGATCTATGTTAAGTAGTAACATAAGCTCTAATAACTTTAAACTTGGTTTTATATTTTCACTATTAGCTAAGTATGTCACACTCAAAGCATGGTTAGGCACTGAAAGATCCAAATGGATGGTGATATCAGTTTTTTAAGAGTTACCAGGAAAAGGTGGAAAATAAATTTCATTTCTCACTAGAAGTGAAAATTTTATCTAAGATAAAAGAAATTGGCTCCATGTCTCTGAGCAAAAGAAATCGTGTTTTCTTTAGAGGTCTCCATCTTTAGAATCCTTTTGTTATTGACCTGATTGCCCTTTGCTACTCTGGTAAAGCTGTGTTTTAAAAAATAATAATAATTAATTAAAATAGCTTTATACATATAAAGCAATCAGCAGGTAACAAACATAAAACTAATTAGAATCCCTAAAAAAGTATTCAGGCTTTCCTTTAAAAGTGAATAATTTTAATAATTTACTCCCCTTTTCAAGTAGGTAAGCAAGCTCTGTCTGTATAAGTAAACTATGATATTCTAAAATATCAATTTTCAAAACACACCCTGTGGACTCTAGACCAAGATTGTCTGGGGGAAATGGCCTCAGGTTTAAGTAAGATTGGGAAATTTTGCAGTGCATAGATAAACATAAAATTAAGAAATTAAAGACTTTAAAAATATTTCAAATGCTACCATGTTTCCCCAAAAATAAAACATCCTCCGAAAATAAGACCTACTTACAGGTTTCCTTCTGAGTGAAATATAAGGAATCCCCCCAAAATAAGGCCCTCCCTAGGCTAAACATGAGAGATTTGGTCCACTGATTCTGAAAGAAATGGAGTCACAAGAAATTCACAAGGAAATTCAGGAATTGGATTGTTATGATGATGTTCCAGAAGATGATGACATGATTGTCATTGAATAAATGAGTAAATTCTTGATACTGTAGGATTCACAGTTTGTCTAGTTTGTGTTGACAACTACCGTACTACCGTATACAGGTAATAAATTTCCTTTATTTTCATTTAACAATAAATGTGTACCGTATTCTTCATGGAAAAATAAGACATCCCCTGAAAATAAGACCTAGCGCATCTTTGGGAGCAAAAATTAATATAAGACACTGTCTTATTTTCGGGGAAACAGGGTATTTCACATCAAAACCAAGTTTTTATTGTTATTGAAGAAAATAAACCTTAGGATCATGTTTGAGACTTAGCATTGACTAATTATTGGCTATTTTAAAAGAAGAGCAAAAATTAAACATATTATATCATTGGTATTAGAAGATATTGTATGGCTCTTGGGTCTAGGTACAGGTTGAAAATCACTTGAACAACCCAAACTGGTTTGGCTCAGTGGTAGAGTGTCGGCCTGCAGACTGAAAGGTCCTGGGTTCAATTCCGGTCAAGGGCATGTACCTTGGTTGTGGGCGCTTTCTATCCCTCTCTCTTCCTCTCTATGAAAGAAAGAAAGAAAGAGAGAGAGAGAGAGAGAGAGAGAGAGAGAGAGAGAGAGAGAGAGAGAGAGAGAGAGAAAGAAAATCACTTGAACAAAGTGAAAGTATTTTAAGCTTTAGAAAGGCACATGAATAGCTAAGGAGGCCACTGTGAAGATAGTTGGCAAAAAGGTAGCCTGGGAAAAGGTTCAGATCTTACAATTAAACATTGGGTTGACATTAGTTAAATAAATTGAAGCCCAACATTACCTGTTCAGCTATCGAGGTACCTCAAGTCTTGCCTTCAGGGGAATTTTCTACATTCAGTTTTCTAGAACTCTGTGCTGTAACACAACTAAAGCCATACTGCATATGCCACAATATTGTCTAATCTTTTTCTTTCTTCTCATCAAAGATTTACACAGTTTCGAATTATTCTTGGGGATTTTAATTTTGCTGCTATTCAGCAAGCCAGTCCTATCTTGGGACCCATTTACTTCATCACCTTCATCTTATTCATATTCCTTGTCCTGCTGGTAAGAATGACCATATGTTTCCTTTTTTTATATACATATTTTTGAGTGAAAAATGAAATGAACAACTTAGAAGAAATTATAGTATCACTGTTTAGCAATCAGAACACTTTACATTGACTAATGCATATATAAGTAACCATTCATATGCACCATTTAAAATTTTATTTTCCATAAACGTGTCTGCCTAGGTCTACAAACTACACATTACCCAGTCTGCTGTATTTCAGTCTTCAGAGCAATTTCTCTATTACTATATGAGTTACTTTTAAAATTTAAATCTAATTTTATAAATCCCAGCACTTGCCAAAATCACTAACACTTAAACTAAGTTTTTATTGAAATAATTTCTTATTTGGATATTTCTGTCCAGAACATGTTCTTGGCAATAATTATTTTTACCTATTCGGAAGTGCAAGATGATTATTCAATAGGCAGAAGATCATCGTTTAAATTTTGTAAACCAATTAAGAAGGTATGTCAAATTATTTTCCTAATTAGAATTCTAAGACAAATGTTGCTCAGTTTATACACTTATAGTTTGAATAACACTTAAACCCAAAAGTGGGTTCTGGTTTGGGTGTGTTTTTGAGGGGAGTGCGTGTGTTTTTTCATTTTGGCCCAGTGAAAATCATTTTTGTATTATTTCACTACCAGGGCAGTGACATAAAACTCTCTGGCTTTTTAAAAAAGCGTGACCAAAATTATTTCAGAGTTTAATGTATCAAGTAGTAATTGGGCTATTTACTAAATGCAAAGCACTGAATAAACTTTTCTCTCCAAAAGTTTTCCATTTAGGTGCCGGCTAATTTCTAGAAACAATCTAAACTCAGAATCCCATGTCTTACCTTCCTCACTTTCCTATTCCCATTAATGACAATACTCTTCTCAGGTGCCCCGGGCTCAAATACCTTGGACTTATTTCCTCGTCCCTTATACAATCTGCTGCCAAGGTTTGTCTAAAGTTTTTGTTCATGTGTGTGGAACTCAAGACACTCTTAATTCTGTCACCTTATCAGGGCCCAGTACTTTCCACCCAGCCTTTTGTATAGTAACATCTTACCTGTTCTAGCCTCTTTCCTGTGCCAGGCCAGCTCTGAGCATATTATTTCTCTGCTCAAAATTCTTCAGTTTCCCTGGGCCTATCAAAATAAGTTCAAATTTTTACTATTCTTGTTATTAACCTTTTTCCAAGAATATTTTCCCATTGATATTTAGAGAGTGAAAGAAATGGAGACAAAGAGAAACATCAATGTGAGAGACATCAACTGGTTGCTTCCTTCATGCGCCCTGATCTGGCAGGAATCGAGCCTGCAGCCCAGGTATCTGCCCCTGACCAGAACCAAATCTGCGACTGCTTCAGTCTATAGGCCGATGCTCTAGCCACTGAACCAAAGGGGTCAGAGCTAAGTTCAAATTCTTTATTCAAACATTCAGGGCCCTTCTAAAGTCTCACAGCCCCAAATTATCTTTCTTTATTATCATCTAACTATAACATTTCTACCTGCTATGCCTCCATTTCCAGCAAGGTAGGGCCCAATGTTGTAAGCACAGTGCTGTTTACGCTTCCTCTCACTCTCTCCTCTGCTCATGTCATTCTCTGACCCCAAGTATATGACCTGTGCTCACTGACATTCTATTCTTTCCAACAAAGGAATCTTCTTTGTCCTCTATTTCTTTTTAAAATGTTTTTATTGGTTTTTAGAGAGGGAGAGGGAAACATCAATGAGAAGCATCATTGATCGGCTACCTCCTGCATGGCCCCCAACTAGGGATCAAGCCCACAACCTGGGCATGTACTATGACCGGGAATTGAACCATGACCTCTTGGTTCCTGGGTCGATGCTCGACCTCTAAGCCACACAAGCCGGGCCTTCTGTCCTTTTGACACCACCTCACTTTGGATGGTAGCAACGTCATGTGTGTACAGACCATCTTGCCTGCCTCTGCTTAGCCATACCTTTAACTAAGACACTTAACATGGAAAAGGTCCTAATAGCTGTAGGGTTAGTGGGATTTAAGAACTGTATCCAAGAACTTATATGTAAAATAAAACTATTAATATATCCACCAATGAATTTTCTGTTGTTTCAACATTTACCTTATGATGTTGGTTATATGCATTAAAGTGTTAACTTTTTTTAAAATTATTATTGATTTGAGAGAAAAAGAGGGAGAGAAATATTGACTGGCTGCCTCCTGCGTGCCCCCTACTGGGGATGGAGCCTGAAACCCAGGCATGTGCCCTAACCGGGAACCAAACAGGCACCTTTCTGTGCTCAGGATGATGCCCAACTAACTGAGCCATACTGGCCAGGGTATGTTAGCATCTTTAATGCAATAACTGTTAATAGTCCTTTGTTTTTATGGTTGACACTATTACAGATGTTTGCCTTTCCTCCCCTCTTTGCCCACCTATCACACCGCTGTCTGTGACCATGGGCTATGCATATATGTTCTTTGTTAATAGTACTTTTTAAAGAAGTTTTTTTTTCAAGTGCAGGTCTGATGCCCACAGGAGAACTTTTTTCTTTGCACCAACAGGCAGAAACCATAGTGCTGACAAACTGAAACCGTATCATTTGCCTCTACCTTTCTTTAGTGTAGCAATCCCTAGAGACAAGCATTCCATATTTCCATTACCTGGACCAAAAATTAAAAATACAGGTGCCAAAACTGGTTTGGCTCAGTGGATAGAGCGTCGGTCTGTGGACTGAAAGGTCCCGGGTTCGATTCCGATCAAGGGCATGTACCTTGGTTGCGGGCACATTCCCAGTAGGGGGTGTGCAGGAGGCAGCTGGTCGATGTTTCTCTCTCATCGATGTTTCTAGCTCTCTATCCCTCTCCATTCCTCTCTGTAAAAAGTCCATAAAATATATTTTAAAAATACAGGTATGTTTTTAATTTTTAATTATATCCAGATTTGCAATAATATTCTTGAAAAACTCAAGCTAAAGAAACCTCAAGAAGGTGAAGACGATAAAAGGTAAGACGATTTAAATTTTTTAATTTACAATTTAAAATCTCTATATTGTACGAGAAACTTATGGGTAAGGTTTTGAAAGCAAAACCACAACCATCCAAAGTGCTGACTCTAAATATGTTAATAAACCCAGTAGTGCTTAACTTCTGAGAGTGTCTTGAAACTCTAAGCTAATCTAAAAGTAATATAAGGTATGCCATACCACTAATAAAACAGAAGCTGGACAGGAGGGTGAAATTCCTCTATAAAGATAGGAAACAATTTTAGTCTACATTTAATGCATTTATTTAGCTACTGAAATGAAAACATTTACACAAAACATTAATACACTTACATTTATTGAGTAATTTCGTCATTGAAATGCTTTCCAAACCCACACCTCTTGACAATGGGACATAAACACTTTTTTATAGTTAGAAATGTAATTCTCTGGGTAACTTTTTTTAAAAATATATTTTATTGGTTTTTTACAGAGAGGAAGAGAGAGGGATAGAGTTAGAAACATCAATGAGAGAATCATCGGTCAGTTGCCTCTTGTACACCCCCTACTGAGGATGTGCCCGCAACCAAGGTTTATGCCCTTGACCGGAATCAAACCCGGTACCTTTCAGTCCCTAGGCTGACGCTCTATCCACTGAGCCAAACTGGTTTCGGCTCTGGGTAACTTCTTAATGACATTTTCCAAAAAGTCAAATATCAGAAAGAATAGAAATGCAATTCAGAACCTTTATATAAACTTGCTTGTATTTTATGTTGGCATTTCCCTATTTACTGACATGTGCCTCTAATTTTTCTTTTATATTTCCAGTAAGAAAAACAAAGATTTGGCTGAAGAAGCCAGAAAAAAAGGCTTCGACGAAAATGTAAGATTTTAATTTTCTCATAAAGTAGTTATAGCTTTATTAGAAATACAATTACATAAATGTCCCGATTTAGAAATGAAATGATTTTTTTCAGAGCAGTAGCTACTGCCTCCAAATATTTCTCACAGAATCTATGCCCTTATTTAGGACAAATCATTTGGATTCCAAATGCACCCTCTTTCTTATTGGTGCTCTCAGCCAGATACCCTGGTCCCATAGCTGTGCTCTCACTGTGGGATAATCACGCGAGGTTTAGTATACTCAATTGAGATGATTATATAATCATCTAGTAATCATTAATATGAGAAATCACTTTAATGATTTTTTATATTTCAGAACTATAACATATTCAATAAATGGCTCAGTATATATACACACGTATGCTTAAGAAATAATTATAGAACATACAATATATGCAAGGAAAGAAAATGTAAGTCAAGGATTTTCATTTCTACCAAAATGCTCTCAAAGAGTTTTGAACATGGAGGAATTCAGGTAATACTGTTATATTCCTGAGGATTCTACAAGGATCAGCTTCTGCCAACCAAGAGATGATGGAGAAATTTTGGAAAAAGGAAGGAGGGACAGAGAAGGAATAAGCAGAAAAAGCTGACTGACTGGTTCACATACTAGTAGAATAGTTGAAATTATCTTTTAGAGTTAACCAAGAAGAAAAAACTTTAGCATATTTAAGAGTACAATAGTGAATAAGAAAAATTGTTTTAATTATTTTAAAACTCCTTTATCACATTTTAATATCTCTGAAATCAAGATGTGCCTTATGGTTAACATACTATCATTCTTTAATTGGCAGCATTTTTCATAAGTGGTACATTAAAAAAAAAAAGTGTGTCTTACAGTAGACTCCACTTCTCAAATACAAAAAAAATGTAGAAACATAATTTAAAATGTAACTTGGCAGTAGAAAGGAAGGAGATGAGGAGGAAGAAATTACAAGTTAATTTTCTTCTCAAATTTGTTTAATTCCTTACAGAGGAAACCAAAGCAAGAAAGTGAAGTCTCAGGATGTATACAAAGTTACATGACTAAAAACAAACCGTTGAGCCCAGCCAGCATGGCTCAGTGGTTGAGTGTCAATCTTTGAACCAGGAAGTTATGGTTTGATTCCTGGTGAGGGCACATGCCTGGGTTGCAGGCTCAATCCCCAGTGTGAAGGCTCCCTAGTATGGGGCATGCAGAAGGCAGCTGATTAATGCTCTCTCACCCTCTCCCTTCCTCTCTGAAATCAACAAAAATATATTAAAAACATACACTGAAACAAAAATACCTAAATGGCAAAAGTACAAAACCAAAAAAGAGAACAGAAAATATAACACATGGTAAAAGATTTAAAATATAACCCTAAGACAATATAATTGTGACCAAATATAACACACCTTTCAGTAATGGCAAAAAGTATAATCTAGTTAAAAAGAAAAAGAACATATTTTCAGATTGAATCACAAAGCAATACCCAATTCTATGCTATATCCTAAAATATACACCTAAAATAAAATAATTCAGAAAAGTTAAACATAAAAACATGAACTAAAGTATAATAGGTAAGGAAAAGATTTAACGGGACACAATTTAACTAAAGATAGAATTAAAGACAAAAAGCTATGAATGAGATGAAGGGCACTTTATAAAGCTCAGATCAGCTCTAATAGTCATGATTATCGAAGCACCAGATAGCATGTCATCAACTTCCATAAAACTACTGGACTTAGGTAATAGAAACACACAAAAAATAGACAACAGATCAAGAAAAATAAAAGGATTTTTAAAAGACAATATAGCCGAAACCGGTTTGGCTCAGTGGATAAAGTGTTGGCCTAAAAACTGGGGGGTCCCGGGTTCGATTCGGGTCAAGGGCATGTACCTTGGCTGCGGGCACATCCCCAGTGCGGGATGTGCAGGAGGCAGCTGATGGATGCTTCTCTCTCGTCGATGTTTCTCTCTGTCCCTCTCCCTTCCTCTCTATGAAAAATCAATAAAATATAAAAATAAATGAAGACAACATAATAAACGGGCAATATTACAGTCATGTATTAAATTCTGTACTCTCAGAAGATACTTTTCAAAAATCCATTCATTAAAACTGATCATATATTGGGCCACAAAGAAAAGCTCAATAAATTTCAGAAAGTAGTTAATACAGAAAAATCTTCTTGCCCTGGCCTGTGTAGCTCGGTTTGTTGAAAGTTATAGTTCCCTTCCTCTTTCTCTAAAATCAGTAAAAACATATTTTAAAAAGAAAAAAATCTGAAAACTATATAAAAATATATTAATGAAATTATAAAATAAAAATTATTTAACAAAGAAAAAATTTAATTATTAGTAAACAATTTTTAATCAAAGAGAAAATACAAAATGAAATTGTAGACTTCCCAGGAAAAATGATAAAAGCACTATATAACAGAATCTATAAGATAAAGTCAAATTATTTACCCAGAGGGAAAATTAATAGCCTTAAGTTTATCAATAAAAATCAAAGACAGAAAACATATTAATTTTAGCATGTGACTCAAAAAGTTAGAAAATAAACAATAAATAAGAAATAAAAATAAAAACAGAATTGAGTTACAAACAAAAATTAGTATAATAATAAATAAAAAGGCTGGTTCTTTGAAAAGATCGGTGAAAAGAAGTCACTAGACAACAAATGGAATAAGAGGGAGAAAGCATAAACATACAAAGTAAAAAACAACAATGTGGAAATAATCAAGAAACAAAAGAAATTTTTAAATTTCACCAAAAGAAATAGAAGATAACACAAATAAATGGAAAGACATTCTGTGCTCATGGAGTGGAAAAATTAATATTGTTAAAATGTCCCTACCACATGAACCCATAAACAGATTCAATACAATCCATATTAAAATTCCAATGGCACTTATTATAGAAATAGAAAAAATTCTTAAATTTGTATGAAAGCACAACAAACCCTGAATAGCCAAAACAATTTTGAGGAAGAACGGAATCATACTCCTTGATTTCAAACTATTACAAAGCTATAATTTTCAAAACAGAATATATTTGCAAGTCATATATCTGGTAAGGGGTTAATCTCCAAAATATATACAGAACTCATATAACTCAATAACAACAATAAATAAATGGGCAGAAGACCTGCATAAACATTTTTCATGTAAGACATACAGATAGTCATCAGCAGGTAATAATAAAGATGCTCACATAATCATCAGAAAGTTGCAAATCAAAACCACAGTGAGATTGCACCTCACACCTGTGAGAAATGGCTATCATAAAATAACAAAAAATCGTGTTGGCAAGGATTTGGAGAAAAGGGAACCCTTGTGCACTCCAAGGGGGGCAATGTAAACTGCTTCAGTCATGAAAAATATGAAACTTCCTCAAAAAATTAAAAATAGAACTACCATATGATTTGGCAATTCTACTTCTGGGATTTTATCTGAAGGAAATAAAAGCACTAACTCAAAAAGATACCTGCACCCACAAATCCATTGCAGCATTTTCAATACCAATACATGGAAGTGTACATCAACGGAAAAATGGGTAAAGAAATGTGGTTTATATACACAATGGAATAAAAAAAGAAAATCCTGGCATTTGTGACAACATTGATAGCATTATGTTAAGTGAAATAAGTCAAAGAGAAGTACTACATGGTTTCACTTATATGTGGAATATGTTTTTAAAAATTCAGATACAGAGAACAGATTGGTGTTTGCCAGGGTGTGGGTGGGGGGTCAGCTAAATGGGTAAATGTGGTCAAAAGGTACAAACTTCCAGTTTTAAGACATGGGGATATAATATTCAGCAGGGTGGCTATAGTTAATAACTCTGCTGTATATTTGAAAGCTGCTAAGAGATCTTAAAAGTTCTTATCACAATAAAAAAAATCTGTAACGGTATGTTTGAGGGATGTTAACTAAACTTATTGTGATCATTTCACAATATGTGAAGAGTGAAGCAAAATAAGTTTACCATTGTGAGTGCACAAAACAGTTTATTCACTTTTTTTTTTAAATCCTCACCAAAGGACATGCTTTTATTGATTTTAGAGAGAGGGGAAAGGAGAGGGAAAGAGAAACACTGACCAGTTGCTTCCTACATATACCCTGACCCTACACCTGCCAGGGCTACAGAGTTTACTCTTATTATTTTTTTATACAAACAACTATAAACCTATTTTTGCCTCACCCTGATATATCAAATTATGTTGTACACCTGAAATAAGTCACTAAGAGATTTTTATTAAAATTTCATGCAAATAACATTTGAAAAACTGAATGTAATGAATTTTTCTATAAATATCAACTTGATCAAAACTGAGCATAGAAGAGACTTTTTTTTTAATATGTATTTTATTGATTTTACACAGAGAGGAATTGAGATAGAGAGTTAGAAACATCGATGAGAGAGAAACATCAACCAGCTGCCTCTTGCACACACCCCCAGTGGGGATGTGTCCACAACCAAGGTATGTGCCCTTGATCGGTATCGAACCCGGGACCTTCCAGTCCGCAGGCCGACGCTCTATCCACTGAGCCAAACCGGTTTCGGCAGAAGAGACTTTTTAAAGCCTAAACAAATCTCTACTGTAGAAGAAATCAAGTCATCAAAGAGCTACCTTCAAAAGAAATCAGGCCCAGTGGGTTTCACAAGGGAATTTTACCAGATTTTTAAAAATTGATTTTTAGGGAAAGAAGGGAGAGAAACATCGAAGAAAGAACAGAACATCGTTGCCCAGCCAATGTGGCTCCGTAATTGTGCATCAACCCATAAGCCAGGACACAGGTGGATTTTCGGTCAGGGTACATGCCTGGGTTGCAGGCTCAATCCCCAGTAGAAGGCGTACAATATGCAACCAATTGATTCTCTCTCATCATTGACGGTTCTCTCTCTCTCTCTCCTTTCCTCTCTGAAATCAATAAGAATGTATATTTTTAAAAAGAGAACATCAATTGGCTGCCTCTGTCTGACCCCCACTGAGAATCAAGCCTGAAATATGGGTATGTGCCCTGATCAAGAATTGAACTGGCAACCTTTTGGTGCATGGGATAATGTTGAACCAACCAGGGTGTATTTTACAGAACAAATTAATTTCAAAACTATTTAAGTTGTTCCAGAGCAAATGGAAAACATCCAAATTATTTTTACAAGTGTTTATATAGTGATTCTAAAATCTGGCAAAGATCATACCAAAAATAAATAAATATTAATAAAATGTATCACATAAATAATAAATTTATCACCTAAATAATATATTATCAAACAATCTAACACAACAAATTTATGTATCACTAGAGGCCCAGAGCACACATTTGTGCACCACCGGGAGTCCCTTGGCCTGGCCTGCACCCTCTCGCAATCCAGGACCCATCAGGGGATGCCAGAGTGCCAGTTTCGGCCCGATCCCCAAAGGTCTCTACTATGCATATACAATCTTTGGTTAATCTCTTCCTGCCCTCACCCGCCCCCATTCCCTTTAAGATTCATCAGTCTATTCCATGTTTCCATGCCTGTGCATTGAGCATCTGCCCCCTGGTGGTCAGTGCATATCATAGCTATCGGTCCAATAGTCGAACAGTTGCTTAGGCTTTTATACATACAGATGATTTTGACAGAATTTATTCTAAGATGGAATGATGTTTCAAAATTGGGTAATAATTCATTCTATTAATAGACTCTAAAAGAAAAATTACATGATCATTTTCCATAGATGTTGGATATTTGATAAGTTTCAACATTCAATCTTAAGGGGGAAAATAAAGCAAAATAGGAAGTGATGGATACTTACTTGATATAATAAAAACATATTTATTCACCCCTAATCTAGTACTTTGCTTAACTCGGAGAAACACTGGACCTATCAGAAACAAGACAAAGAGGTACTGGAGGGATCAGCCAAAACAATTAATAAATTAGAAGTATAAAAATTACCTCTGTGATTCCCTTAAGTTTTCTAGATATACAAATGAACTGAAAATTTATAACAAATTCCATAAAGTAGTAGGAAAAATGATTCACATACATACAACCGTGTTATATATCTAATTATCAATTGTTTGTTTAAAAAATGTAATAGAAGACTTCATTTATAAAAGCAACAATGTAGAAAATGCCAAGGAATTACTAAAAAGTGTTTAAAACCAAAATGAGGGGAAAATTTTAAACATTCCTTAAAGACACAAAAATTCACTTAAAAAAGTGAAAATATATACTTACTAATGTATCAGTCAGGATCTAGTAAGGAAAATGGAAATCACATTATATATTTCAAATACAGAAAATTTACCACAGGGAATTTGGTTAAGGAAGTACTGGAAGACAGAAAAGGTAAAAACATGAGGCAATAAATAATCACTGTAGGATGATGCTACCACTCCAGGGTGAAGGTACAAAGGTGGGGTTATCAGAACCTACTATCATAGAGAAGGGCCCTGCATAGGTGTTGCTCAGACCTCTAACCGCACCCAGCCCACTCTGAGGGAGTGTGGAGTCTTATTCTGGGTATGCCAAAAAGTGCTAGTAGCAAGTCTGGGAATGAGTTCCAAAGCCTGAGACAAAGTATCACAGAGAATAGTATGAGGATTAAGTTTTTAGTTGGGTAACTTTAGCTAAATAGTTGGCACAGTTCATCCTACAGGCTTAGTTACACACATTTGAATTTCCATAAAACAATAGTAAATACTTCAAGCTTCCATCTAATAAGATGAAACTATCCTTTATACAAATAAAGGTACTTTTATCCTCACTCCCAAAAGGGAGAAGCAAAGTCCCAAACGTAACTGTATCCATCCTGTTAGTGACTTTAAGGCCTTTTTTATTCAAATCAAAAATCCCTTAAAAATATGATTAAACTACAAAGCTTATTTTGGGACATGTTAGAATTCCTAGGCCCCAAGCATAGCCCTCTCTGCACTCATTTTGTAGTTGCAACAAATTTCTTCTTGATAATTAGGATCAATCATCAAAGTCAGTTGAATCTTTGCCTAAAGGATTCCAAATGGCCAGGTAGAAAGCTCAAATTCTCATCAATTGTTGTGTCCCTTGATGAAAGCATGCTGTTTATCAGTTTGTTCCTTTAGACCTCCCCTGAGACCAACTACTCACGGTTAGGATCCAATCAGAAAAATAGAAGCATATTAGGTAGTTCAAAAGAAGGTTTACTACAGAGAATTCATTTCTGAGCTTTTAGGATGACTATAAGAATTAATGTGGAACACCAAATTAATCCAGAAACAACTATAAAGGGCAGCTGCCACTTACAGGGAAGAGGTGGGATGACCAAAACCTAGGAACTTGGAGGAAATGTCCCTAATGAGTTGCTGCTCTGCCTTTGATTTTCCTATGACAAGGAAGTCTGCATGGGAAAAAGTAATGGCTGAGATGGGTTTTTTGAACGGTGAGTCAAGTTTATCAGGCATAGTCTATTCAACCCATATTACTAATATTTCCACATTATTATAGGCCTGGTCACTTAGAAATAGTTATGGAGCCTACCACTTTTTAAACAACACATCAAAAACATTTAGTGAATATGTCAAAACATGGGTGCTGTCATGTGGCCAAAATAAAACTAGAAATATTAAAAGCAATCCTTTCCTACTTCAAATACTGTCTGGTAAGTTTCTCTAACCAGAACAGCACACATTTATTAGGTGAACAGTGCATAAACATACACAGGCATCATCATTCTAAGGAAGGTAATCAAGAACCCTTGTAACAGAGATCCACTTTGCTACTTACTGATATTGCTGGAGCGGGACAATATCATACTCATTTACTGACAAGTATTTGAGTGACAGCTGAACGCATTTTCCTCTTTTTCTAGAGCTGTCCTTATTTTCCACAATGTACAAGGAAGTTTTTCCAAAGTTTGGGAAAAGGCATTTGCACACTAAAGGAAAGTGAGCGGTAGTGAGGACAAAGCACAGAAGGGACTCCTTAGAATCAGAGGATGTAGCAACAGGAATTTGCTGGTATGGGAACTAGTAGACAGACTGGAGTACACAAACTGATGCAATAATTATGAAGAGGGGATTGGGATGGTTATGTAAGGCTGCAGGAATGTGGCCGAGAAGCAGCTGTGCAGGCAAAGAATACACACAGATATGCTTTGAAGTATAGTTGCAAGATCAGAGGTACAAAAATATCTCAGCTTTGGCCAAGTGAAGAATGAAGAAAATCATGAGGGGAAAAAATGAGCTGGAGATGCAGTGTGGAAGAGGCAATGAAATAAGTTGAGAATTTTAATTTAGAAATTCCCCAACTCTACCAACAGTTCTAACACTAGGTCCTCTGAAGTACTCTGCTAATGCAAAGAACTAAAACTGCCAAGGCAAAAAGGCAGTGGGGCTCAAACCTCAACCCAGTGATGCTTGTAAGACAAAGACTTGAAATAGAGAAAAACTTAAGATTGCAGACTAGGCTTTTCCTCTAACTTGACAGGAGATTCAAAGTGCAGAGCAGATGAAAAAATGGAAAGAGAGGCTTGAGAAAAAGTATTATTCTACAGAAATTCAAGATGACTATCAGCCTGTCACTCAACAAGAATTTAAAGAGTAAGTATTTGTTCCCACCAGGGTACGACAGGATTATCATAACATGGGGGTTGGGGACATGAGTTACTCACATTATTTTCCCGAACCCAAAACCTATTCTGCTAAGATGTCACTTTTTCCCAATTTCTTTTACCCAATTTTAAAGTTAAACAGAAAGCACAAGGTTTCACTTGTTTAAATGTAGGAGTGAGACCAACTGCTTTTATCCTTGCATTTCTTTTTTTTTTTTTTTAATATATTTTATTGATTTTTTACAGAGAGGAAGGGAGAGAGATAAGAGCTAGAAACATCGATGAGAGAGAATCATCGATCAGTTGCCTCTTGCACAACCCCTACTGGGGATGTGCCCGCCGGAATCGAACCTGGGACCTTTCAGTCCACAGTTCTCAGTGGCTCTACCACGGAGCCAAACCGGTTTCAGCTATCCTTACATTTCTAAAAAGGAACTGCCATTTATACTTTATGTGTAGCAGATACTGTTCATTCTCCACACAGCTTTAGATCAGATGCATAACTGATCATACTAAACATGTTTTAGTTTAAATAATCCCTTTCCACTCAAAGAACTTCATAATAGGGACTAGTAATTGGCTATCTCTTTATGCACAAAAGTGTTACTGATTCATTCTCTACTTCCTTCTCAATTATCTCGTAGCCTCTTTTTATATACTGTGGAGCTGGAGAAAGAATTACACTACATCAGTTTAAAACTAAATCGAGTGATGAGAAAAATTTCAGCGCTATCCTACTGAGACAAATGGAGGTGAGAATCTGTGATGCAATGTACATTTCTAACAAAGATTCGTTTCTGTATTGAATTATTTCCTAAACTTGTCCCCATTTCCAATATACTTTAAAAGCACTAAACCACCTATCATCAAATGATTGCCAGAGTCAATGATAATCATCCAATGATTTCTGGAACTTAAGTGCCCAATATGCCTCCAAAGTATATATACACTGGTTCACATAGAGAATTCTATATTATTATTATTATTAAATTCTATGAATGTGAAAGGAGAAGTACAAATAATGCTGCTTATAGTTCATGGTGCAGGTCTCTAATTAACAGCTCAGTAAGTACTAGGTAAAGATGGTTTCTCAATGTTCCACAACTATAAGAACTGCTGGTACTCTCATCATGTACCATGTTCCAACTTCCTCTAACCAGGTAATAAACACATAGTACTCTGCAAACTATCACACAATGGCTCAAGTAAAATAATCTCTCATCTCCATTCTTCCCAATTTGAAATCTCCTATAAAAAGCTAAAGTGTTAAAGAATAAACTTTCTAACCACCTATAGAAATTTTACTAATACTTTCAAACTAGAAACTCATCTAAACAATTTCTATGGTGACAGCTTAGTTTCCCAAAAGTGCTTCCTCAACTACTTTAAAAAAAGCAAAATACACTTTAAAAAATAAAGAGCAAAGTAGGAGTATACGGTGATAAAAAGTCACGTTTGAAAAGTGTAAATGAGGGCACTCCCAAAGCCCTGTTTGGATGGTTGCAAAGTTATGTGTGGCTGACATTTTGGAAACTAGAAGGAAACCCCTCTAATTTGTTTAGGTTACATAAACCCTCATAGAAAAACCTTTTGTTCTCTTAGCCCAAGCAACAGCATTTTGACCATAGTACTCAACTTCCACATTGCTACTCGATAGTCCCTGGATTTTAAAATCTGAATAAAAGACATTTTCAATCTACCCACATTCTTCGGGCCAACCTCACCACGTTTTCTTAATACGATAATTCACTGCAACAAGAAATGCTGACTATTCTCTCTGCATCTTCTCCCTACATTCCCACAAGGGAATCAACAACATAGCCTTTCCCTGTTTTACCACTTCTCAGAGCTGTAGCCAACCAGACAGTTCACTAACCCTGTTGTGTGTGTGCCCCCCTTCCCCCGCATATGATCCCGGGTTAGGGTAATTTAAAGCCTCAGAACATTAAGACAAGGGAACACTTGAGGTCTCTCTTTTTCACTTTTCAACATCTGATAGGGGTGGAGGGGGGGGAAGCAAACAACATTTACAATGACTTAGAACATCAAAGTTCTTTTATTACAAAAGTCTATACAATGAAGTGCCAGACACAGCAATGCAATTATATGGGTAGTCATGTATATATCTATATATTGTTTATATATAGATATACAGTTTTAACTTATGCCAAAGTAAAACTATCACAAACTGCCCTATTCTACCACCTACAGCTCAACTATGACACACAATATTGTCATACAGCATAAGTGCTGCCATGCCACTTTTATCTATTCTATTCACAGCCAAACAGTAACAGCGAATAACCAATATGAAGCAGCTGTTAATTTTAAAATGAAACCAGTCAGGCCACTGACTTATAAAAATATGGTACTCATATAGATTTAGCATTACAAAGAAGGAATATATTATTTAAAACATTTAAATAGTGCATATGGACATTTTTGCATGTGGTATATAAAACATTCATATAAAATATACAGTGCACATTAAATTAGATGTTTGGATATACTCCTGTCTGGAGAGTGGTAGAAATTAACTAAATGCACACTGCATAATGGATTCAAATCAAAGGGATCTTTTGGCATTCTCAATTTCACTTGTCTAGGTATACATTATGAATGAATAACCTAGCTGTATCAAAAGGAAAGGACATGCAAAGGGCAGGATTTAGTGTACTCTTTAACTACATGTTCACTACCAATGAATATTCCCTCCCTGCAAAAAAGGCATTGCACACACAGGTGAAATATGAAGCACTAGAAATGCTACTTATTATCAAGCTACTTCATGGTTACTATGCAATAGTGCCAGCAGACTGAGGTCCATGCTTCCCTCATCTTATTAAAGGATGTTGCAAAAGTCCATTTTTGTATGGAACAAATTTTTAATATTAACTAGTTAAGAAAACCAAGCACGAGTCATTACATGCAAAACATGGGCACAATCAAAGTGAGATATTCATCATTCCAAAAAAGCACCAGAAAAAAAAAGAACACTTAGATTGAGCCTGACCAGAAGATGCTATTCATGACTGTTACAATATTAGCACAAATAAAGTCCATTCTGTGAAAATGATTAGCAGAATGATACCTCATGGGTACCCAAAGAAAAAGCCATGCAAAGACAAAGAAAACAAGATATGCTTAGAGTATGTGACTTGGGGCATACCACTATACATCTTGTGACCAGCGCTTTAAACAACATGTGATTAAGCAAAAAGTAGTCCCTTTAAAAGATGTTTTCTTTATGGATTTTGATTAAGAGAAAAAAAGATGCAACCTCCTAAAGGTACATGAAAAATGCAGTGGTATAGCCCTTGTTAAGAAAAGATTTACTTCAAACATAATGATTCTTTTGCCAATTTAGGCTCATTTAATTGAACACACAAATCTGAGTACCATCAGAGTTCCTACATACTGACATGGCTCTTTACTCATATTATCTGGAGGTCAGTGGGGAGAAAAAATGGAGGATCTGATCCAGACAAATCACATCATCACCAGTTGATGAACAGTAGCTGAGAAAACAAACAGTAATTTAAGTCCCATAGGCAGCATGTGGTATGATTCAGTTGTGTGTGTTTTCACTATGTGAATGAGCAAAGTCACTTTTTGCTCTAACCTCTCTTATCTTGATCCAGGAGCTGTGTTAGGAGCTGTGTGACCACTGAATTGCAAAATTTTGTTAACATACTACCTGTGAAAAAGTGTTACTTTGGGAATTAAACAGAAATATGTTCCACAGAAGGACTTGAAATTTCAGTTTTCGGAGAAAATAGAACATAGAGTATATGTGCACAGTTATATGCTTTTCTTTCAAATTTTCTGTCATTCTGTAAGAAAAAGGCAACCAAAATAATTCAATGTGAAGATTTTCCTCTTAATTTTCTTCAGTAATGAAAAAAACAATAAAGTTGGTAGTAACAAAAAGCTTGTACTTCCAAAGTCCTTGAGGTTGAAAGGATAAAATACCAGTCTTTTACTATAGGATGTATCTGTAGTATAAAACAATGAAGAAACGGGGTGTTTGGAAAAGGTGGTGCGGACAGTCTGGTTAATATGGAACATTGTGCTTCCTAGAGAGGGTCTACTTGCCCTACCCCATCATTTCTCTAGTGGCACCACAACCAAATTACAAAATGAGACTCAGTGCCTGACAAAAAGAACTCAAGTACCAGCCAAGTACACATGATAATAGTTTTAGGGAATACAACTGATTTTATGATGTCTCAAGCATTTTTATATGGATTTTGAAGAATCTTGCTTGCTGATAAGAACTTCAAGAAGCCTAAGCTTGGCTTTAATTTTCTTGTACTCCCTGTACTCCTCAAGTACTGGAACACGATCCTCTTTCTGGGCATTCCTAGGGGAGAAAATAGAACATGTAGTATTCTAGAGATCATCTGGAAATAAAGTTCCAGAGTTATCCTGTGAAACAATGTTACCAAATATAAATTCAAACAAAAAATTGCACCGTAAGGAAAATGTATTATTTGGATTAATTCCTTCATCCCCAAGGAACATTCCTGAAATACTTCTATTTTTTTATGGATTTTTCTATTGATAGATTAAATGACACTATACTTACCAATGATCACTATAAATAACTAGAAGTAATCTTTATTTTACTTTTTTATAGGTAATATTTTAATAAGACATACACTGCTAATCTCTGTCAGGTCTAGAGTGTACATATTAAGTGCCAAAGGGCTACAATGAGTCATTTCAGACTTAACTCTGGTTTCAGTGAATTGAGATGTAAAAGCAAAACATCTTACTTACAGTAGCAAATAAGTAATTTACTAACTTTATATCCTATATAATAAAAACCCAATATGCTAAGTGTCTAGTCATCCATTCAACCAATCAAAGCATAATATGCTAATGATATGCTAAAGCCACTCAACTGCTTGCTACGACATGCAACCAAGCGGCAGATGCTCCAATCAATAGGTTACCTTGTTGCTGGAGTCTGGCCAAGTGAGACAGGCTGGACGCACCCTAGAGCCCTCCCGTGGTCCCTCCCCAGCTCCAATTGTGCACCAGTGGGGTCCCTCAGCCTGGCCTGCGCCCTCTCACAATCCCGAACCCCTTAGGAGATATCAGAGAGCAGATTTTGGCTCGATCTTGCATGAATTCGTGCACCTGGCTCTAGTTATTAATGACCCAATACAATCCAGGTAAAGCACTCGGTATAATAATTATAATAATTATAATAATTATAATAATTATAAGCAAAATTTACTTCCAAAAAGACAAAGGATGAAAGGGTACAAGAATGAAAATTCATTCTTGTACTTGAGATTTTTTTTTAAACTATTTTTGCTAACCTGTATAGAGAACTCTCAAATTATTTAAAGTAAACACATTTTAGCCCTACCCAGTTTTGCTCAATGGATAGAGCACCGGCCTGCAGAATAAAGGGTCCCAGGTTTGATTCTGGTTAAGAGCATGTACCTTGATTGCAGGCACATCCCCAGTAGGGGGTGTGCAGGAGATAGCTGATTGATGTTTCTAACTCTCTATCCCTTTCCCTTCCTCTCTGTAAAAAATCAATAAAATATATTTATAAAGTAAACACATTTTACAATTTGTAATATACCCACTGGCTGGTAAGACCACCATTACATGGTAAGACTTTTCTGAAACTTGAGATAGCCCTCATTTCTGGGTACCATTTGAATTAGGATATATTTTTCTTACTCGAAAAAGAGTCTCACTGAGTCAACTGCACATTATGCAGTTAAATAAAGCCAACTGTCATATTGAATTACAGGAGCCACATGACCGCCACCCTGTGACAACCTTGGAAATGGGCAGCCTGGAAGGAACATGCAACCTAAGCAACAATGGTTTCAGTGTAAGAAGCCAAACCAACTGCAAATGCCACTCATGTTCTGAGACCCTTTCTAATACAACTTGTTTCACCAACACTTCCAAAGGGTGACAGTGTAGTATAAAAGAACAAAAAATTGACAATCAAGCCTCTCTAGGACAACATTAGATGTTGTTTATTCCAGCTTTTTTTTTTTTTAATATGTATTTTCACTGGTTTCAGAGAGGAAGGGAGAGGGAGAATCACTGATCGGCTGCCTCCTGCATAATCCCCACTTGGGATCAAGCCCACAACCCTTGACTGGAATTGAACCCAGGACCCCCCACAAGCTGACGCTCTATTCACTGAGCCCTCTGACATTTACTTGCCATTATGTATAAAAAAAAAATGTTCTCAGGGCTTCAATGTATTAAAAAAAAAGTTTCTTACTTTTATTGCCAGTGCTAATATCCTTATATGCACAATTTATTTCTGATCCTCTATACTTAACGTGAGCACTTGCGAGTTTAAAAAGGCTCAATTTTGTGATACTCAACAAACCTTCCGTTTTGTTGATAAAATGCTTCTTCAAATTCCCGTAATGTTTTACGTAGTTTCTTTTTTTCAGCTCTGGCTTTCCAAAGTTGTTCCAGTAATTCAGGCCTAAAATTGAAATAGGAAGAAAACATTACTAAAAGGACACTGTTGATTCTTATGTTTTCAACAGTGGTTTGAACCCTGGCTTCATCCCAATCCAACTAAATCAGAATAGTTGCCAGTAGGGCTCTGCAGCAATAGTTAAAACATTATATATATAGATATATATATATATATCCTGCCCTTTCTTTCCTCTTAGCGCTAGCTAGCAAAAGCCTGAGGCCCAGCTCCCGGGTCAGCCAACACCATGGCTTTGGAGACCTGAAAAGCCCTTCCAGCCTCCAGGTGCTCAACAACCACCTGGAGGACAAGAGGACAAGCAGATGTGGCTGTATTTAAAGCAGTCTCCAGCCCACCACCTGCCAACCTGTACCATGCCCTTCGTTGGTACAATCACATCAAATGTTACAAAAAGGAGCAGGCCAGCCTGCCGTAGTGAAGGAAGCTTTGGACAAGGATGGCCCTACTAATATGGAAGACACCACAGGAGTGGAGCTACTAATAGTAAAGACAATGACTACGACATGGATCTCTTTGGGTCTGATGAGGAGGAGGAAAGCAAAGAGGCTAAGAGAACGCCTTGCACAGTATTAAAGAAAGGCAAAAAACCTGCACTTGTGTGACAAGTCTTCCATCATCTTAAATGTAAAACTTTGGGATGATGAGACAGATATGGCAAAACTAGAGGAACGTGTCAGGAGCATTCAAGCAGATGGCTTGGTCTGGGGCTCTTCTAAACTGGTTCCGGTGGGGTATGGAATTAAAAAGCTTAAATACAGTGTGTAGTGGGAAATGATAAAATTGGAACAGACATGCTGGAGGAGCAGTTCACTGCTTTTGAGGACTATGTGTAGTCCATGGACATGCTGCTTTCAACAAGATTTAAAATCCATCCTGAATCAGTGCCCTTTAAATAAAAGCTTGAAAGATTAAAAAAAATAATCCTCCCAGGTGACCCGAGGAACCAAAGTCAGAAACCATATCAGGTAAGAAGCTGACAGAGAACTTAACAAATAACTATCAGCTGTTTCTGGCACTTCGTTAGGAAGCAAATATAGAATTTTAGTTTTTAAATTTTTCAACACACTACTATTTCATTTAAAAATTGTGAACTGGACAACATGTAAGTCACGTTTATTTTAAAAGGATGTATCTCCTAAGTACTGTATTAATTCCTGCCAAGTGCTCAATTATTTAACATTACATTTCTTGTCATATAATTTTTATTATACCAATAGGCTAAAATCACAAACTAGCCGACATACATAGATGCTGCTCGAGTACTTGACAATCGGAGATCCAGAGCCAGTTTTTCTTGATTTTCCTCCACATCAGATTCTGAGTTTTCTAATGAAGACTGTGCCTGTACAGCAGTTTGCAATATATCAGTTAACTCAGAGGACAGACTAACACCATCTTCTTCTTCTTCCTAAAAAGATATTAAAAAACAAAGAATCAAACAGGCATGACTTTCAACTTTTCTTTTAGAAAAGAGATCAGAGAATAATTTCTTTAAGGATTACCTTGATTTCTTCAAAAAAATGTGCAGTTTCGCCTTCTATGATTGGCTGTAACATCTGACCCCTTCGCTTGGTGGATGGAGATCCCTGCAACAATCAACATACAAATGATTAAATTTTAAATATTTATTCATTGAGGCTTCACTTAATAATGGTGAACTTTATTTTCAAAATCCTAATCATTTATGCTATTATTTAGGTGTTTCTTAGTAAAGAAAATGTTCTTGCTTATATTTATTTTCTAGTTGTGTGTACACAACGGTGACAAATTATATTTTATGTACAAATAATTATAGCCTTAACCAGTCAGCTCCCGTCCAGGACACACGCCTGGGTTGCGGTTCCCTCCCCAGCTTGAGCCCTGGTCAGGGTGTCTGTGGGAGGCAACCAATGATGTATTTCTCTCTTTTCTTTTTTTTAAAATATATTTTATTGATTTTTTACAGAGAGAGATAGTTAGAAACAACGATGAGAGAGAATCATTGATGAGAGAGAATCATCGATCAGCTGCCTCTTGCACACCCCCTACTGGGGATGTGCCCGCAATCAAGGTACTTGTCCTTGACCGGAATCAAACTCGGGACCAGTCCACAGGCCAACGCTCTATCCACTGAGCCAAACTGGTTTCCGCTTAATGTATTTCTTTCACATTGGTATTTCTGTTTTTCCCGCTCTCTTCCACTCTCCCTACAAATCTGCACACCCCCTACTGGGGATGTGCCTGCAATCCGGTTTGGCTCAGTGGATAGAGCGTCGGCCTGCAGACTGAAAGGTCCCGGGTTCGATTCTGGTCAAGGGCATGTACCTTGGTTGTGGGCACATCCCCGGTGGGGGTGTGCAAGAGGCAGCTGATCAATGATATTCTCTCATCAATGTTTCTAACTCTCTATCCCTCTCTTCCTCTCTGTAAAAAATCAATGGATAAAATATCCTTGGGTGAGGATTAAAAAAAACAAAATAAATAATTCTAAAAAGGGCTCATTCACACGGACACCGGTTTGGCTCAGTGGCTAGAGAGTCAGCTTGCAGACTGAAGGGTCCCAGGTTCGATTCCGGTCAAGTGCATGTACATTGGTAGCGGGCACATCCCCAGTGTGGGGTGTGCAGGAGGCAGCTGATTGATGTTTCTCTCTCATCGATGTTTCTGGCTATCTGTCCCTCTCTCTTCCTCTCTGTGAAAAATCAATAAAATATATTTTTTAAAAAGGGGGGGGGGGGGGGGCTCATTCAGTAAACACTTTAAAAATTCTAAGTAAAAGAAATAATGACAATTTATTAGAAAAATGTTCCTTTATAAGAATAGCTGTTAACCATTTTGGTCTGAGGAACACTTCATACTTCTTTTAAAAAGCAACAGCTTTAGCCCTAGTCTGTATGTCTCATTGCCTAGAGCTGTGGTCGGTAAACTCATTAGTCAACAGAGCCAAATATCAACAGTACAGCAATTAAAATTTCTTTTGAGAGCCAAAAAATTTTTTAAAAATATATTTAATTTTTTTTTTTTTAAAGAGAGGAAGGGAGAGGGATAGAAAGTCAGAAACATCAGAGAGAGAGAATCGTCAATCAGCTGCCTCCTGCACACACCCCACTGGGGATATGCCCGCAACTGAGGTACATGCCCTTGACCATAATCGAACCTGGGACCTTTTAGTCCGCAGGCCAACGCTCTATTCACTGAGCCAAACCAGTTTTGACAAGAGCCAAATTTTTTAAACTTAAACTTCTAACACCATTTCTTAAAAATAGACTCGCCCAGGCCGTGCTATTTTGTGGAAGAGACACACTCAAGGGGCCAAAGAGCCGTATGTGACTAGAGCTTGTTTGCAGACCTCGGGCCTGGAGCATCGGCCTGTGACTTAAAGGAGCTCAGGTTTGACTCAGGTCAAGGGCATGTACCTCGGTTACAGGCTCGAATCTCAGAGCATACAGAAGGCAACCAATGGGTGTATGTCGCTTATATCAATGTTTCTCTCTATCTCCAACCCCCCATCCCCCTCTAAGTCAATGGAAAAAATATATTCTCAGGTAAGGATTAACAACAACAACAAAAACATTAAAAAGTAACAGTGTCAGCGTAAACTAGGAGATCACGGTTCCAAGTTGCAGGCTCGATCCCCAGACGGGTATGTGCAGGGGGCAGCCAATGATTCTCATCATTGATGTTTCAATCTCTCCTTATCCCCATTTCTCTCAAATCAATAAAAATATATTTTTGAGAGGAGAAACCAGCATGACAGCATAAGATATACACTTGTACGTGCTGCCTCTCACAACCAGATCAAAACTAAAACTAAAAGACAAAATCGCTATCATCCAGAACCATGGGAAGTTCTACAACTAAAAGGCAAGAAAAAAGCGCGTTGAGACTGGTTAAGAGGTGCAGAGGAAAAGCAAAGGTCCAGAGACACACGAACTGGGCTGGCAACTGGGTGAGCTGTTTTTTTCCAATTGGAAGGGAGTTCACGTCCCAACTGCTCTCAACTCCAGTTTTCGGTGAGACTCTGGGGACCCAGACTCCTAACATCGGGTCGGAAAGTGAGGGTGGCTTTCACACAGAGGTGCTCACAGGGATTTGTTACTGTGTGGGGATGCAAGACATGACACAGAGATGGCTGACTGGCAGCCATCACTGATTGCTCTGCCCTGGTGACTCCCTAAGCCCTGCCCCACCCAATTTTCAACCCTACCCAAGCTGTGTGCAGCGGCTTTTGCATATAAATAGCCTGTCCTTTCGCTGCCTAATGTAACAAACTGCAGCTGGGTCAGAGAGCCCCAAAAATTCCAAACCCCAAACAAAGAGAAATCTATAGATTTTGCCATAGCTCCTGCTGGATGGCCTCAGGTAGTGGTTGACTTTGCACTCCTTGGAGATCCAGGAGCCAGTGTACCAGTGGTTAGTGTGAGATGATACCAGATTGCAACTCCTCATATCCATAAGATACACACTCAAGAGGCAGACCCAGTAAGCACCAAAGCCCCACTGAAGCAAGTCCTGCCCCATACGGGTGTCTCCTGCACAAGTTCTTCCATTTTAGACACAGTGGGTCCTCACAGCCAATTAACCTGCACGTCAATTCCTCCCAGTGTAACAACAGCAATCAAGGTTTCACTACAAGACTGTATCCAGCCCACAAAGGGGTGTATCAAGAGTGTCCACCTCAGGTGATTGGGGAGGCTGAACCACTATGTCCTATAGGACACCTACCACACAAGGTCCTCTATCAATACAGGGAAGCAGCCAAAATGCGGAGACAAATATGTCACGAATGAAAGAAATGAAGAAAACAAACTATCAATACTAGATATAGAGTTCAAAACCACATTTAAAAGGTTACTCAAGAATATTCTAGAAACCTCAGAGGACCTTAGTGAGAACTTCAAGGATCTTAATGAGAATGCCAAAAATATGGAAAAGAACGAGTCAGAAATTAAGCATACACTGTCTGAAATAAAGAATAATATATCAAAATTCAACAGTAGACCAGAGGATCCCAAGAATCATGTCAAAGATTTGAAATATGAGGAAGCAAAAAACACCCAAACAGAAAAGCAAAAAGCAAAAAGAATCCAAAAATATGAACATAGTGTAAGGAGCCTCTGGGACAACTTCAAGCGTACCAACATCAGAATTATGGGCGTGCCAGAAAAAGAGAGCGAGCAAGATACTGAAAACCTATTTGAAGAAATAATGACAAAAAACTTCCCGTACCTGGTAAAAGAAATAGACTTACAAGTACAGGAAATGCAGAGACTCCCAAAACAAGAGGAATCCAAAAAGAACCACACCAAAACACAACATAATGAAAATATCAAGGGCAAAAGACAAAGAGAGAATGATAAAAGCACCAAGAGAAAAATAGTCAGTTACATACAAGAGAGTTCCCATATGACTGTCAGCTCATTTCTCAACAGAAACTATGCCAGCCAAATGGGAGTGGCAAGAAATATTCAAAGTGATGAATAGCAAGAACCTACAACCAAGATTACTGGATCCAGCAAAGCCAACATTCAGAATTGAAGATCAGATAAAGAGCTTCACAGATAAGAAAAAGCTAAAGGAGTTCAGCACCACCAAACCTCAATTATATGAAATGCTGAAGGGTATTCTTTAAGAAGCAGAAGAAGAAAAAGGTAAAGATAAAAATTATGAATAACAAAGTGACAACAAATACAGATCTATCAACAAGTGAATCCAAAAATCAAGTGAATAAAAAAATCTGATGAACAGAATAAGCTGGTGAATATACTAGAATCAGGAACATAGAAAGGGAGTGGACTGACAATTCTCAAGGGGAAGGGGGAGTGAGGGATACAGGAAGAGATTGGACAAAAATCTTACTCCTATGGATGAGGACAGTGACAGGGGTAAGGGCATGGGGGTGGAGGGGAGAACCGGGTAGAAGGGAGCTATGGGGGTGAAAAAAGAAGAACATCTGTAATAACCTGAACAATAAAGATTTATTTAAAATATATATATATATTTATTTATAAAAAAGTAACAGCTTCATTATGTCACATACCATAAAATTCACCTTTTAAGTGAGTTTTAATATATTAAATTAACAAGTTGTACAATCATCAACACTAGAACATTTCATCACTACCCTCAACCCCCAAAATTGTATGCTCATCAGCTGTTATTCAGATGCCCTCTACCCGAAACCCTTGGCAAACACTATTCTACATTCTGTACCTATGAGCTGGCCTATTCTAGATATTTCATATAAATGGAATCATACAATTTGTGGCCTTTTGTATTTGGCTTCTTTTATTTTGCATACATATTTTCAAGGTTCATCCATGTTGTTTTATGTACAAGTACTCCATTCCTTTTAATGGCTAAGTAATATTCCATTAACTGGATACACTTATTTTTAAAATCCTCACCCAAAGGATAGGTTATTGACTTTAGAGACGAAGGGAAAGAGAGAAACAGACAGAGAAACTCAATTGGTTGCCTCCCATCCACACCCCAACTAGGGATAGAACACACAATTTAGGTATGTCCCATGACCAAAAATCAAACTGGCAACCTTTTGATGTCACAGGACTACACTCCAGCCAACTAAGCAATCAGTCAGGGCGATACAATATTTCTGTTTATTCATCAGTCACTGGACAATTTGAGTTGTATTAAATATACTTAAATGGCCCTAATTGATGTGGCTCAGTTGGTTGGAATATCATCCCATAGACAAAAGGTAGCAAGTTCGGTTCTCAGTGAAGGCACATACCCAGGTTTCAGGTTCAGTCCTCAGTTGGGACTCATACAAGAGGCAACCTATCGATGTTTCTTAATCTCTCTTTTTAAAAAAATCAGTAATAATTAAATTAACTTTTATATACAAAGAATATAAACTAAGTTTTTTCCCCCCTTGTTCAAAGAAAGCTGACTACACTGATAAAAGAGATACAAATTGACCGTACGTTCGCAACACCCACCAACCAATCAGGAGTGTGTGTGCAAATTAACCCAACGAAGATTGCAGGTTAATTTTTGTACACATGCACAGAGCTAGTGGGGATAAGGCGGGAGGAAGGCATTTTGCCCCACCCCAGCAGCTCTGGGCGTCTGGGCAGCATGGGAAGGCAGAAAGGTGGCTTTGGGACGGAGTGAAGAGGGTGCTGGCAGCCAGGGTAAAGAAGGCCCCATTCTTGCACAAATCTTCATGCATTGGGCCTCTAGTATCTATAATAAATAAAAGTGTTGAGATGACCAACTTGAAAAAAACAACAACAACAACTGCCAATTCAAAAAGAATCAGGGCCACCTGGCCAGTCGTTAGTGTCATCCTGATATGCCAAGTTAAGGGTTTAATCTCTAGTCAGGGCACAGACAAGAAGTAATCAATGAATGTGTAAGTAAATGGAACAAAAAATTGATGTTTATGTCTCTCTTTCCCTTCCCTCTCTCTAAGTATAAAAAAAAAATTAAATTACAAAAGAATCAGTTTCTATGAAGGCTAAATAAAAAGTGCTCAGAAGATCAATGTGAACCTTCTAATGAGTAGTCAGGGGGGGAGAGCCTGAAGGAAACCACCATGAAAGTGGCTACCACCATAAAAATGGCCTGCAAGCCTAAGCAAATCATAAGCTCTGGTAAATTAATTCCTATGAGATGATACATAATGGGCTATGTGCTGTTTTCTACTTGAGCCTGAGAGAAATCTAAAGCCATACTATCTAAAGGTTAATTTGGGACTAACACTTAATTTACACATTAGTATTAGAGTTACAATTCTCTAAAGTTAGACACGAATATAAATAAGCATTATTTTAGCAAACTTTTTCATTTAAAAAGATAAACTTAAAAAAATCAGTTGATATTATTGTGCAAATAAAAAAAACATAATCATGATGGACATCCCAAAACTAATGTAATTTCAAAGACATTAAATTAAATGGGGGGAAAAACTAGGTAAGAGTTTGAAATATAGATTAATTTGACAAAGTAGGTGACCCTGGGCATATCGCTCCTGAGCCTCAGTTTCATCATCTGTGAAATGAGGATATAAGGCTATCTTCTGTTACCTGTTGAAATTTCTCAGGATGTAATGATATAATCATGCATAAAAATGCTTTACAAAAATGACTAGTAGTAGGAGATAATAGTAAGTACTTCTTATTAATTTCCTAATTTTTTTAAAGCAGTAACCACCTTACAATATATAATTCCTGCTACCAAGCCTATGTCTTTCTCCCACATATTACCATAACTTTTTAAGAGGTCTTGGCAAAATTAACTAGATACATTTTTGCATATTTTACTTACAAGGATAGGAGTGATGCTAGCTCTTGTCAACATCTGTTTTACAAGTCTGTATCTATCATAGAGAGGTTTAACAATGTGCCTTTCTTCCCTGGTCACCTGAAGCAAAAACAATGGAAATTATCTGGTCATAAGAAATCTAAAATGTCCAAAATATTAAGCATACTATCTTTCCCCCCAATTTTTAAAAGTTATTTTAAATAAGTAATTTCCCAAGTGAAGGAAACAATGCTCTATAATATAGCTCTGAAGATGTGGGCCACAAATGTGGTTCATCCTCTTTTATAAGAGATATCAACTTTATTTTTTTAAGCAAGAGAAGCATTACCGGCCTTCCATGTTGACTTTCATAGTAAAGAAGACTTTTCTGGAGAGAAGTTTTCTCTTCTGCCAAATGATCTTTTGTCATTTTCTAGGAAAAAACAAAAACAAAACAAAACACTCCCTTTTGTACCATCATTACTGTCCTCACTCCCAATGTAAATAATTAGAGTGAAAGGGCAGCTCATCACCTCTCTAACCGAGGCTATTAAGAATACATCTTTGCTTGTGAATTTATAGCAACATTTCTCAATCACCTGCAGAATCTGGTCTCCTGATATTTAATATCAGTCTTCTTTGGGGTTTAATTTATACTTTATCTTAATAAGTTATGAACACCAGCTTAGTGGTCTTATTTTATTTAATCTCTTTTTGTTCAATATCTTATTCTATAAAAGGGGAAACTTCACCTGTCTCATAGGGCTCTAATAAGTTAGTATGCTGTAAAGGTATACAATAAGCACACATAAATGCCTATTAATTTATTTAAATTTACATAGTTTTATTGACATTTAACTATATATAGGCCTTATAATCTAATATTTCTCCTAAAAAAACAACAACCTAGAAGCAGATCAGTGGAAAGAATGTGAATTAAAAACAATGTCAATTTGTGACTTGAGACTTTACAACCTCCGTATCTCTTCATCTGGAACTTACTTTTCACTATAATCCTCTTGTCATAACTTTTAGTACTCTAAATTATACTAGAGAAGGCAAGACACCCCAAATGCCTATAGAACCTTCCAGCTTTGTTCCATAGGACCTTTTAACATATCAGCAAACTAATGTTACACAGACTACCCTTTAACACCACACCAAATAAACTCTCTACTTAATCCCAGAAAGTTGATACTATCTATCCTGATTCTCACCAGAGTAAAATTAGAGGTAAAAAAAAAATCAGTGGATATCTTCCTCTAACAAATTATCACTTTAGATTATATGCTTTTTGTAGAGGACAGCTGGGTATAGACTCTATAATAATATGAACAATGTAATTTCAACCTCAAGCCTAATTTTTAAACCTGAATGTGAAAAGCTAATCCAATCAAAATAACTTAAAGGGCGTTGGTTGGTCTAACACAAGATCAAAAAAACTAAAGTTGGAGAAAAGGAGCAATTAGAATTCTAAACCAGCTCTGTTCAAAGGAAAGCAACTCCAATACTTATATAATGAAAGAGAAATAATTCTCTTGTCAAGATAGTGTGGACAAAAGTTCACTTAGGACCATCTATTATCTCTGTACTCTCGCAGCAATTCTCATGATAAATGATTTGGGTTGCCAAGCGGTTTGACCAGGACAGCCTGAGGCATGAGCTTAGTGAGTAATGGTTTGCTTCAAAAAATCCTTTCATTTAGCCCTAACAGATTTGGCTCAGTGGATAGAGCGTCTGCCTGCGGACTGAAGGGTCCCAGGTTTGATTCCGATCAAGGGCATATACCTTGGTTGCAGGCACATCCCCAGTGGGGAGTGTGCAGGAGGCAGCTGATTGATGTTTCTCTCTCATTGATGTTTCTAATGCTCTATACTTCTCCCTTCCTTTCTGTAAAAAAAAAAAAAAAAAAAAAAAAATCCATTAAAAAAAAATTCATCCACTTAATCCTTATAATAACCCTTGGTATTTTAATGGGCATCATCATATCCATGTAAGTTCATAGGGCTAAGACAACCTATACACATACTATAATCAGTCAAGGCCATGCTTAAAAATTCTATACATATAAGTGTTAAGATACAAAGCCAAAATTCAAACTGAGATTGTTTCATGCTCTTTATTCATCTTACCAACTGCCTCCAATATAAATGAACAGATCCCTAAATGATCGGGCACTTTTGGTGTGCTGATAAAAACATATCTATATCTGAAAACTTGGGGAGCAGACTCTGGCCAGTCAGACTACCTAGATATATCTATGTCACTGTGGTAATTACTTTGTTTTAAAGACTCTAAAGTCTAGTCTAGGCAAACACCATAGATCAAGATTACTTTGATATCTTCTGGAAGACACCTCTCAACACGTTTTTCCTTCAGTCTTTTCATAATAAGTTCCAGTGTTGCTTCCTTAGATGGCTTCTTCTCCTTATGAATGACCCTGGATTCATCTTCATTCTCTTCATCCTCATGGTCTAGAGAAGAGCCAAAGCTTTTTGGAAGAGTATTACTACGTGGACGTGTCTGAGGTACCAATTCTCCATCAGAGCTTCTGTGTTTTGCATCTACATTTCAGGACCAAGAAGATCAGAGATTTTAACTAAAATGCAACTAAGTCAAAAGAGTAAGCAATAAACAAGATATAAAAAGAGGAAAATATACATATACAGGACCCAGGCTCAGATATTTCAAGATTACATGACATATTTAAATTATATATAGCAACCAATATTCACAGACATTGTAAGATGCTCTTACTATAATATAAAATACTCTGATAAGAATTAGAAAAAACACATATGTCCCTATTTTTATGTAGCATATAATTCAGGAAGGAAAAACAAAAACTTAGTAATCAAATTCATAAACCAAATAATTTCAGAGTGCTAAGTGCTATAAAGAAGACAAGATAGCCGAAGCCGGTTTGGCTCAGTGGATAGAGCGTCAGCCTGCGGACTGAAAGGTCCTAAGTTTGATTCCGGTCAAGGGCATGTACCTCGGTTGTGGGCACATCCCCATTGGGGGGTGTGCAAGAGGCAGCTGATCGATGACTCTCATCAATGTTTCTAACTCTATCCCTCTCTATAAAAAAATCAATAAAAGATATTTTTTTTTAAAGAAAAAAGACAAGATAGGATGGTTTCACAGTGCTGAAAGGAACAGAGCAGTGATTGTGAAAGAACAGCTACATTGGATGGGATTGACAATGAAGACCTTTCTGAGATAGTGACATCCTTGTTGAACATGGAAAAAGAAGATAACCTAGTATAAAAGATTTAGGGGAGAACATTCCTTCCCAATTGAGGCAATAGCCAACAGTGCATAGGCCCTAAAGTGTGCCATGTGCAAGGAACAGAAAATGAGAAAAGAAAGTGACAAAATGAGCAGAGTATGCAAGGCTATGAAACCCATGGCAAGAAATCTGGACTTTAAGTGGGAAAGAAAGCCTAATGGAGGGCTTTGAACAAGATTAGTAACAGTTTTTGAAAAGATAATTCTGGCTGCTATGAAGAGAATGGACTACAGGACAAGAGTGGGAAAAAATTTAAAAATTACTTGGAAAACGCCAAAACCGGTTTGGCTCAGTAATAGAGCATTGGCCTGCGGAGTGAAAGGTCCCGGATTCGATTCCGGTCAAGGGCATGTACCTTGGTTACGGGCACATCCCCAGTGCAGGAGGCAGCTAATCGATGTTTCTCTTTCATCGATGTTTCTAACTCTCTCTCTCTTCTTCTCTGTGAAAAATGAATAAAATATATTTTTTAAAAATTACTTAAACCAATTTTCCTTATTTAAAGTCAATATGGTTAGAAATTGGCATTAAACAAGGAAATGCTTAACAGAGTTGTAGGAAACAATTCTAATGAAGAGATATGAGAACTTATTGACAAAAATGTAAACTCAATGACAATAGGGACACTATCTTGTTCAATGCTATAACCTCATGTCTACAAGTACTTTCTACCTAAAGATACTAAAAATTTGGTTGAATTCAAATGAATAAACCAAAACATGATAGTTCAGGTTATAAGCCTTTACTTGGTACAGATAAAATTTTTAAGTATTAACAATTATTTTAAAGCATGCCAACTACCCTGACCAAACTTGACTTTAACAATTGGTTAAAGTCAAGTTTGTGGGTCCGATCTCAGATCAGGCACATATAAGAAACAACCAATGAATGCATAAGCAAGTGGAACAACAAATCAATGTCTCTCTCTCTCTGTCCCCTTCTCCCTTCTCTAAAATCAATAATTGAAAAAAAAAAAAAATTTAAACATGCTCAAAAACATACAAAGTAATTATCTTAGCAACTGCTGTTCTGGGTTAACAGTAACACAACACCTAGTTTTGGACTCAAGACTTATTATTTAGTTTTTGTAGTAAGAACAGTTTACTATGGTTAAATATTCTTAGTCTAAGATGAAATACCAGACACCAAAACTGCTTAGTATTTGAAATACACTTCAGATAAATTTTATAATATCACCTATGAATTTACAATCAAGGGCACCTTTCCAAAGAACACTACTCATTAAAACAGGAAAGACATTTGGAAGAACTGTATAGTGCCACAACTGACCATAATTAATAAGAAAACTTTTACTTTGGTGATTAGTGTCCAAGATTTAAAATTATCAAAATTATAACTGTAATTCTCATAAACATTGTGAAGGATGTTCTAAAAATGAAAATATATTACAGAAGTGACCCATTTAATACCTTTAATCTGCTTCCGCAGTTTGGTGAGCTCTGTCATCCACTTTAATACCTTCGGGTTAGCTGCAATATCACTGTAAGAAGGCTGGAAAATTAAGAAACAGAATCACTGACGCTTTTGTGGTGAACAATAGTTACATTAATTTATGCCAAAGTAATATTTTATAGTTTCCACAGCAGAGATTTCACTTGATTTTTCAACTTACCTTATTTTAAGAGGATATGAAAGCTCTCACAACAGTATTTTGCAACTGGCAGGAGCCAGATTTAAATATGGGTTTTCTTTCCACTTCACATTCTGATTATTAAATTAATTATATTTAAAATTATTAAACTCTCTCTTTCTCCACTTCCTACCCTTGGTACTTGTTGTTTTGGAGGGGGAACAGAAATAATATTAATGTGATCTATCAATGTAAAGTATTTACTTTAAAAATTCTATAACCCAGTTGGCATGGCTCAGTGGTTGAACACTGACCTATGTACCAGGAGGTCACAGTTCGATTCTCAAACAGGGCATATACCTGGGTTGCGGGATTGAACCCCAGTGTGGGACATGCAGGAGGCAGCTGATCAATGATTCTTTCTCACCAGTGATGTTTCTATCTCTCTCTGTCCCTTCTCTGAAATCAATATGTATTTTTTTAAAAACTCCATAAGCTGTTTTGCCAATGGAAATATCTGGCATGAAAACCAGGACACTAAGAATCTACATAATTTCAGATCTGTATGATGTCAGATTCTGTTTCCCAGGAAGAGATGGAATAATGCTCTCCGAATACATTCTCCCAGTTCCAATATATGTACCTCACATGGAAATATTACAAACTTACCTTGCTATTTCTTTCCCTTTCAAACTGTTCTTCAAATTGTCTGATTTTTTTCTGAAGTTTCCTGACTAACTGATATGGTGTTCTGTCTTCTCTTTTTTCATCTTTTGAACTAAAGGATGATCTTCGAATCCTGAATTAAAACAAGAGGCAAACACAGTGTGTTAAAATTTTAAGTTAACACCTAAGCTCTTATTGCCCTTATAAAACATGATACTATAGCCAATAAGTATATCCCTAATACTAAAAAACAGAAAAAGAAACTTATGCTGTAGTGTTCTAGGCCATAAAATTAGCTAATGCAAGCACTGATTAAAACAATTTTAAATCATTCAAAAGTTGTTTGAGCAAAGGCAAAAACAAAGATACCTGGCAGCTCAGAGCTCTCTTTGTATTCTGCAAAGGAAAGACTTTGACATTAATAATCAATTAAAAAAAAAAGAATTTAATTCAAAATTTTGACAAGCTCTGTTTGCTGCTTCCCTTCCAGGTATCTGTATTTCAACTATAAATGATTAAATGAATAAATACACTGTGAGAAAATTTCTATTAGAGAACAAATTCCAAATGGTATTCCCCAATGAACCCAGAATTTAGGGATCCAAAAAAATTAAGTTACAAAAATGTGCTTCATGATATATGAGAGAAAGCTTTGAACTTCACTGCCTGAGTTTCAAAGGACCAGGGTAAATAATAGGAATCACCTCTCATAAGTACATAAAAATCATATACCTAGCAAAAGACATTGCTTTAGATGAGGAAGTCAATGTTTCTGGATCATGTAAGAAACGCTGGCTTTGCCCAAAATCTAAACTACGGTGTGATAATACTGGAGGACAGTCCTCTTCCAGGGGGTGATGATTCATTCTTCCAGCTTGTGGAGAAAGTTGAGCTTCCCCAGACTCAGAGTCTTCCTGCCAAGACTTAAAGGCAGGAAATGGCTCTGTAAAACAAACACAAAGAACGGTGCCATGGGTCTCTTGGTTCCACATGGGAAAGAAGTCACACAACATCAGCTATATGCCTTTTAGATCAGATCATTATGTGGTGATTCATAGAATATTTATGATAGTTTAAAAAAAAACAAGGGATACTAGTATCTTCATAAAGCCTACTATGGTTTAAAATTGCCTGAGTGTCATTTTTAAGCCTAGAGTTCTATTTTCATATAAGGAATTATACTTTAAATTTTTGAACCCAATCACAAAGTAAGAAAGGACACTGTCAAGCTCTTTAAAATTACAGAAATGTTATTTTTCAAGTATGGTAAAGTCTTCATTTAGAAACACTCAGAAGTCCTCAGGCAGGAATTTAACTTAGCCAAATGCTGCCAGGTGAATACACTGTCCCTCACTGTGTCAAGTGGCCATGTGAAGAAGTGGAAGCTATTCCCCAAGCTATACAGAACACCCACCAAATGGAGTTCTCGGACTCCAAATGAATTCTAACATTTCCAAACAAGTAGCTAACTCACCTAATAGCACCTAGCCTAATATTAAACTGTGGTGGTTATTTTCTGTTACAGGATTCCGATGCATAATATATATTTTAATAATTAAACACCCAACAGTATTATCAAGACATAATTTAATAGCACTAGTCTTTCTTAATCGCATGTATTTTATTGGTTACCCTGTGTTTTCAAATAAAACTACAATGACATTTAATATATTTGCATATATAAGGCTTAATAACATATAAATACAGAGATAAATATACGGTCCATAAATATATTAGGTCTAGTAATAATTAATGTCGTTTTCTAATACCTTTTTTTTAAATCGAATTTATTTAAACAATACAACAAAATTTAATCAACAATATAGTTGCCGTTGTTTTCTACTACTTGTGCCCAACGCTCAGGAAGCATTTTAATCCCTCTGTTGTAAAATTCTTGTGATTTTGATGCAAAAAATTCGGTCAATGCATTTTTGAGGCATTCTTCATTATTAAATTTTTTCCAAGAAGAAAGTTTTGCAAAGAATGAAACAAATGGTAATCGGAAGGGGCAATATCAGGAGAATATGCAGGTTGAGGGAGAACTTCCCATTCCAACTGGCGCAGTTTTTCAGCAGTGATTCTTGCAGTATGCAGTCGTGCGTTATCGTGGTGAAGAATTACGCCCTTCCGATTAATCAGCGCGGGTTCTTATTCTCTTAAAGCTTGGGCTAACCTTTCTAATTGGGCACTATACACTGCACTTGTAATGGTTTGGTTAGATGTTAAAAGTTCATAATGAAGAATTCCTTTAAAATTCCACCAAACACACAACATCACTTTTTTCGCATGCAAGTCAGGTTTTGGCGTGGGCTGCGGAGCCTCATTTTTGTCCAACCATTGAGGCCGCCTTTTCAAATTAACATCCAGCACCCATTTTTCATCTCCGGTAACAATTTGCTCTAAAAACGGCAAACGGTTTTGACGAGAGAGGAGCGAACTGCAAATTGTGACTCTTTGATTACGGTTGTTGTCGGTCAACTCATGAGGAACCCATTTTCCAAACTTTTGGACTTTGCCAAGTGCACGCAATTGATTGGAAATTGTTTTTTGTGAACAATTTAAAGTTGTCGCAAGCTCTTGTTGGGTAATTTGAGGATTTTGCACCAAAAGAGCTTGAAGAGCTTCTTGATCAAAATTGGACACACGGCCTCGACCACTCTTGTCATCTAACAAAAAATTTCCCTCGCGAAATTTCTCAAACCAACGCTGGCATTTTCTGGCGCTAACTGCATCTTGACCAAGAGCACTACAGATGTTTTTTGCAGCCTCACTTGCTTTTCTTCCTAATTGGAACTCATAAAGCATGCAGTGCCGAATATGCTCTTCATCCGCCATCTTCTTAGCCCTAGTTTTGCAACAAAAACCAAACCAAACACAAACTTTTTCAAGCAAAACTTGTTAATTGCACTTCACACGTTCTGTAGATACCACGTGTTTGAAGGTTATGTCAACACAAGTCAACGCCAAGCAAGATTTTAAACGAATGTTTAAAAACGACATCAATTATTACTAGACCCGATACTCCAAATATAAAATCAACTTTCAAGTATTACTGGAGTCAGTGGGGAAGGGGAGACACTGTTCTATCTACACATTAACTTCATTTAAAACTACAATTTAAAACTTTTATGCCATGGTTATTAACAACAACGAGTTTTAAAGTATTTTGGGATGCAAAGATGGCTTGACAGTGTCAAAAATCAAGAATGACGTTTTCTTTTTCTTCACTCAATAGCTAAGGATTGCTACTTTAGTAATTTAGTTTCTAATTTTATGTATTAGCAATTTAAAGCATTACAGTTTTTTCAGGATAATAAAAAGATAATTTTGTTAGTTTTTAAAGTTAAGATCAACCTGATCACTAAAAAGATACAAAGCGTGCCTTTCCACAAGAAACCCAGCAATTAAGTGATTTTCAAAGCAACCCTTGTACCTGCTTCCCAGCATATAAGAAACTGGCAAACATTTTACAGGAAATCTCCTATTTTAAGAAAAGATAGAAATAACAGAAACCATTTTTTCTGGGTACCATTTTTAACCCAGATCAGTTTTCCAACCATATGGGGACAGCAGGAGAAGGGCTAATAAAAAAGGCAAACAAAGTGAACCATAAAAAGGCATAAAAACTAAACTATGGTGAACCATACTTACCCTCCCCATCTCTCTGCAGATGCATTGTTTTGAAATCAATGAGGGGGAAAGTGATAGGGCATGACGCTAATAAAATGGAAAAAAAATGGCAAAAAATACTAAAGTGAACACAGCACAGTCAGAACAAACCATACACATAACTAACACAAGCCAAAGATACCAAAAATATTTCCCTAAAACCAGTTAGGCATTCCATTCAAAAACTTTATCCAAAGAAATTACTAACCAAACTTTAAAAACAAACACAAACATATATTTGCATTTCAGCAAGCAAGGCAAAAAAAAAATCAAAGAGTACTGTTTAATTAAAACTCAAACATAAAACTCTTAACCAGGTACTATTTGAAGCTTTTTTAGTATAATTGATTAAATACAAAAAATATCTCTCTTTAATTGTTCTTTGATTGCTGTTTTCCACTCAAGAGTTAGCTGGCGAGAATCTAAAGGAAAAATGTTATCCACTTCCATTAAAAGGCAAGACCTTTTGAATAGCTGCTACAAATTCATACCAGTGGGTAGATGTGTGCTACCTGCTTACTAGCTGCATTTTGTTGACTATACATACTTGGAGCAATACAAAAAGAAACACACACACACAGAAGAGGTGGACCTCTATCTGGAGTCACCCCACTTCTCTATTAAGAGTTACACTAGACAAGGTTTGTCTCTGATTCTAAGGTATCTAGGGTCTAAAATAATTCCGCCTCTTCACAAAGACATTTAGAACTAGAGGCCCGGTGCACAAATTTTTACACCAGTGGGGTCCCTCAGCCTGGCCTGTGAGATCAGGCCGAAACCAGCTCTCTGACATCCTCCAGGCTGAAACCAGCTCTCTAACATCCTCCTAGGATTCCTGGATTGCAAGAGGGTGCAGGCCAGGCTGAGGGACCTCACTGGTGTGTTATTGGGGCTAGAGAGGGACTCAGGATGTTGGCCAGCAGGTGAGGGACCGTGGGAGGGATCCAGGGCATGTCTGGCCTTTCTCACTCGGCCGGACCCCAGCAGCAAGCTAACCTACTGGTCGGAGAATCTGCCCCCTGGTATCAATGCACATCATAGAGAGGGGTTGAGTGGCCTTAGCATATAATTAGCATATCACACTTTGATTGGTTGAATGTCCTACCAGCCAACCAAACATTTAGCATAGCCAACTGGACACTTAGCATATTAGGCTTTTATTATACAAGCAGTCCTTGGGTTATGTCAGACTCTACATATGTCATTTCGTGGTTATGTCACCATCTCCCATTTATTTGTTAAAAAAAAAAAAGTACCATCATTTTGACGTATGTACATATGTGCTTTACGTTTTTATTATTTATTTACCACAAGTAAAGGTCAGGAATTGTTATCTTTCTTTTAAATATTTTTGTTGTTTCACTTCATTACTGCTGTGTATGTGCTCCATATGAGTGACATAGGTGCTTTATAGGTGGGTTCCTACGGCGAAAATCACATCACATAGTGCCGTAGGAACTCCGAGGTAACCCAAAGACCTACTGTATAGGATATCCTAACTTTACACAGAAAATCAATCTTTGTGTTGGTGGCAAAGTTGGAAGGAACAACATGGTGTGCTAATGGCCACTCTTCCAACTACATACAGGGTTCATAAATGAGACGTTCACTCAGATATCTGAAAAATCACTGACTCCTATTCCTGGAAGTGCCAGAAGGAGAACTACATGGATTTCTCAAGGCTATTAACTCAGGTAGATAACAGGGCACCTTGGGCACTGAAAATCGGGGATCGCTAGTCCATGTTACCCCCTTCCATAACACCAGCTGTTAAGCAGCGGATTCTGACACAGAAACAAAAAGAGGCCAGCATTAGGTTTTCTTTGGGAAATCCCCAGGTAGTAGCTGAAGCGAGACAATGTCCTATTTCTTCAGATGATGAAAAATAATTGCTCTTTTATGCATAATACTTAAGAGGAGGACCTTCAGCATTAGATTGTACAGAGCTGCATTCTCCATGAGGAAGAAGCCTAAGTCCCGTGTCAGAACCCCAGCCTCATCTTTCAGAGACTCCTTTCCTACTGTGGCTTGTAGGATGCTCTACTGACCAGCAATCCTTTTCAGTGACTATGCCAGGATAAGTAACTAAGAAAGACATTTGATTTTTCATTGCCACCAGGATACTAACATATCCCCTAACTCTGGGGAACATCTTCATAAATTCTAAACATCCTGAATAACCCAGAATATAGCAAATGAAAGACAACTTCCCTATTTGTGTATTAGTCTAAGTTAAGAAACATAATGTACCACTGGGGGGGCATACAAAACATCTAAACAAAAAAATAAGAGGGGGAGTGGGAGACAGCAGTAAAAGTTGGCACAGACAATGACGTGGCTGGGACTTTAAAAATTGGCTATATCTTAAAAATAAATACATAAAAACACTCCAAATGTGATCAGGTGAGTTGACTTGAGGAGGCAAAAGGATTGGTATTGGCATTGTAATTCCTCGTCATTGCCACTGTATGTTATTAGCTAACTTGCCAAAGGTGAGATAACCAAGGGATCTTCATCCAAGTGAACAAATATGTAACTTTATTTAAGATTTTTGAGTTGTCTCACTGTCTCTATCAAGGAAGGTGTATGATCCAAAAGGACACCTGGATCCAAAATTGTTGCTTGCTAGCACTCTCCACCCCAATATTTTATTTGAAAGTTTACAAATATACAGTCAAGTTTGAAGAATTTTACAATGAACAACCATATCAATTACCTAGATTCCACCATTAGAATTTGACTATACATGCTTTATAACATTTATTTACCCCATTAACCATCTTATTTTTTCATGAATGTCAAAGTAAAATGCAAATATTAGTATATATCCCCTTAAACATGCAAATCAATCATTTGAATTCCATATTTATTAACTTTTGCTTTTTTTTTTTAAATAAAAAAACAAACTCATATATAATGAAATAGAAGTACCCAGATGTTTTGTTTTTTTAATTTAAATTCAAACTTTTCTCCTTTATAAAAATTGCTGGGGCCCTAACTGATTTGTATCCGTAGATAGAGCGTTGGCCTGTGGACTGAAAGGTTAAGGGCATGTACCTTGGTTATAGGGACATCCCCAGTTAGGGAGTGTTCAGGAGGCAGATGATCAATATTTCTCTCTCATTGATGTTTCTAACTTTCTATCCCTTTCCCTTCCTCTCTGTAGAAAAATCAATAAAATATATATATTTTAAAATTGTTAGGACCTAGCTCCCAAACTTTATAACCAAACTTAACAGGAATATGGTACAGTATTTGCACAGAAATGCCCCTGAAGGTTTTTTTTTTAATGATCATGAAGAACAGGAAGCCATATATATATAAAACCCCCCTCTTTAATATGGCGAAATTTCCCAAGACCTCAAGATACTGGGCTTTTAAAGACTGGTCAATATTATCTAATTTAACAATTAACAAAAGCCTATTCTGAGTGATTTTATATTTTTCACTCTGTTTTAACATTTATCTTTAAAGCTAATGGATTAGATAAGATTGTCTAGCTCAGTGGTGGTCAGCAAACTCATTAGTCAACAGAGCCAAATATCAACAGTAAAACGATTGAAATTTCTTTTGAGAGCCAAATTTTTTTATTTTTTAAAAAAATATTTTATTGGTTTTTTTACAGAGAGAAAAGGAGAGGGATAAAGAGTCAGAAACAACAATGAGAGAGAAACACTTATCAGCCGTCGCCTGCACGCCCCCACTGGGGATGTGCCCGCAACCAAGGTACATGCCCATGACCAGAATCGAATCTGGGATCCTGGTCTGCAGGCCGATGCTCTATCCACTGTGCCAAACCAGTTAGGGTGAGAGCCAAATTTTTTAAACTTAAACTTCTAATGCCACTTCTTCAAAATAGACTTGCTACGCCATGGTATTTTGTGGAAGAGCCATACTCAAGGGGCCAAAGAGCCGCATTTGGCTCGTGAGCTGCAGTTTGCCGACCACTGGTTCAGCTCATAAGAGATAGTTGCCCCATAATCTCATTATTGCATTTGAGTAAAACCATTCACTCTTCTTATATGAAAAAGAAAACAGAAAATAAAAATCAATAAGATTGTCCAGAAAAAGGTTAGTAATCTCATAACTGCTTGGAAAACTTCATTTACAAAGAACATTATCAGAAAAATAATTAGTGTGGGTAAAATTACCTTCCCATTTATCACCATCAGAAATATTCTTCAGATCTAAATGTGGAATTTGGACACATGCTGCTTCTCCTTGAACACCACTTTGATCTCCTGGCACTTCTGATTCAGTATTGGCATTCAAATCACATATCTTGCTACAAGAGTCCTATATTTTAAAATAAAAAATACATTTCTCATTTAGGAAGCTTTTTATACCCAGCTTATAGACAACCAGCATATGTCCTATGTAATATTTACTGTGCTTATACAATAAGCTGCCCCATTCCCACCATCCACAATATTTTCAAATATAAATTTGCAGTTTTATATGTCTTAATGGGGAACAATGTTTGGACCCCAAATTCAGGAAAGTATTTTCATAACTAAGTTTCTTGTAACCAAAAGTGGCATATTAAGTGCTACTTTAACTGTAAAACATTTGGTCAGAGTATATTTTAAATCTCCTTGAAATCTATACAACTCAAAAGTTTAAAGCCAGACATAATAATTGGTAGCTTAAGCCTAGTCAAATTTCTAAGAAACATAAAAGAAAAGAATTCTTACCAGAATTAAGTGCGACAATTTATCACTGTCAAATGACAAATGTTCTTTCCTAAAAATACAAATAAATAAATGAATAAATAGGTTACTATCACTGCATATTTCTTACCTAGATTCATCTCTTCCCCATAGAGTTAGCATTTACAATGTGACAAAAGAATGACAACTAGACACATTCCCATTCTTTGGAGCCCTATATCTGAAAATCACACACTACTGAAAAGATCCACAGAATCACTTCAGGTTAGAATAATTAAGTAACACTCACCACCTTTCCATACAACCACACACATCCCCCAAATTTTTTTTTAAACTTAAAAGAAAAATAAGCCTGGCCAGAGTAGCTTAGTTGATTGAGCGTCATTTTGTGCACCAAAGGGCTGCCGTTCAGGGCACATGCCTGGACTGTGTGGGTTTGATCCCCAGCTGGAGCACATGTGGAAAGCAACTAACCAATCAATGTTTCTCTCTCTCTGCCTTCCTCTCTCTCAGCATGTCCTCTGGTGAGGATTAAAAAAAAATAAAGAAAATCCAAAATATTAAAACTAAATGTATAATACAAAAGATTTTATAAAATAAATATTAGTTTTAACCAAACAGCTCTATATTCCCTCTCTGAGATATATTTTTCTTTTAAAAATGATTTTTGAAAGGTATAGATAGCTATGTCCTATTATCTTAAGTCTGATTGTGTTCTATCACAATGAAAACTTCTAAACCTCTCCTTCCTAAAAATATCATAACATGTAAATAGGAAATTTTATTTCAATTCACTTATTTCCCCACAAAAACCACCCCTATTTAGAATAAGTGTAACAGCAAACTATCACAAATGACCTCTGCCTAAATAACCTGTCAACAGAGCATCTAGTATCGTACTAGGTTAAAAATATAGTTACTGCGGGAAAGTTCTTCTCCCCAAAGACACTGTGACAATTTACAATGATATGCAAAGGTGCTACTTCTACCCTGCCATAACAGGGTAAGCACTCAGAAAACAGGTCTTGATCTAAATATGGCAAGTCATCTCCTCATATACCTAATTAATTACCTTATTCTTGCTGAACATGTAAACAACTAAATTCCCTGGCAAGCTCAAAGGCCTTCCTTTGCTTAGAGTGAGAACAAGTGGTAGGATAAGCTAAATTCTACCCTAACAGACTAAATTCGAGAAACATGTGTTAAACATACAGAATGTAAAATCCACCTAACCAAGAAACTCTTTGATCTAAAAACAAGTTTGCTAACCTATACACAAGTTGAAGAGGAAAGAGCTTTTTCCAAAAAGATTGAGTCCTCACTAAATGGATCCTTATTGTTCTACCAAATCCAGATGTCATCATTCTGGGGATGCCTGTCAATGCTGTTAATCTTATATCTTCAGCCCATAGCTCCAATACTCCCTGGGCTGGAAGAGGATCATTCCTGCCTCCTGAAAGGAAGCACAAGGAACTGCTGTAAGCAGGAAATCTGTGGACCTTCAGAGTATGGGGACACTCCAGAGACATGGCTCCAAAGAATTTACTTACCCTCAGAGAACAGGTTTCCTACTCACAATTAAAAGAGACAATGGCATTAAGTTTTTCCTTGCCAACAGGCTATCACCAAATCAATAATGCTATTTGGAATTTCTCAGTATTTACAATCTAGTCTGCGTCTTTATTACTGATTTGTTTTCAGAATATCAATTATCTTTCCTAAGAAAGTTATAATACACTTCTTAGCAACATCTTAAAGAATCACAAAAAGGGTAACAAAATCCAAAACCTATGTGGTGACTTAAAACATTCTAGAAATCTTCTTTCTGTTCAAAGAGCCTCTTATGGATTATTCTGGAAACTACATATGGCTGAAATATTCACTGCCTCAAGGAATCCCCTTCCCATTACTGCTAGTAAACAAGGAGGGAAACAATGGTTAAGCTAAGTGAAGTAAGTCAGATGAAAAAGACCCCCCCAAAAATATAATTCAAACAACTAATAAAACAACCTAAGACAAACTCACAGATAGATAGAACAGAATGGTGGCTACCAGAGGGGAAGGAGAGTAGGGGACAGCAAATTAGGTAAAGGGGTCAAATATCGGTATACAGATACTGAATTATATAGTATTATACACCTGAATCTTATATATTAACGATGTTATCTCAATATGTTTATTATTGTTTTTTTTTTTAAAAAGAGACAGTCCTGGGGCCTGGCTGCTTTGGCTCAGTGAATAGAGCATCAGCCTGTGGGCTGAAAGGTCCTGGGTTCGGTTCCGGTCAAGGGCACATGCCCAGACTGCGGGCTCAATCCCCAGTGGGGGATGTGCAAGAGACAGCCAATCAATGATTCCCTGTCATCATTAATGTTTCTATCTCTCTCTCCCTCTCCCTTCCTCCCTGAAATCAACAAAAATATATAAAAAAATAAAAGAGATAGTCCTGGACACACCAAGGAGAAGAGGAACAAAAACATCCTAAACGTATTTGTTGAAGCAAATATACTACAATCTTTCAGTTAGTGATGCATAGTTACAAGACTATGATACACTGAAAGGTATATTCAGAGTATCAATAAATTCCTAATTGTTCTACAAATCAACTGAGTTTTAAGTTTCTCTAAGATGGCTGTATTCATTCCTCTGAATGTTTCCCAAGTTATAACTGTCTGAACCTATACCCCTTACCATTAAAATAAGAAGCATGGTTCTTTAGATTATCTAAAATATATGATACAGAAGAGTCATCTAAAAATTCCACCCACAAATTTAAGAACTCCAAATCTCAAAATGATTGATTAATTAGCAACAATAAGAAAAAATGCTTACCTCTCAAGACAGCCATCTTCACTATCACCATGGTCACCACATGGTTCTAACAGTATACCTACAGACTGATAAAAAAGAAAACCACCACTGTATTAATGGAGCTCGCAATACTCATATATGAGAGGAAGTTTCCAATCTTAAGAGTAATAGACACAAGTTAGTCAAATGCCCCTTTTTAGCTCACTACCTTATTATGTAATAGGTACTACTACCACCATCACAATCCTTTTCCTTCCTTATAATTCTCTCCTCCAAAAAAGATGATTTTGTGGTCCCACTTGCCAACTCTGCTTCTCCTGAGTCTCAAATAGAGAAGTTGGTATTTGAAATACAACTGTGAATCTCAAAAACGTAAGAACAATCCTCCATTTCCTAATGGGTTTAGTGACACCATCCCATTCATTCCTATTACTTCCCATAATAAATATCTACCAAGTCTAACCCAAATGTCCTGTGCATTCCTACAAATTATGTAAACTTCCTAGTGTTTTTTATCACCACCTTGAAATCAACAAAAGGTTCAAGTTTCTTAAGAAACTGACCCAATTTTGTTTAATATAAAACAGTCCATAATTATCTGAAAGAGCTATTAAAATAGTTATCCCTTTTCCAAATACTTATCTCTGTAAGGCTAAATTGCCTTCATACACCTCATATAAAAGAATTTATAGCAACAACCTTGACACTCCTCAAAATAAAAAAATTTATTTATTTTTTTTTTTTTAAATATATTTTATTGATATTTTACAGAGAGGAGGAAGGGAGAGAGATAGAGAGCCAGAAACGTCAATGAGAGAGAAACATCAACCAGCTGCCTCTTGCACATCCCCCACTGGGGGCGTGCCCACAACCAAGGTACATGCCCCTGACCGAATCGAACCCGGGACCCTTCAGTCCGCAGACCGACGCTCCACCACTGAGCCAAACCGGCTTCGGCAAAATAAAAAAATTTAAATAGCTGCTTATCGTTAAGAAAAAAAAGTAATTTTCTTACTTATGTTACCTTGAATGAGTGTATTATTGTTTTGTTCGAGTTAAGAAACATTCTTATATTTCTGTTTTAATTTCTAATATACTAAATACTGATAAATATACCTATTTAAATAATAGCTTTATGGGATCCTCAATAACTTTTTGTTATTGTTGTTAATCCTTACCAGAGGATATTTTTTCCATTGATAATTAGAGAATGAAAGAGGGGAGGACATCAATGTGAGAGACACACATCAATTGGTTGCCTCCCACACATACCCCAACCTGGGGTGGGGATCGAACCTACAACCTAGGTACATGCCCTTAACCGGGAATCAAGCCCTCAACCCTTCGGTCCTCAGGTCAACACTCTAACCACTGAACAAAATATTCCACTGAACCAAGGATCCTCAATAACATCTATAATAATAAAAGCCTAAGCAACCATCACAACCAAATGGATTGCGTGGGACAACTAGGCCAATAGGGGGGTTAGTGAGGGGACAACCAAACGACTGAGCGGCAGGCTGGGTGGGGTGACCAGGCCAGCAGGGGGGTTAGTAAGAGGCGACCAAACGACTGAGAGGCAGGCTGGGTGGGGAAACCAAGCCAGCAGGCAGGTTAGTGAGGGGGTGACCAAACAACCAAACAGCAGGCTGGTGAGGGGGAGGGGGGAGGGAGGGAGTTGGGGGCAATCAAAAAGGCAGGCAGGTGAGCAGTTAGGAGCCAGTGGTCCCAGATTGTGAAAGCCATGTCCAATTGCTGGTTTAGGCCCAATCCCCTCCCCACATGCGCAAATTTTGTGCACCGGGCCTCTAGTCTATATAAAACCCTAATCCTATCTAATAAAAGAGTAATATGCACATTAATCATCATTCCAACACATAAGATGGCCATAATGTCTAAGATGGCCGCCCCCATGTGGACACAAGATGGCCAGCAGGGGTTGGCAGTTGTGGGTGATCAGGCCAGCAGGGGAGGGCAGTTGGGAGGGACAAGGCCTGCAGGGGAAGACAGTTAGGGGGTACAAGGCCAGCAGGGGAGGACAGTTAGGGGTCACCAGGCTGGCAGGGGAGTGCAGTTAGGGGCAATCAGGCCAGCAGGGAAGCTGTTAGGCATCAATCAGGCTAACAGGAGAGTGGTAAGGGGGTGATCGGGCTGGCAGGCAGCAGTTAGGGACAATCACGCAGGTGAGCGGCTGGAAGCCAGCAGTCCTGGATTGTGAGAGAGATGCCAGGCAGTCAGACATCCCATGAGGGATCCCAGATTAGAGAGGGTGCAGACTGGGCTGAGGGACCACCCCCCACATGCACAAATTTCAATATGCAAATAAACCGAATGGTGGAACAACTGAACAAGTTAGTATGACATGCACTGACCACCAGGGGGCGTGTGCAGAACAAGGTAGGCATCGGCAGCAGGAAGCAGAGCATAAAACATGGTGGGCGGTCAGCCATAGCAGGCGGGATGGTTGAGCAGGTGAGCAGCGGTGCCAGACCAAGGCAGGGCACTGCACCAGTCGCTGTCGTCGGGTCAAGCCTCTGGTAGGGCAAGCCTAATGAAAATTCTTTGCTCCCATACACCACAGTCCTGCTCAGTGCTCTCACCTGCTGCTGGTGCTGGTCCTGATTGCCCCTCAGGGCTTCTCCACCTCCCCCCTGCTCCTGAGGGGCAATTGGGGCCGGCAACCACCTCTCACACCTGCTGCCAGCGCCAGAGCCACTGCTCGCATCCACTGCCGGCCCGGCCCCACTCACACCTACAGCCATTGCCAGAGCTGCTGCTCGCACCCACTGCCAGCGCCCGGTGCTGGTCCTGATCACTCAGCACTGTCAGCAGATGCAAGCAACAGCTGCCGGCCCCAATTGCCCTGAAGGCTTCTCTTAACTCCCCTTGCTCCTGAGGGGCTATCGGAGGCCTCGATGAGGGGCCGGGCAGACACACGGAGTATGGGCCGAGACCTGCCCCTGTGCCCACTGCAGCTTGTGGCCCAGTTTCTTTCAAGATGCACAAATTCATGCTCTGGACCCCTAGTCAGTATAAATAAAAGTCTAAGCAACCAGCCAGCTGGTAGCTATGACACGCACTGACCACCAGGGGACATACAATGCAGGAGTAGAAACCATAAGCATGGAAACATGGGACAAACTGATGAATCTCAGAGGGAAGGAAGGATGGGGGAGAGTAAGGAGAGATTAACCAAACATCTTAAATGCATACTAGAGGCCAGTGGCCTGAGCCCTCTTGCAATCTGGGACTCCTCGGGGAATGTCGGAGAACCTGCTTTGGCCCCACCAGTACACTAATCCATGCACCAAACCTCTAGTGTAAGAATATAAAGAGGTCCTAAGAGCCAAAGTGTGAGAAGCACTGATCTATAAACAGACTTCAGCAACCTTTGTTTTCTAAAACATGATAAAATCATTTAATTGGATCCTGACAAGACATTAAGGGTGAGTTAAATTTTTGACCAAATATAGCAGGTTAATTTTTAAGTTGATAATTTTGTACGGCCCTCAAATGATGTTATAAATATCCAAATGGTCCTTGGCAGAAAAAAAGATTCCCTACCCATGCTCTAGATGGCTTCTGCTATCAAAGGAATAATGAAACAATCAGAATTGTATGTTTACCACACCTAACAATTTTTTTTTAAGTCTTTGCATTTCTTACCTGGTTATTTTCTTCATCATCAAATACAAAATCTTGCTGCATAACTTCATTGTCTAAATTAGTGCTGGCCACAGGTTCTGAGCAGTCTCTGCTTCTTTCACTGGCATTAATAACATCATCAGCAATATTAACCCTAGAAATGAAGATTCAAAAATCAGATTAGGTCAAATGTTGAATATGTAATGCCTTTAAAATAAACAATGATCTGAAACTATTACTTATTAAAGAAAATACACCCTTTCCATAAAAATCCACTCTTTATCCTGCCCAAGTTTCATTAAATGCACTGAGTTTTTGTCTCTCCATGAGATGTTGTAAGGAATCTACCTTGTTTGTTATCCCTTTTGAAAATGAATGGTGCCCTTGCCAGTGTGGCTCATTTGGTAGGAGCATTGTTTCATGCACCTAAAGGTCACAGATTCAATTCCTGGCCAATGATCACATGCACAAGGAGTGATATCAATCTCCTATCTCTGTAACCTATCTGCCTAGATCTCTGCTTGATTCTCCTGATGTGATCCTGCTGCACAGAGGTCTAACTTTTTAAAAGTATTTTTCATGTAATATAGTCTGTAAAGGTAAGCTAACTACTTTATCTGATGTTCTGGGAGGAAAACCTGGCTGTGTTGGACTTAATAAACAATTTCAGAGATTTTCTATGTACATACATATATAGATAATATTAGAGACCCTGTGCCAAAATTCGTGCACAGTCCCTAGGCCTGGCTGGCAATCAAAGCACGAGCACCTGGCATGGAAGGGCAGGTCCAGTTGACCTCTGGGCCCTGGGCAGCACCTGGGCCCCCACACAACTCCCTCCTCCTGAGTCCCCACACAGAGAAGAGGTGAGCATGACCGGATGCCACAGGACAGGGTTCAGTGTGGGCCTCTAGGCCACCAGCAGCACCGCACAGAAGCCGCGAGGGCAGCGCACTCTCTCCCATCTGGCCTCGCAGACCAGCTACTGTATGAACCCACGGGAGGCAGCGACGGTCCAGCTCACCCAGAAGAGGCCACGCAGGTGCAGGGTGGGCTCCTCATGGGCGCCCAGCTCCTGAGCACGGAGGCTTCCCCAGTGCGCAAGGCCTGGCATCCAGAGTAGCAGGTGGAGTGAGAGTGAGCTAGGCAGACAGCCTGTATTCTCACCACACCTCCGTCCTGTCACCCCACACCCAGGTAGCTGGCGAGAGGTTGCAGCCCCCAGCCCAGGCACTGCAGGAGGTTGGTCACTGCCACCCACCCCCAGTTCCCTGTCCCAGCCTGTGGCCCAGTCCTGATCAGGCAATCAGGGCCTGTCGGCCTGGAGAAGGACTGGAAAGTTGCCCAGCAGGCCCCATCCGGCAATCAGGGCCTGAGGGCCAGGAGAAGCTCCTGCTTTAAGCGTCTGCTCCCTAGTGGTTAGTGCGTGTCATAGCAACCAGTCATACTGTCATAACAGTCGCTTAGGGTTTTATATGTACTAGTATAGACTAGTATAGATAATTTACATACAAAGTCACTTTTCACACAAACTTCCAGAAATCTCTACAATAAGACCCCATTATTTAAATAGAGTTTTTTAAAGATAACAAAACTACTTTATAACTCATAATAGCAGTAAAATGTTTTTTAAAATTTCTTACTGGTTATTAGATCCTTCCCCATCACAATTAATACTTCCTGCTTCATTATTACACACCAGACTTTGCTGTTGTAAATTAAGATCATGATCTATGCTGCTCTGCAGATCAAAAAGGTGCTTTTCCACAGCTGTTCTAATTGTTCTGTCTAAAATGCTACAAAACAGAGCACATTTTAGTGAGATGCAGTCATCCTAAATACATATTTCATCACATAAACATAAATGTTAATGTGACCATTAAAACAAATTATTATGAATTTTAATGAGTAAGCAAAAGTGTAAAAAGAAATACATAGAAGGAATAAACATAGGATCAAATTTTAAAATGAACTTTGCCCAATTAGATATTATACAAATCAATCTTAATGTCACTATTACTACTGAGGTGGGAAGGACCAGTGTCAATACTTCATCCTCACTACTATATAGTCACTTAAATAGACTTTTCAAAACTATGTTTATAAAGCAAAATAATTTACCTTGTTCAGTTAAATAAAAGAAAATGTAAGGGAATTGTTCCTATTTTTTATGTGAAGTCTATTTCTTTTCTTTTTCTTTTCTTTTTTTTTTTTTTTAAACACTGATTTGTTGTTCCACTTATTTATGCACTCATTGGCTGATTCTTATATGTTCCCTGAATGGGGATTGAACCTGCAACCTTGGTGTTTCAGATGATGCTCTAACAACTGAGCTTACCTGGCTAGGGCCAAAGTCTACTTCCTCAAGAAAATAATAAAAAAGCTCTAACAGTTTTCTATCTTAGTGCCTTCTTCATTTGTTTCTACTACAGTACATAAACTACTAACTAGTTTCACTGTGTTATGTACAATCCTTCCTCTAAAGAAAGCACAATAAATACATGATTTTCATTCCTACAATTCAGCAATTTCTTTTTTAACTTTTGAATTGTCTTCTTTAAGTATAACTACTTACTCTGCAGAGGCTGGTAAGACGCTGGTGGGAGAAATATGGGCACTGTAATCAAAGAAAGAAATTAGCTATAAAATTTTAAAATACTAAATGACTTCAAAATATGCTGAAAACTGCCATATTTGTACTATATTGACACAACCAGAAGAGCATGCAGTTAGTTTTATGTTCATCTCTAGCAGAGTATGATACTAAAAGATCCTTAAAAACATTCTCCTTCATGTGTGTGTGTGTGGGGGGGGGGGGAGGTGCCAGCTACTTCATCTGATACTCACTTGGAGAAACACTGACTTATTCCAAATCTTGAGGAAAAATTGACTACTGGCCCAATAAAAGTACCCGTGTAAGATAGTGTGATGGTCTCAATACTGGCCCTATACACCTTGCCAGAAGTAATAATATTTGCTATTTCTCAGAGGATGTTCTCAAGCAACAATCAGGAAAGGCAAAACCTAGCCGTTTTTCGCTAAGTGGTTATCGAGTGTCGGCTCTCGGACTGAAGGGTTCTAAGTTTGATTCCGGTCAAGGGCATGTACCTTGGCTGCAGACTCGATCCCTGGCCCATTGAGGCATTTGCAGGAAGCAACCAATGGATGTCTTTCTCATATCGATGTTTCTCTGTGTGTCTCTCCCTCTCTCTTCCAATTGTTAAAAAAAAAAAAAAAAAAAAAAAAATCAATGGAAAAAAAACCTCTAGTGAGGAATAAAAAATACATAAATTTGTGTTTTTAAAAAGAAATATATGTAATAGGTTGCATTTTTTTTTTAAAAAAAAAAAGGTATCTATGTTGTAACTGAAATTTTCTTAGCAAGATTATTTTAAGTTTTCTTGTTTGATTTCATGGTTGAGTGAATCTACATCTAGAATAAAATGCTCAAAAGCTAAAGTTCTTTCAAATGAAATACTACCTTGTTGATGCTGTAACACTATTTGTTTCCAGGATGTTTTCAGTCATCCTTAATTGTACCACCTCTGGCATGTCATTTGATTTTTCTGCTCCCTCTTCTGGAAGTTCTTCTATATGTTCCAGCTTTTCATCTTCCTCTTCTTCCTCAGAAAGTTCATTAACCTATATAAAAGGAAACAGAGAATTAAAATTTCATGAAACTAGAAAAGAATAAAAAAGAAAATAAAAACGTATGAAACTGTTAATTAACATTACCTAAGATGTACTATTCTAAGAAAATTTTAAACAAAACTCATTTTTTACTTCATTTCCTAGGGCCAAAAATCAATGGGAAAAAATCCTTTGGTAGGGGTTCAAAAAAAAAAAAGCTTTCTCTCACCCCACACTTATCTTCAAAAGTTCTTCTGATTCTCTCCTTGTCAATTTGACCTTCCACTTATCAAGAGTCTATTCTGACGAAATTGGGCGCGTTCAGGGTGGTATGGCCGTAGACTAAGAGTCTATTCTGTTCATAAGTTATTCTGAACCTGCCCAATATATATGCAGCTACTTCAACTCCACTTAAGGAAAACCCTCGTCCATACTTCCGTCTCTTCATTCCCCCTCTCTAGGGTCTTATGAAATGCCTGCTCTCCATACTCCAGCTTATGGAGAATGCTGCTCCCTGCCTTCCCAAATGTATACAGAAACATAATTATCACCTACATCTTCAAAGCATTCTACTGGATTCGCATTTATTTAAGGACCCCACGTCTACTGACTCTGGGCCAGTCCTCTCTTTTCTCTCTCTCTTCTCATACTATTACTAAGAGTATCTACTACGTTAAAAAGACTCTAACAGCCAACTAGTTGCATTAATAGTCTGAAACTCCAAAAGAAGAGAGCACTAGACAAACTTCCTTCCTTCCTTCCTTCCTTCCCTCTTTTCCTCCTTCCCCTCTTTCTCTCTCTCTCCCACACCCACATCTCTCTAAAAAATAATAATAATAAAATAAAAAATAAAAAAAAAACTGCCCCAGCTGGTTTGGCTCAGTGGATTGAGTTGGCCTGGGGACTGAGAAGGCCTGGGTTCAATTTCAACCAAGGGCACATGCCCAAGTTGCAGGCTCAATCCCCAGTAGGGGCATGCAGGAGGCAGCCAATCAATTATTCTCTCTCACCACTGATGTTCCTATTGCTTCTCTCTCTCCTTTCTTCTCTGAAATCAATAAAAATATATTTTAAAACTTTTTTAATCAATAAATATATTTTAAAAATACAAAAATACTAATGCAATACATGTGAGATAGATATATTTCAGTATACATTAGGAAACTGCAGAAAAGAAAATCAGAGAACTACCCTATATAATAAAAGCCTAATATGCTAAGTGTCCAGTCGTCCAATCAGCCATTCAACCAATCAAAGTGTAATATGTAAATGATATGCTAATGCGGCTCAACCGCTCGTTAGGATGTACACTGACCACCAGGGAGCAGACAACCAGTCAATCAGTCGTTATGACGGGCATTGACCACTAGGGGGGCAGACACTGATGATTGGGACTGAGCGAGACAGGCCAGACACGCCCTGGAGCCCTCCCACAGTCCCTCTCCAGCTGGCCAACCTCCCAACTGACCACCATGGCGCAGATGCTAAATGCAGGAGCTGCACTCTACTTTGGTAGTTAGTGCACTCCCACAGCCAACCTTCTGCGATCCCGTGCCCCCACCCCTCCACTCCCAATTGCTGGCCAGGCCAAGGGACCCCACCTGTATACAAATTCATGCACCAGGCTTCTAGTACCACAATATAGAGCATAATTAAGGATACCCTGAAGACTTCATAGTCAAGATAAACATTAGGTCAAATTGGCATCATCAATTTTTTATTGATTGGAGAGAGAAAGAGAGAGAGGAGAGAGAGAAAGAGAGAGAGAGAAACATCAATTTATTCCACATATTTATGCATTCGTTCGTTCATTCTCATATATCCCTAACTGGGGGGTCAAACCCGCAACCTTAACATATTCTAATTAACTGAACTATTCAGCCATCATATCACATCAATGTTTCTCTCTCTCCCTTCCTCTCTCTCTAACATTCAACAAAAATATTCACCCTGGCTGGTGTTCTCAAAGTTAGAGCATAGGCCATGCACTGAAGGGTCACAGGTTCCACTATCTGAGTTGCAGATTTGATCCCTGTCTTGGTCAGGGCATGTTGAGAGGGAGAACCAATGATATGTCTGTCTGTCTCTTTCCCTGTCCTTACCTCCCTTTTTCTCTCTGAAAATCAATGGAAAAAACACTCTTGGGTGAGTTTTAACAAAAAATAATTATTTTTTTAAAACTTTTTAAAGAGTCTTGGTTCTTTAAAAAAAAAAATGCTTACATAAAAAAACATAAAAAACTAAGGAAAATATAAACCCCAAATATTAATTAAACTTATCCATAAAAGCTCACAAAAGTATAGGAACTCTTTTAAACAAAAGCTGGGCTAAAATAAAATTCCTAATTCATAAGAAAATGAGAGACATCTGTAATACTGTTAACAATAAAATAAAATTTAAAAGTTAAATAAAAACAGAACAAAACAAACATCTTAATTCATATAATCAGAGCCAAGACCTATAAAAATTAATGAAAATCTGTATGATTTTCAAGAGATGCTGCTTGCCCTAGCTAGTTTGGCTGAGTGGATAGAGCATCAGCCTGCAGATTGAAGGGTCCCAGGTTCGATTTCAATCAAGGGCAATGCCCCAGTTATGGGCTTGATCCCCAGTAAGGGATATACAGGAGGCAGCTGATCAATGATTCTCTCTTATCATTGATGTTTCTATTTCTCTCTCCCTCTCCAAAAATCAATAAAATGTTTTGTTTTTAAATAAATGCTTCTTTATAATCTAAGAGCAAATAAAACAACTCAAATGGGTGGGAAGTTATCAACCAAAGACCTTGTATGCATAGATACATAACCCATGGACCCAGACAATAGGGTGGTGAAGAACTGGGGCTGGGGCAGCCAGGGGCTGGCTGGAGGGGGTCAATGGGGGAAACAGGGGACTTATTGTACTTTCAACAGTAAGGATTTACTTTTTTAAAAATAATGATCCTATATAATAGAAAGCTAACATGCAAATCGACCGAAGGGCAGAAATGACCAGTCGCTATGACATGCACTGTCCACCAGGGGGCAGGAGTTCAATGCAAAAGCTGCCCCCGGTGGTCAGTGCGCTGCCCGGGGTGGGGAGGGGAGTCGGCACTGCTCAGCCAGAAGCTGGGCTCATGCTGGTGAGTGCAGCGGTGGTGGCAGGAGCATCTCCCATCTCTGCAGCAGCGCTAAGGATGTCCAAGGGCTCCTGGACTGCAACAGGGCACAGGCTGGGCTGAGGGCCCCCCCTCCTCCCGCCAGTGCACAATTTTCGTGCATCAGGCCTCTAGTAATAAATGAAAATAATGTGACCATATAATTTATTATCTAATCCTGGATATATTAATAAAACTAAAAATAATAAAATGAAATAAACTTGATTTTTTTTATAAATATATTTTATTGATTTTGTACAGATAGGAAGGGAGAGAGATAGAGAGTTAGAAACATCGATGAGAGAGAGTCATCGATCAGCTGCCTCTTGCACACCTCCTACTGGGGATATGCCCGCAACCAAGGTACATGCCCTTGACCGGAATCGAACCCGGTACCCTTCAGTCCCCAAGCCGACGCTCTATCCATTGAGCCAAACCAGTTTCGGCAAACTTGAATATATTTTAAAGTGAAAAGAGAAGCTACTAATAATATTACATCAGAAAGCAGATATAAACCAGGACTATTCTGAAAAAACTGGGATGTACAGTCACCTTTGAAGTGGGCACTGGCACTATAAGTCAAATATAATATCTTATATATTCACACAATAGGAAAGTACACAGATATAAAAAATATATATATGTTCTCTATATTCCAATAGAAAAGATCTCCAAGGTATACTGTTATCTAGTTCAAAAAACCAAAAAACCAACAAGGTACAGAATAGTGTGTATGGTATGCTACTTTCCTGTTAAAAAAAACTGCAAAATAAAAATATTTACTTATATTTGCATGAAGAAACTCTGGAAAAATACTTTTTTTTTTTTAAATGATGGAAGGGGGTGAGTATGGGTTAGAGAAATATATTTTACTGAATATTTTACTTTTTTTTTAACCAATTAGACAATTATTCATTATATATATATATATATATATATATATATATATATATATATATATATCAGCCCCAACCCATACCCAAATAACTTAATAAAGGCTTGCTTAACAAATAATTTCACTGAAATGCAAAAGAAAAATTCCCACATAGAATTAAATAATAAATTCTAAATCTAAGTCTGAATTAATGTGACTTTAAAATAAAGTACAATTACTCAGCATCAATATTCTCATTTCATAAAGGAGAAAGATATTTGTACAATCTCAACCAAGGCATAGCAGTAACAACAAAATATAAGGTAGCCTGAGAAACAGATTTTAATGTTCAAGTTACAAAGTAAAAAATTTATCTGCAACCTAAACTTACTCTAAAGCTTCTCATTAATGACAATGATTGTACTGCTATACTGAGTTGCTACTTTAACCAAGAAAAACTTTATTTACTTAAGAGTTTGAATGAACTTTGTATTGAATCTTTGTCTACCTTCTACTTCTTACCCTCTGCCTACATTCCTCTATGCTAGCAGTTTCTTTGCAAAGACACACACACACACACACACACACACACACACACACACAAAACCACTATTCTTACAAAATACACAAAGCTTAACAGAAGAAAAAACACAAAGAAAAAATAAACATACAAAATCTCTATATATTCTGGTTTCAATGCCTTTCCCATATTACCCAAATTAAGAACAAGTTGTTCAGAAAAAAATATCACATTCAGCTATTACTTGGATGTAGATGATTCCAAATAATAACCAAGAGCAGATCTTCCAATTTAGTCCTTAAAATTTTCACCAGCCCTAACTGGTTTGGCTCAGTGGATAGAGCGTAGGCCTGCGGACTCAAGGGTTCCAGGTTCAATTCTGGTCAAGGGCATGTATAATACCTTGATTGCGGGCACATACCCAGTAGGGAGTGTGTAGGAGGCAGCTGATCAATGTTTCTCTTTCGTTGATGTTTCTAACTCTCTATCCCTTTCCCTTCCTCTCTGTAAGAAATAAAATTTTAGCCGAGACCGGTTTGGCTCAATGGATAGAGCCTCGGCTTGGGGACTGAAGGGACCCGGGTTCGATTCCGGTCAAGGGCATGTACCTTTGTTGCGGGCATGTCCCCAGTAGGGGGTGTGCAAGAGGCAGCTGATCGATGATGACTCTCTTTCATCTATGTTTCTAACTCTCTATCTCTCTCCCTTCCTCTCTGTACAAAATCAATAAAATATATATTTTTTTAAAAAAATAAAATTTTTAAAAATTCCACCAAAGTTTATATCAAGCCTTTGAGAGCAATTATTTTTTTAAAAATTCTTCCTCCAAGTAGAATATTTAAAATATTCTTACCTGTTCAGTAATTGAACTCAAATCATTAGATGAAAAGTCTTCCTCTTCATTTTCAAAAAACTCATAGTAATTTTCCAGAAGTCCAGCCATTATCCTGCTCATTATTTCTTGTTCTTTCAGATCTTCCACATCTGTGTAAATACTAAGAATAAAAGTCCAAATTAAATTGAGAGTTCTTAAATCAATCACAGGTAAAGTCAGAAGACAAACAATGAGTCATTTTATAATCTTGAGCAAGGTCATCATTCTGTGCCTCAGTTTTCCCATCTGTAAAGCCTACCTAATTTGTACCCTGTTCAAAAAATGCTAGGAAGATTGACCAGATCTAGTATAAAAAATAATTGTGCATCAAGCAACCTATGATTCTTGGGAGACAGCATAATGATTCTATTCCACAAACTTTTTAAACAAAAATGATGAAAGAACTTACTGGAAGACATCTGGACCAAAGACAGCAGCCAAAGAGTTTGCAGACCAAATTTCTTCATGATGTGATGCTACATTGGCTAAAAATCTACACAGAAACTTTAACAAACTGTAATTAACAGATGGAAGCTGTTGCAAGAGGAACCTCAACTTTCTTCCAAATTCATCTTCGTTATTATAATCTATAAAACATAATGACAGGTGTTTTTAATGAAGCAAAAGCAAAGCTCAAACATTGTGCCAGGTTCACATTCCTCCACCCACATCACCTTTTTTCTGTTAACAATTCACAACCTCTTCACGGCCTCTACTAGAGGCCAAATGCCTTCAGGGTTTGCATTTCACTTATTAAGTGGAAAAGGGGAGTGGAGAAGGAACTCAAGCCTTTAATTGTTGAAGGATGTTTTCCTCATCTATTACTCACTGGCCCCAATTCTCTAATTTTTTTTTTAATTCTCATCATATTGTCTCTTGCATGACTGTACCAATATTTCCAAACTAGTGTCAATTATAAATCAAAATACACTGACCAATACCAGTCAAGTACTAGTGAGTACAAGTCAAGTACTAGTGAGCAAAGAGAAGCAATTTAACTCTAGCTGGTTTGGCTCAGTGGATAGAGTGTCAGTCTGTGGAATGAAGGGTTCCAGGTTCAATTTTGGTCAAGGGCACATGTCCAGATTGCAAGTGCGATGCACACAGGAGACAGTCAATCAATGATTATCTCTCTCTCTCTCTCTCTCTCTCTCTCTCTCTCTCTCTCTCTCTCTCTTCCCCCCCCTCTGCTTTTCTTTCTGAAATCAATAAAAAATATTTTTATTTTATAAAAAGAGAGAAGCAATCTAACCTGATAATAATGTCATACTTTTGACTTGAACAAATGGGGAAACAAAGGAGTGACTTTCTTCTCCCTTGACATCCCAAAATGAACAATCAACATCTTTGGGAGCACTAATAGAACTAAATAAAAAGGAATTCCATTTCTCATGTGTTTTTCTCCTCTGAGCTGGTGTTGGTTTCTGTTATGCAAGTGAATTTTCAACTAACAGAAGTAGGCCATTTTTATCATGTCAAACATGCCAGGGTTGAGGGCTTGTTGCCTGATGTGGGTCGGGCGTGCAAAATGCAGCTGATCAATGGTTCTCTCTCATCATTAATGATTCTGTCTCTCTCTCCCTCTCCCTTACTCTATGAAATCCATAAAAATTCATATTTTTTAAAGTAAATAAAAATAAATCCAATTTTAAAAAAATATTTTTTTCAGGTTCTTAAAATTAATTTTAAAATTCTTGGTTGAAAAACTCTTAATAGGTTATGATCATGATACCAATTCTGTGGGGTGATTGATCACAGAGGCCCCAGATTGATAGCCTGCAGAGGGAGGCCCTGCCCACCTGCCACAGTGCTGCCAGCCAGGTGGCCTGGGCCTCCCTCTGTGGGATGATCGTGGGGCGATGGTGGGGCCCCCCAACCAATCACATCACACCTGCGTTGTCTGGCCTGGTGCCAGTGTAAGTCATAGTGTGGTCATCTGGAAGATCGTCCAGATGGTCGTTCTGCTGTTTGGTCGTTCAGTTGATTGCACATTATACTTTTATTATTATAAATGTTACTGTCATACTTTAAATGAATATCAATTAAATGACAATCTTAGTGACAAACAGCCTCTGATAGTCTCAATGAGTCAATGACTGTATTACCATTTATGATGGGGTCTCTCTTTTCCAATCCAGCACGGAAAGAGAGATGATCCGGTTCTTCGAGTAGAGGGGCTGGGGATTGAGGAAATATGAAAGAAAGAAACAAGATACAAAATGGAAGGGAAAAGCTGAGAACCGGGTAGATGGCAGTCTTCTGAGGGAAAGACAGTGACCCAGAGCCGATACAGCACTGGGTCATTTATATCCCAAATACCAAGGGGTTTCACCAAAACTTAAGATAAAGGGAGCTTGGGTGGGCCCAGATCCTATTGACTCCCTCATTCCTGATGCTAGCCTGAATTTACATATCAAAATCCACTCATAAAGGTAAGAGTCAGTGCTGATAACACATCTGCCTTTTTGCTAAGATGTGTATCCAAGATGTGGCTTTGCCTGTCACCAGGGTTTCAGCTGACAATAATTAAAGAATGCCCCCATGTGCCTTTCCAGGGGGCCCTCTGCACCACTAAATTTCATTCCAATTATTCTTTTATAAATTTTCATTCAAGACTGAATATTATCTGATTCTTGAAACTTTGAAGACTTGTTTACAATTCAGCTAAAACAGGGAACATAAAACCCTATCACTATAAAGCAAAAATGGCTCTGAAGTCATAAAAAGAGCTTAAAAAAGTCTTAACACATCAGTCACGAAGAATAATATTTTCTTCCTTTTTACAGCAGAATATTCCATTGTGTAAATGTACCACAGCTTTTTGTCCACTCATCTAGTATTTATAACTTCTTTTGTTGTTGTTTTTTTGTTAATCCTCACCCAAAGATGTTTTTTCATTGATTTTTAGGGCGAGTGGAAGAGAGGGGAAAAACAGAAACATTGATGTGAGAGAAACACACTGATTAGTTAGTTACCTCCTGTGCGCACCCCGACCAAGGCCCAGGCCAGGGAGGAGCCTGCAACCAAGGTATATGCCCTTGACTAGAATCAAACCCGAGACCCTTTGGTCCACAGGCTCTATCCACTGAGCCAAATCAGCTATGGCTATAATTTCTTAACATCACAGAATTTCTGTAGAAGCTCCAATTCTAAGAAATAAAGAGATTCCATTACACAGAGAGAAAAGCCAGAAAAAAATTTTTTTTAATATTCAAGAAATATATAATACTAAATGCCATCTTTATAAAGTTTCCTATATAATCAAACATATCACTCATTATGTACACATGAATACCACTTGGCTATAGGAACACAAGCATTTCCTCACTTATTGGTTCTTTTACCTTTCTGCCTATCACCACCTTTACTTTTCTTGTCCCTATTCCATTCCAGCTGGGCCCTACTTTTAGTCACCACCAAAAAACTCACCCAACAAGCACAAAATATTTTTTCTTTATTTAGCTTGGAGCCTAATGTACAATTTGGTATTTTCTTTCTTTCAGGCATATTTTAAACCTAGAATCAAAGTTGTCTTCTGATTTTTGCTAGAAAGTTCTTTTTTTTTAAATATATTTTATTGATTTTTTACAGAAAGGAAGGGAGAGATAGAGAGCTAGAAACGTCGATGAGAGAGAAAACATCGACCAGCTGCCTCTTGCACACCCCCTATCGGGGATGTGCCTGCAGCCAATGTACATGCCCTTGACCGGAATCGAACCTGAGACCTTTCAGTCCGCAGACCAACGCTCTACCGCTGAGCCAAACCGGTTTCGGCAAGATTTTTGCTAGAAAGTTCTATCAAGCCAGGAATAAATATCCTGTAATAACATCACCACTAAGCAATACCACTGGCTATTATTGGACACTCTGCTACACTTATCACCTTAAATGTATTTTTTCTTTCTTCTTTCCCTATTCTCTTACTCCTTGTTCTTATCTCCTGCCTTTCCTCCTCTTAAACCATTATCTTAGACCAATTATAAAAAGTAAATGTTCCACGGGAATCTGATAAGTTGCCATTCTTGACTAGACCAAAAAGCACACGTCCCCAAATAGGCACATAAGAAATGAATCTTAAGAGCTACTATAATTACTGCTTACACATCAAGATTTCTAAAGGTAAGGACTTTGAAATTAATGTTAAATGGCTGGTTGATAAGAATCAAATTTTGTTACCTTGAGAAAGCTGCATCAAGTGAATATGCAAACTGCCAGGGATAACAGGTTCAGGAAGTTCTTGAAGGAAAAACCTAAGAAGACTAATAGCTGAGGGAACATCTGCTTCCTTAACCAAATCCACTTCTTCTCCACTGTCGTATCTCTGCCGAAGCCACTCCACTGTCTCAGCATTTCCATTGACTTGAAAAAGTCCTCGTTGCTCCAGACCTCCTACATTAGTTCAAGGCAAAATTAAATAAGCTTCAACTTCAATTACTTGATCATATATTCTCCAATCAACTGAAAATATTCAGACTTTTGGAAAGCCATTCTCTTATCTCCCCTGACTGGGCTAAACACCTTCAAATTATATACCTAGAAACATACTAACTTTGTCTGTCCTGAGGGATATTCTACTTCATCCCAACCCCTATTTTCTTAATATAATTTTATTGACTTCAGAGAGGAAGGGAGAGGGAGAGATAGAAACATCAATGATGAAAGAGAATCATTGATCGACTTCGTCCTACACACTCCCTAGTGGGGATCAAGCTCCCAACCCAGGCATGTGCCCTAATCTCCTGATTCGTAGGTCAAAGCTCAACAATTGAGCCACACCAGTTGGGCTATCCCACCCGATATCCATTAAAAATATTCCTAATATTTCCCACACACTAAAATGCTCTACATTGGGCATTTCTGAGTATAAAACACACTAAAATATTAAAAAAAAAAAAAACCCTTCTATTGTTTTTCCTCATTATATTTTGAACTTTCCATGCTAAAAAAAAAAAAAAATCCAAGATCAAAAAGGGATAAGTTGTGTTTATTAAAACAAAGGCTAGCCCTCAAAGTAAGGAAATGTATACCATGTTCCTCAATATAGTCCACAACGTGGCGGACTATGAATGGAACCTCATTGTCTGGATGTCCTCCCTGCTGCAGCTCATCAAGTGGAATTCCAAATATTTTGTTAGCAAGAACGGAGTTGCAGTTACTCAAGGAAGGGGAGGAGCTCTTCCTCATATCTTTTTTGCAGCCAGAAATCAAAGCTGTCTTTTCTGCCAAATGAAAAAAAACAAAAAAGACTATAATGATTAACAGGTGGCAATATGACTAAATACATTGAAGAAAAAGGCTTTACACCTCAGTGTGTTCTCATCTATTAAATATGTTTCAATTATCAGGCTCACTCTAGTATGTTCTACAAATAAAGTTCAATATAATCACCTAAGCATTTTCTCTACTATGCAGGGTTAGGTCTAAATACTAGCACTTGCATATTTATCAAACAATGGCAAAGTTGGTCATTAAAATTAGCAAAGGACATTAATGTCCTAAAGAAGAATTAAAGGGCAAATCTGGCTCAAAAACGACCTTTACTAACCAAGTTTATTAATGACACAGATAAGAAGCCAAATCCAATCATGTCTTTCATATAATCGATTACATGAAATTCATATAATCGATTCATTCATAAGCACCCAAATATAAGAGAATCACTTTTACAAGTGATTCTTTTACAAAAATCACTTTTATAAGTAATGGGCTAATAAAAACAAGATTAGCCAGTTCTTATTTCTACATGACAGAGTATGTCTTTATAAACGCAGGAAATTTTTCAGTTCTAGACATCAACCTTCAATGAGAATATTATCAATCCTGTTTCATAATTACTCAAAAAATCTGCACAGCACAGAAAAACTAAGTTATTAGTCTTAACTTTGTAATTATGATCAGTAAAGAGGCAGTAGAGAAAAAAATGTTTCTAATATCTAAAACATCAAAAACCAATCCCAAGAAAAGTTCATTTTCTAAAAGAAACATATTACTATATGTGGGAAAGGAGTATTTTTAAAAGAAATAAGGGGGATAAGTGGTGATGGAGACTTGATTTGGGGTAGTAAACACACAGTACAGTGTACAGATGATGTGTTGTGAACTGTGCATCTGAAACCTGTACAATTTGGTTAACCAGTATCACCCCAGTAAGATCAACAAAAAATGAGGGGAAAAAAAGCTTTTTCAAAAGTTAATAATGAACAAAATGATACAAACTGGGCTTTTTTCATCACCCCAGAGAAACAACTCCTTCTGTACTACAAAAGAATGATAACAAAGCAAAAAAATTTAGTCTGTTCAATACTCTGAATTTTTAATTTATATATATATATATTTTTTTTTAAATTTATTTCAGAAAGGAAAGAAGAGAGAGATAGAAACATCAATGATGACAGAGAATCATTGATCGACTGCTCCTGCACACCCCCTACTGGGGATTGAGCCTGAAATATGGGCAGGATCCTTGACCTCCTGGTTCATAGATCGATGCTCAATCACTGAGCCACACCTGCCAAGGGATATTCTGAAGTTTTTACCAAAATCAAGTCCTTATATACAGTGAGTCCCTCCAAAATGTATACCCACTTTAACAGCTGATAGCTTAATTTTGAAAATAAAATGTCACTTAATAGATACTCCTTTTATAATTACTTAAAGTGTATACATACATTTTTGGGGGGACACCCTATTGATGTACCCACTGGATCAAGAAAGTGTCACAACATGACTAGGAAATGAATCCATCCAACATATAAGAACAGTAGACATTAACTTAGGAACAGCAAAATGCCGTAAATTTAAATAGTTTTAGACACATAAGATCCATTCTTCAACATATCTGGTACCAGCTAATGACTACAAAAACCTCAAATTAATTATCAAATAGCAGTAATAATAAGTAAACTCCAAAATCTCTGGAGATGATTACCATTTTGAAAAACTTACCTTTGAGTACTTAAACACCTAAGTTTAAAAAACGAATTCTGCACCAGCTACCCTCACTGAGCAAGCATTCTTTTGTCATTTATGGCTGTTTGAGATTATGGCAGAAGATCAGCCTGTAGTTCCTCATTGAAGAAATGCAGAACTCGATCAGTACTTCAGCAATTAATCTAGAAGAAAAAAAACACACAATTCTTTTAATTTCCTATAACATCTTTAACTTTTAGAAGAGACTAGAATAAGCAGTGAGGTTCGTTTAGGAAGGTTCCTATACTGAAAGGCATTCTCTGCCTAAGAAATGTATCTGTGACCTATTTAGAGGCAAAATCTTGCACAAAGTTTAAAAGTATGATAGCTAACCAGGGTAAGAACGTTTCTGCTAAAAATAAAGGAACTGCACAGGAGAATCTTTGGCAGCACACATTTTCAGAGATATACTGTTCAAATAATTCATTTTCCTCACTGGACCCACATTTGCATAGACACCCCACCCAGTTCCATTCCATGCATATATACTCAGAAAACATGGAAACATTTTCAGATCAAAGAATGAAAGATAATTTTAAGCTTGAAACTTCACTTCCTTACTTTATTCTTTTCTTTGTATACATTTTGTTAGCAAGAACTAGTTATTTGAGCTTTCTGATTTGGAGAGGTAATAGCACATGTTAGACAAGAGCAATTAATAGAACCAGAAGGGCATGCAGTCAAATATCAACTCCATCATTCTGTAGATGTGACAACTTCCATGTCCCTAAGCCTGGGTTTCCCTATATAACACTACACACTTCTTAACTTTAACTGAGATAATGCATGCATGTAATACATAGAGAATCAGTTTCCATTCTCTTCTTTGAATAATATTAAAAGACTATAAAATAGGCTGGAGAGAGAAAGGAAGAAGGGAAAAACCTGTTTAGCAATGTTTAATCACCTGTGAATCCTCGTAATCTATTTTAAAATATTTTAATAAGCTCAGTAAATTACACTGAAGCATTCTGCTTAAGAAATGTTCAGGGTTCAGGTAAGCAGAAAAGCAGAAGAGTATTATCATTTAGTGCAGTTTTGAGGGGAAGGAAAACCTCATTCCCACAACAAATCTCTTTTTTATATGTATTTTTATTTCAGAGAGGAAAGAAGAAGGAATGATAGAAACATTGATGGGGGAGAATCATAAACTGGCTGCCTCCTCCTACACATCCCACATTGGGGATCACTGAAGTCTGGGCATATGCCCCAACTGTGGATCAAATCATGACTTCATAGTTCATAGGTCAACACTCAACCACTGAGCAACACCAGCCAGGCTCACAACTAATTTTTAGTAGATGATTACTTCCAAAACACCCTGAAATGCCTGCTAAAATGTGTAGTCTATTCATCTGAGTAAACAACTTCAAAGTTACAATCATCCCTCCCTCAATATCTACAGGGAATTTGTTATTCCTCCTCAGATAGGAAATCTGAAGATGCTCAAGTCCCGTATATAAAACAAGAGGCCCAGTACACGAAATTGGTGCACAGATGCAGACCCTAGGCCTGGCTAGTGATCAAAGCACAAGTGTCTGATGCGGAAGGGCAGGTCCCAGTTGACTTCTGGGCCCTGGGAAGCACCTGGATCACTGAACCCCACACGCCCCCCTCTGCCTGAGTCAAAGCGCCCACACAGAGAAGCAGTAAGTACTACCAGATGCCATGGGCCAGGGCACAACGTGGGCCTCTGGGCCTCCCAGTGGTGTTGCACGTAAACCGGCAGGCAGCACACACTCTCCCAGCGGGCCTCGGGCTCTGGTTCCTGCGCAAACCCATGGGGAGCCCAACCAGCCCCTGTGGTCCCAGTGACTGCAGCCCGGCCATCCAGAAGAGGCCACGCAAGCTGCGATCAGAGCCTGCAGGCCAGAGGGGAGGGACCAAGAGATGGTCAATGTACCTCATGGAGACTGGTCACATGGTCGTTACGCTTATGGTTTGCTGGCCTTTTATTACATAGGATGGTTTAGGGAATAATGACAAGGAAAAAAGCCTGTACATATTCAGTACCAACCATTATAAGCCTAACTATATATAATAGTACATGGCAGCAACAAAAAAGTTTTTTTCCTCCTAAATACTTTCCATTCACATCTGGATTGAATGCATGAATGAGGATCCCACAGATAGAGAGGGTCAATTATATTGAAGATCCTTTAAAGAAGTTAACTTCAGGGACAAGCTGTTTAATGAACTTACAATTCAGCTTGATGCCATCATAACACAAAGAAAAGGGGGATTTGCTTGATGTATAATAAATGAAGACTCATTAGAAGAGTGTGTCAAAAGCAAGTTACATATAATCACTAAAATGGCTACTCATTTAGTGTCCTTAGTGAAATCAGGAACCAGTTATCTCATCCTGTGTTCTCTACTACTCCCAGCCTCTAACTAGACAATCTGAAAAGCATCTTTCCTAAGGTGACACTGGGTAGGAATCTATGAATTCATCATTAAAAAGATCCTTACTACAAGAAAAACAAAAGCAGAAATTTTTCAACCATTGAGTTTTTCTCCTGAAGAACATTGACAATGAAGATAAAAACATAAGTAGCTAATATTAAATGAGCAGTTTCTGTGTGCCACACAGTTCATGCCTTTTACATGTATCATACAGCTCATGCACTTTACATGTATTAATCAGGTATTATTCTTTTAACCCTTATTTTAATGAGACATTGCTTAGAGATTTATCAATTTACCCACAGTAATCCCAACTGTTAAGGGTCAAAGGCAGATTTTGAACCCAGACAGTTTGAACTGGGTTCGAATTCTGGCTCTTAAAGTCCTTGTTCTTAATCACTGTACAAGATAAAGTACCATAGAATCTCACATTTTATCACTCAAACTGGCCACAAAACATTACATACATTTTAGGAGATTACTTATCCCTAGCTTGCTGAAAGGTAATTTAATGAGTGCCATTAGTGGCAAGCCCTACTAGTCAATGATTATTCACTTGAGACCTTTATATAAAGCACACTTATTGAGGGCATTCAGACTGCAGTGGCCCAAAATATTTCTTTAACTACAAAATAGTTTTTTACATTACTAGTCCTGTTCCAGTCCTCTTTACAGAACTTAAATCATGTAAATATTCCTTCCACATCTGTAGTGAGTTGAATAGTGGCCCCAAAAATCTCATGTCTACCTCGAACCTCAAATGTGACTATTTGGAAATAGGATCTTTTTTTTTTTTTTTTTTTTTAATA